AGGGACTGGCTGGCTCAGGGGGGCAGGGAATGGGGCCCAGGGTCTGTCCCCTCTAGGAGCGCCGGCTCCCAGCCAGCCCCAGAGATCAGACCGCACTGGCTCTGACCCCAGGCCGCGGTGCGAGGGGAGCTCAGAGGCCACCCGGCGGGCCAAGTGCTCACAGTCATTCTCCGTCGCAGGCGGGAACGGCTGCGCCACGTACGACGTGGTCATCAACACCGGCTTCTTCAGCAAAGTTGAGGTAAGCGCCCCCTGCTGGGCCAGGCCCTCCTGCCCCCAAGAGCCCCACGGCTGCGGGTGTGGCCGGGTTGGGAGCGGGGAAGTTAATGTGTGTGCAGTGGGGGCGGGGAGGGGATGCAGGTCCACAGTGGTCCCCAGGCTGTTGCCTGGGTCTGGCTGACCCTGCCCTTTCTCTGTGCCAGGCTGACCCCTTCTTCAAAGAGTTCTTCATCACGGTAGCCCTGGAGGGGCTGGCAGAGAAGTACAAGATGGACATCAATCACCCGGGTACTGTCCAGCCCAGGGCGGGGCTGCGGGTCGGGAGCGAGGGGCGCCAGCAGGGCTGGGGGGCCGGGGTGCGGTGGGAGCGAGGGGGCCGGAGGGCGGGGGAGCCGGGGCGGGGTCGGGGGAGGGGGCGGAGGGCGGGGAGCGGGGTGGGGTCGGGAGGGGGCGCCGGAGGGCTGGGGGGAGCCGGGGCGCGGGTCGGGAGCGAGGGGGCCGGCAGGGCTGGGGGGAGCCCGGGGCGGGGTCGGGAGCGAGGGGCCGGCAGGGGGGGGAGGGGGGGGTCGGGAGCGAGGGGGAGGTGGGGGAGCCCGGGGCTGCGGGTCGGGAGCGAGGGGCGCCGGCAGGGCTGGGGGGGAGCCCGGGCTGCGGGTCGGGAGCTCTTGCTCCAGTGCCCCCAATCTGCCCGTCCCCACTAACCCCTTCCCCACCGCTCTGCAGAGTGGCGAATCCTGAAGAACCGGAAGTTCATGGGCTCCATCTCGGGACAGACCATCCGCACCAAGTCCAGCCCTGTCATACAGGAGATGGACTTCAGGTGAGTGGGGGTCTGATTACTCTCCCCGCCCCCAGACTCTGCCCCCTGTGGGTCTAACTCCTTGGGCTGCTGTGGATTTGAACAACCCCCTCCCCATCCCCTTCCCCCCGCCACCCCACCCCACGGCTGCTGTTCTCTGATTGCTGTTTTGGAAATCCAGTGGCAAAGAGTTCCACTCACTCCGTGTGTTTTGAGAAAAACGCTGGTGTGTCTGAACCCCCTAGGTCTGGCCCTTCTAATGCCCCCCCTCCCCGAGGAGTGCAGTGGGCTCTCCCCCGTCTGGCACGCACACAGGGATGGAAAATACAACTGATTCGAGCAGACCGTGCCCAGCTCCATCGGGGTGGGGGAGGCCTAGAACCACGGGTATCTTGTGATCCTGAGAGGCTACAAAAGATTCTCTAACACCCCCAAAAAGCCCAGCATCCCAGCTTTGCGATGGCGTCTGGCGCAGGGGGCTCCGGGCAGCGGGCTGGGGAGGGCGGGGCGATGAAATCCAGTGTGTGGGGAGGCAATGTGGTAATCAGACTGACGTGATTGCAAGGGTCTGGCTGGCCTGGTTGAAATGGTTCCTTGGCTAGTTGATTGACTGGAGGGGGCTGTGTATGTTGGGGGTGGGGGCGGCGTGTGTGTATGTAGGAGGGGCTGCTAAAGACCCCCCCTCCCATCGCTGAAATTGACCAGAAGGCTCAGGCTCAGGCCCAGGCGTGTCCCCTGTGGATCTCTTGCAGAGAAGGCAGGGAGACAAGCCAGAGACCCATGGAGCCGTGATGTCCCCAGACAGACTCGGGGGGCTGGGTTCATTGCCAGGCCTTGGGGCAGATGGGGATTTTTCCAGGGTGCTCAGAGCCCCCTCCCTCTGCTGGGGTCCCCCTCCCTCTGCTGGGGTCCTGCCCCACTGCCATCCAGAGCCTCCTTCCCCTGCTGGGGTCCCCCTCCCTACGGCGAGAGTCACTGGCTGGGCCATGTGGCCCCTCCCCAGTCGGGCAGGGAGCTCAGACCTGTCCCACTCTGAGCACCTGCTTTCCCCACACCCATTTCTTTCCACAGTTCCCCTGTGCTCCCCAAATTCACCATCCTGGCGGAGCCGGCGGGAGGGCCCCCCGAATTCCTGCTGGCTGACATCCACCTGCCCAGAGTGGTGAGTTCTGCCGAGGGGAGCTCCTGGCTGCTCCAGCCCGGGGTCTGTCCCAGCAGGGGCGCTGTGGGGCGGGGGTGCCGGCCCTGGGGCGGGTCTCACCCCTTAGCGGGGCGGGGGGGCCGACCGTGGGGCGGGTCTCTCCCCACAGGCTCTCATGACCCCTCCCGCAGGGCTCGGCGCGGGAGCTCTCCCTGGAGCTGGGGCAGGACCGGGTCGTGCTGCGGGGGGGGCCGGGCCCCTACCTCCTCGACATCTACATCCCCCACGACATCGTCCCGGAGCACAGCCACGCCCGCTTCCACCGGCGCACCGCGGTGAGCCCCCCCGGGACCCCTGCATTTCCCCCCCAGTCCCCTGGGGACCCCCACCCCGCCGGGAACCCCCACCCCTGTCCCTGCCCCCCCTGGGGAATCCCGCCCCTCTGCATCAGGGTGGGGTGAGCACTCGTCCCCCAGGTCAAAAACTCCCATCCCTACAAGCCAGGGACCCCACCCCCAATGTATGACCCCTCCCCCTTGTGTGACTCCTCCCCCTCTGTAGTGATCCCGCCCCCATAGTGTGGCTCCTCCTCCTCGGGCTGTGGCCTCGCCTTCTTTATGCCTAGGCTGTGGCCCCCTCCTTTCTGTCATGACCTCAGGTGTGCCCCCTCCCCACCAGGCTGTGACTCCTCCCCCTTCTCAGTGGCCCCTCCCCCTGGTTCCTCTCCCCACTCATCGCCCTCTCGTCTCCCCACAGGTGCTGACGGTGAAGATGCCCGTCCAGCCCCAGCTGGGGCCCCCTGAGGAGACCCCCCCCCTCTGCCCACAGGAGAGAATCCAGGATCCGGAGTGGGGGCCCCCCACCAGACCAAGGGGGAGCTGGCATGTGGGGGGTTGGGGCTGCAATTCCCAGCAGAAAACCAGGACTCCTGGGTTCTTTCCCCAGCTCTGGGAGGGGAGTGGGGTCTAGTGGTTAGAGTGGGGGGAGGGGCAGGGCTGGGAGCCAGTACTCCTGGGTTTTTCTTTCTAGCTCTTGCTCCTGGCGTGCCCAGAGATCAGCTGTCCGTGGGGGGGCCGGGACCCTGCTGCCCTGGGGTGGGGATGGGGTGGGGGTAGCTGGCTTGGGAGGCTGGCTCGTGCCCTGTCAAATCTGCACCCGAAGGCGCGCAATAAACGGTGCGACGGAAACACGGCGGCGTCCGTCTGTGCCCGGCTGCCCGAGCCTCGCCCGGCGGGGGGGGCGGGATGGGGCAGGAGCGCCGGCTGGGGGGCAGGGCCCGGCCTTGCCCACCGGGGGGCGCTGGTTGGGCACAGCGTGCGTGTCTCCAGCTCTTATTTCTGTCCCCGTCCGGTTTTCATTCTCTCTCCGTCCCTCCCTCTCTTCTGCCAGCTCCGCCTTCCCGGCGCTGCTTTCTCGCCTTCCCTTCGTACAGCCTGTTCCCCCCCCTTTGCAGCCGGCCCCCTCTGCCGCCCCCCAGCCATCTGCCAGCCGCGCCAGGGGCTGCAGGAGCTTCTCTGCCACCCCGTGCGGAGCCCTTTCCCCGGGGCGGGCACTGAAAGGTGGGGCCTGGCTGGCTCAGGGGGGCGGCGAATGGGGCTTGGGGCCTGTCCCCCCTAGGGGGCGCTGGCTCCCATCTGGCCCCAGGGCAGGGACTGGCTGGCTCAGGGGCTCAGGGAATGGGGCCTTTCCCCTTGGAGTGGGGGGGATGATGGGGGGGGTGGGGAACCTGCAGCCTTTCCCTGAGGCCAGTTAAGGCCTTACTGCCGTGCTGGGGGGGCATCTCCCCGGCATCTCCCCCAAGACCACCCCGGAAAGTCAGGCTTGGGGGGTCCCAAGCCCGTTCCTGTCTCTTTATCCCCAGTCCCTCCTCGGTGCATATCTTTGCATCTCATTATCCCGCCCACCTATCCCATCTGGTGCTGGGAAGTGTCATTGCTCCTGGGTTGTAATTCTCACTGGTGGGCGGGGGGGGGAGGGGCAGGACTCCTGGGTTCGCTCCCCAGCTCTGAGGGGACTGGGGTCTAGTGGTTAGAGCATGGGGGGGTGGGGCTGGGAGCCAGGACTCCTGGGTTCTCTCTCCAGCTCGGGGAGGGGAGTGGGGTCTGGTGGTTTGTGGGGGGGGCACAGATTTGCTCAAGGCTGCCGGCTGCTTCCCCCCTCACCTGCCAAGAAAGGGCCTGTGCCCTGAGACACTCGCACCATCTGTCTCCCACTGGGGCACGTCCCCCCCGCCCCACACACACACACACACCCCTCGGTCTGGGCAGCTGCCTCCGGGCTGGCTGGGGCTCCCGACAGCTGGCAGTTCCAGGGCCCAGGGGAGGGTGAGCTCGGAGCTGGCCAGGTCCACTGCCTTGGGAGGGGAGTGGGGTCCAGTGGTTAGAGCAGGGGGGGACTGGGAACCTGGACTCCTGGGTTCTCTCTCCAGCTTTGGGAAGGGGAGTGGGGACTAGTGGTTACAGCAGGGGGAGTGGGAGCCAGGACTCCTGGGTTCTCTCCCTGGCTCTGGGAGGGGAGTGGGGACTAGTGGTTAGAGCAGGCAGGGGGTCTGGGGGCCAGGACTCCTGGGTTCTTTCCCCAGCTCTGGGAAGGAGATGGGTTGTGCGGGTTTAGAGTCCAGGAAAGAACCCAGAAGTCCTGGCTCCTTGTCCCCGAGGAACGCTTCCGCAGGGGATGGCCGGTTCTCCGCCTCGGAGCTGTCCCTGGTGCTACTCCCGGCCCCTCCCCGTGGCCTCGGGGCTGGCCTGCCGGAGCCTGGGGGGGGGGGGGGGCAGAGCTGGCGGCAGCGTCCCACGCAGGATCGCCTGGATTGAGAGCCAGTGACGCGGGAGGCTCAGCGTGGGGCGGGGAGGGGGGAGCAGCTGGGGCTGGGACAGATCGGTCCTGGGCAGCCGGCGGCTGAGAGCTCCTGCTGCCGTCGGGAGCCAGAGACGGGCAGGCAAGAGCGCGGGAGAGAAGCGGAGAGAAGCGAGGGACGAGGAAGAGAAGGAACGAGACGGAAAGAGAGAGAAGAGAAAAGAAGGAAGGAAACAGGAGGGAGGCAGGAGAGAGACAGACAGCGACCCCCGCCCCCCGGTGCCGTGGGCCGGAGCATGGTGCTGTGACCCAGCCCGGGCCGGTCCCGCTCGCCGCCATGCAGTTCAACAAGGAGGAATTCCAGAAGTTGGCCGGGAAGACGCTGGGCCAGGTGCACAGGTGAGGCGTGGGGAAGGGGGCGTGGGGGGTTTCTCAGGATCTGGGCCCCTGTGGGGCCAGGATCGGGGCCCTGGTCCCTGCTTTGCCGGGAGCAGGGGGCTGGGGGGCGGACGGTGGCCAAGCGGGTGGCTTGACCTGGGCTGGGTTACGAGCCCCAACCCTCTGAGTCTTTGCCTGGCTGCCCCCCAGATCCACCCTCTCCCCTGTCCCTGAGCCCCCTGCCCCCCACCTTCACCCCTCTGAGTCCCCTGCCCCCCAGATCCACCCTCTTCCCTCAGCCCCCTGCCCCCCAGATCCACCTCTTCTTCCTCAGTGCCCCCTCCCACACAATCACTTCCCCCAAACCCTGGCTTCAGGCCTCCCCTCACTCCCCGCTAGCTTTACCCCATTTCTCAGCCCCACCAAGCTCACTCCCTGGATTCACCCCCCCATGTCTCAGCCCCCCACACTTAACCCTAGATTCACCTGCTGCACCCCCACGATTCACACCCCCCCCCACACACACACACACTCCCCTCCCTTCCCAAACCCCGCCTTGATGCCCAGGGGCAGATGCCAGGCCCCTCCCTTCCGCACGCACACCTATACCCAACTCTTTGGGGTGGGGTGCAGGGGCTGGCAATTCGCTTGGGGGTGCACCCCAGATCTGCCTTGGGAAGCGTCTCCCTCCCCATCCGCCCTTCCTGGGGCGGATGCGATGGAGAGATATTTGCTTTCTATTTATAACCTTCATCCATTCATCATCCCCCCTCCCCCCCCGACCCTCTCTAATCCCCCCGCTTTGGCCTTTAGACACTGGCCCGGTTCTGTATTTCTGCAGCTTGGTGCAATTTCTCCCCCCCCCCCCACTCCCTTGATGAAGTTTGAACCCTTCTGTGTGTCTGGTGGGGTGGGGGGGAAACAGGCCCGTTGGGCTGGGAGACCTAGGGGGAGGTTGCGATGAGCGTGGAGTGGATCACACAATGCTGGGGTCGCCCTGCGAGGCGGGGGGCGGGATTCACAGAAACGCCAGAATAATATTGCAGGTCATGCAGTTGCCGGAGTGGGGCTGGGATGGGGCCTGGTGTGGGTCCCTGCTGCCCCCTGCTGGAGGGGACGGGCCCTGCGCTGTGTCCGGGGTGCCCCGCACATCTGGCGAGCATCGGCATGTGGGTATCTCTTGGAAGTGGGGGCGTGCCGTGTGGGGGTGTGCTGGGGGGGTTGAACGAAAGCCATGAATTCCCGCCCCGCGCCCCAGCCCGCAGGTCTGGTCCGTAGCCGCCCGGCGCTGCCGTCCCCAGGGGAGGTGGGGTGGAGGCGGATCGATGCGGAGCCGGGACATTGTGTTGTTCGCAAACCGCCGAGTGAGCAGAACAAACCCCGGCCCTGGCACGGAGACGGACCCCGGTGCCCTTACGTAACTGGCCCGGATTCCGCCGAAGAGTGGGTCCCACCAGAGCCAAACCTCATGAAATATGCACCAGGTTTCTAAATGGATCCCGCGCGATTTATTTATACAGCGAGCGAGAAACCCTGCGCGAGAGGCTCCGGCCAGGAGCTGTGCAAAGCAGGAGATGATTAGATCAAAGCCCTCTGTGTGTGTCATAACAATTTCTGTGCGTATAATATATATTAATGTGTGTGTGTATATATATATATATATATATATATATTCCCTTCTATAGCTAATCAAAGGGGTGTCTATTGTGTAATCATCCCATCTGTGAGCTTTTGTGTGTTACATACAATAAAATATACACACCCAGATGTGGTGATATATAATATCTAGCTACACATACTTTTCCACAACTACACAGCTATCTGCATGTAATAAACCCTAAGTGCATGGGTGTGTATGCAATATATATGTGCGCACACACAGATTTGGTGGTATATGGTATACGAACACACGTAATAAAAACGATGCAATAAACACGCATATATATTTATATACACACACACACACACACCCCCGTCTATCTGTGGACACATTCCCAGGTGTGTGTCTATATATTGTATATAGAATCGGAGGACGGGCAGGGACCTTGAGGGGTCGTCCAGTCCGGTCCCCGGCGCTCACGGCAGGACTAAGTATTATCTAGACCAGTGGGTCGCGGTGGCTCTGGTTAGCACCGGTGACCGGGCCGTTAAAACTCCCGGCGGTGGTGCTGCCTGGCTGAGGCAGGCTGGTCCCGACCTGTCCTGGCACCGCGCTGCACCCCAGAAGTGCCCAGCAGCAGGTCCGGCTCCTAGGCGGTGGGGCCACAGGGCTCCGTGCGCTGCCCCTGCCCCAAGCACCAGCTCCACACTCCCATTGGCTGGTTCCTGGCCAATGGGAGCTGGGGAGGGGGCGGTGTCTGTGGGTGAGAGCAGCTTGAGTACCTCCACCTTGGAGCCGGACCTGCTGCTGGCTGCTTCCGGGGCGCAGAGGGGTGCCGGGACAGGCGGGAAGCCTGCCTCAGCACCCCTGCTGCACCGCTGACCGGGAGACACCCAAGGTAACCCTGTGCCCCAGCCCTGAGCCCCCCACACCTAAACCCAGAGCCCCTTCCTGCACCCCAAACCCCTCATCCCTGACCCCACCCCAGAGCCTGCACTCCCATCCCAGAGTCCTGACCCCCTCCTGCACCCCAATCCCCTACCCCAGCCCTGAGCCCCCCAAACCCAGTCCCCTCCTGCACCCCAAACCCTTCCTCCTCAGCCCCACCCCAGAGCCTGCACCCCCAGCCCAGAGCCCTCACCCCCTCCCACACCCCAAACCCCTCACCTCTGCTCCGCGGGGTCACGGGCATCAACAATTTTCTTCAACTGGGTCGCCAGAAACAAAGTGTTGAAACCCACCGGTCTAGGCCTTCCATCGTTGGTATAACATCCTGAATACGGACAAAATCAAATCTCTTCACATAGATGTCTATCAATTCCACACCCGTTTACACATGGACACTATCACAGATCTGCTTGTGTCTAAGGGGTGTGTCTGCGCACGAGAGAGCCACCCACAGGGTGTATTCGATATATAACGTATAAACGCCGGCTGTGATCGATCAAGCCAAATCTTTGTGTAGCTACTACAGGCCGGTGGCCGCAGATCTGCGTGCGCGTGGATGAAACCGACGTTAAAAGACCAGGACTAAGGGCGGCAAGTCAAGTGCTCCAGAAACACCCCATGGAAGGTTCTTCACCGTCCTTAATTTGGGTCCCCTTGGGCACCGGTCTTTCCAGACCGTCCTTAACTCTGGCCGCACCTGCTGCTTTTAAGGCCGGGCCGGCGCCTCACGGCGCGGCCGGGGCTCATTACAGGGCGGCTCTTCCCTGTCGAGTTTTGGCCTCGTCACTCAACATTCGCTTTTCTCTTCAGCCCCCCACGGGCGGCCTTGCACCTTGTTCCCGGCACATGGTTCAACCCGCCCCCCTGCTGGCTGCGCCGAGTTTGATCCCTTCCGGGCTTCCCATGAGTGGGTTCCTTTCTCCCCGCGCTGGGCGAGGGGCTGAGCCCCATGATCACCGCTGGGGAGCTGACCTGCTTGGCTCCACCTAGGGCCGGTGGGTGCAGTGGGCTCCCAGCATGGCGGGCACCCGGAAACCCTGGCTCAAGGGCCCCGTCTGGCCTTGCCCAGGTGCTTCGGGGCAGGGCCGGGGATAGGAGCCAGTCGGCTCCCCACAGCTCCTGTCCCTTCCTCCAACGCCCTGCCGCAGGGCCCGCCGGCCTCCTGGCCACAGCAGCTCTCCCCAGCCACCCCTCTATCTATCTATCCATCCATCCATCCATCCCCAGCCACCCCATTTATCTATCTATCCCCATCCACCCCCCCATCTATCCCCATCCGCTCCTCTATCTATCCATCCATCCCCATCCACCCTCTCTATCTATCCATCCCCAGCCACCCCCTCTCTCTCTCTCTCTATCTCCATCCGCCCCTCTATCTATCCATCCATCCCCAGCCACCCTCTCTATCTATCCATCCCCAGCCACCCCCTCTCTCTCTCTGTCTATCCCCATCCGCCCCTCTATCTATCCATCCATCCCCATCCACCCTCTCTATCTATCTATCCCCATCCGCCCCTCTATCTATCTATCCATCCCCAGCCACCCCCTCTCTCTCTCTGTCTATCCCCATCCGCCCCTCTATCTATCCATCCATCCCCATCCACCCTCTCTATCTATCTATCCCCATCCGCCTCTCTATCTATCCATCCATCCCCATCCACCCTCTCTATCTATCTATCCCCATCCGCCCCTCTATCTATCCATCCATCCATCCCCATCCACCCTCTCTATCTATCCATCCCCAGCCATCCCCCTCTCTCTCTCTATCTATCCCCATCCGCCCCTCTATCTATCTAACTATCTATCCCCAGCCATCGCCTCTATCCATCTAACCATCCCCAGACACCCCCTCTGTCTGTCTATCCATCCCCAGCCACCCATCCATCTATCTAATTTTCCATTTCCAGCCACCCCCTCTATCCATCTATCCATCCCCAGACACCCCCCATCTATCCCCCTCCACTCCCTCTATCCATCCCCACCCACCCCCTCTATCTATCTATCTATCTATCTATTTCACACACACACACACACACACACACAAGATTTGTGTGGGAAGGCGTTGGGTCGTTTGCCAGCAGCCGACACCTTTCAGGGTCACGGGAGGCCAGTGCAAAGTCGAAAGGCCGTTCGATATTTTTCCCTTCGCTGCTGTGAACTAGACAGCTGGGCCGGGGCTAATCCTCCCGCCCGGCTCCCAACGTGAAATTGCTTCTTTGTCATGTGCCAAGGCCGGATCCTGTGTGTGCCTATGTCCCGGCCTCCCCTTGCTTGAGCGGATGAGTCCTTCTCTCTCTCTCTCTCTCTCTCTCTCTGTGTCTGTAAGAGAGAAATTGGGCCCAAATTTCCCAAGAGATTTAGGAACCCAAAGATGTAGCGAGAGGCACTCCAGGGGTTTTGACAGTGCCTCGGTATCTGGTGACAGTCTCTGTTTCTCTCCGAATCCCCAGCTCCCAGAGTCCTGGGATTTTGTGAAAATGTCAGCTTCCATTTAAAAGAAAAATAGTAAACCTTTTAGACCTCCCGGCTGGGGCAAAAAGCTTAAAAACACAATCCCTAGAGGCATAGGGGTGAGGGGCAGCACCCACAGCTACCCGAGTATGGGAGGTGGCAGGAATGGGAGGGCACATACAGCCCCTGGCATGGGGGACAATCGGGGGGTTGTAGGGAATCCCTGGGAGGGAAGCGGGGCACCCAGGGAGCTGGCAGCAGGGGAATGGAGGTTTTCATTTTGTTCCACGTGACCACCCCCCCCCCTCCGTGCATGGGGGAGACAGTATTGCTCTCTTAGATCTGCTATTTCCCTTGACCCAGAGCAGGGTGGCCCAGGGGTTAGGACACAGCCTAGGAGATAGTAAACCTGGTTCCAGCATGTACCCTGCCACAGACTCCCCAAGTGACCCTGGTTCAGTCACTTAGCCTCTCCCCAGCCCCCCCCCTCTGTACCATGGGATAATAGCCTGCCCCAAGGATGGGAGTCAGGTAGGTGATCCAGGTAGATTCAAGTGAACCGTCTCTGTAGGGAACTTGAAAACCTGCTTCGTGGGTTAAACTGTTAACACCCCAGGCCATGAAAACTACTCACAACTGCCAGCCATGTCTGGGGTGGCTCCTCCTGGGAAAGGGGCTGGAAGTCCGGACTCCTGGGTTCTCTCCCTAGTGCTGAGAGGGGAGTGGGGTCTAGTGGTTAGAGCAGGGGGGGTGCTGAGAGCCAGGACGCCTGGGTTCTGCCCTGGCTCTGGGCAGGGAGTAGGGTCTAGTGGTTAGAGCTGGGAGGTGCTGGGAACCGGGACTTGTGCAACCTTTCCCCTCCCTCCAAGGACTTTCGCTGAGGCCCAGCTTCCTTTTGACCAGCCCTTCCAGGGCGCGCTGAATAATTCATGGCTTTTCGAGCCATAGCTGCATCCTGCCTCATCTATATTTCATGGCGCTGAAGTTGGCTCCATAGAAATTTTTTCCCTTCCAACACCCTGTGTTTAAGTCTCACGACTCTGGGAATCCCTGAACCCGCCCAGAGCCCCGAGCAAGGAACCAGCCCTGATTTCAGCTCCGTTTTCACTCCAGCCTGTCGAAGTCTTGTCATTGGACTGAAGGGTTTAAATTGAATTTAGAGCAGGGGAGGGGCAGGGGACCAGGACTCCTGGGTTCTCTCCCCAGCTCTGGGAGGGGAGTGGGGTCTAGTGGGTGAGAGCAGGGGGAGTCTGGGGGCCAGGCCTCCTGGGTTCTCTCCCTGGCTTTGGAAGGGGAGTGGAGTCCAGCAGTTAGAGCGGGGCTGGGTGCCAGGACTCCTGGGTTCGATCCCTGGCTTTGGGAGGGGAGGGGGGTCTGGTGGTTGGGTGTCTGGGGGCCAGAACTCCTGGGTTCTGGCCCTGGCGGAGGAGTTTAGTGGTATTTTGTTTGAATTTGAGTGTCTGTTTTGTGTGTGCATTGAATTTTCTCTCCTTTGACTGAGGAATTTGAACTGCATTTTTAAAAATATATCCGAACCCTCTGTACCAGTATCTGTCTATATTGCAGATTTTTTCAACTGAGCACAGCTGCCTTCGGGTTTTTAGAGCATGTGCTTGTTTTTATTTGATTCTGATTGCTTAGGGTTGCATTTGGCTTGGAGTCTTTAATTGGTGCAGGCAGTTTCATGTTTTTATTCCCTTAGTTCGAAGGACGAGGATTATTTAATTAATTAGCATTGTTGGATATAATTAACCACTTCATTTAGACGATCTTATTTATTTAGCTTAATTTCAGCAGTTTCCCGCCCTGTTGATTTTGATTCATGACAGTTGTGCTGGTTTCTTGTTTGCATGTTGCTTAATTGCAGCGAATGCATTTATGATGCCATTTGGGTGCCTAGGCACTCCAGTCATGCATTGTGCTAGGTGCTGTGAATTTGTATTGCTATTAGGTGCATTACGGGAGCGCCCAGGAGCCCCGGACACAGCCGAGGACCCCATGGTGGCAGGCGCTGCGCATTGTTAGGTGTATTACGGTAGCGCCCAGGAGCCCCAGAGACAGCCCAGGACCCCATGGCGCCAGGCGCTGCGCATTGTTAGGTGTATTATGGTAGCGCCCAGGAGCCCCAGAGACAGCCCAGGACCCCATGGCGCCAGGCGCTGCGCATTGTTAGGTGTATTACGGTAGCGCCCAGGAGCCCCAGAGACAGCCCAGGACCCCATGGCGCCAGGCGCTGTGCATTGTTAGGTGTATTATGGTAGCGCCCAGGAGCCCCAGAGACAGCCCAGGACCCCATGGCGCCAGGCGCTGCGCATTGTTAGGTGTATTACGGAATCAAAGAAGATCAGGGTTGGAAGAGACCTCAGAAGGTATCTAGTCCAACCCCCTGCTCAAAGCAGGACCAATCCCCAATTTTTGCACCAGATCCCTCAATGGCCCCCTCAAGGATTGAACTCCCAACCCTGGGTTTAGCAGGCCAATGCTCAAACCACTGAGCTATCCCTCCCTTGCGCATTATTAGGTGTATTACGGTAGCACCCAGGGGCCCCAGAGACGGCCCAGGGCCCCACGGCTGCGCAGACCCTGAACTAAAAGCCGGCCCCGGCCCCGGCGAGCCGCCAGTGCTGGACAAGAGGCGCTGGCTAGAGACAGTCGGACAGGGGAACCCGGAGCAGGACTGAGATCCGGGGGGGTCAGCATGGGAGCCCCCCAGCGCCTGGCCCCACTGGCTTCCCAGCCGGGACGAGCCTGAGGCGGGAGCCAGAGGCGGGTAACGAGGTGGCTGTGGCCGGTGCTCATGGGGGCGCCTGCCCCGTGTGGGGGGCAGCTGGGAGCTGTCAGCGCGGCCGTGAAGGAGCGAGGCGAGGCCACGGGGGGGGCGGGGAGCCCGGCAGCTTGTGTCTGACGTGCTAGCGACGGGCAGCCAGCGGACAGAGGCCTGACGCGGGCACAGCGACGGGCACGGGGAACAAGCTGCAGGGGCCTACGAGCAGGGCATGTCTGTGTTTGCCAAGAGCAGAGATCCGGGGTGTATTTACACCACAACGGGACCCCTCACTCTTCCCAAGCGGGCGGTCAGGCTCCCTGCCCAGCACCCCCCCCCCAGCGTACAGTGGTCTGAGCTGCGACTCACTGCTGAGGGAGCAGCCTGTTTTCTCTCTCTCTGGTTTTGGGCCCCGAGTCTTCAGAGAACCAAACACACTCCTGAGCTTGGCTTTGAAACTCCTGCGATTTTCCAGCCAACACCCAGGCCTTGCTTTGACTTGGCCCCTTTTCAAGCTTTTCTCTGCAACTTTGAAAGTGCAAACCATAAATTACGATTGCGGTCGTCGACCCCAACCCCCCCCGGGTTTAGCCGAGATTTGCGGCCAGGGGAGAGGCTCTTTCCGAGGAGCAAGAAATAAATGGTACAAGACGAGCCAATTGGGGTGGGGTGTTTTTTTTTCCTTTTGGCATTTTTTATGGGCTTCCTAAATTTGGGCCAAGGTCACAGATTGGGGAGGGAGCAAAAAAGGATGCCGTCCCAATGTTTCCCTTTGAAATTTCCTCCCGTTCTACGAAAGAAATAACCACGAAACCAGCTCAGGAAAAAGCCCCGCGCCAAATGGATTCTTTTCCCCCCTTTAACGTTTGGGTGCGCTGGAAATTTCGAACCGCTTTCCTCCAGCTGGCGCGACGGATTTCTCCCCGGGTTTTCCCGATTGGCAGAGCTCGGCAATCTCCAGGACTCGCCCAGCTCCAGCGAGGAGGCGGGGAGAGTCAGAGGGCCACAAAACCTGCCCGGTTGGAGGGCCCAGGCTGGAGGCCGGCCTGGTATTCGTGTTTGCTTCAACCGGAGTGGCTCGGTTCGCAAACCAGCCGGAGTCCCCAAGTGCCCGGGGAGGAGCCACCCCAGCCAGTGGTTAATTCTCCGGGCTGTTCAACATTTGCATCTTGGCTCCTGTCTGAATCAGTCCAGCTTCCGCGTCAGACCTTTGCCTGATTAAATACGCCTTCATTAGCAAATTTCCCCACTTTGGTCACCCCCTAACCTTCTCCTTCTTAAGCTGCACCCATGCCCCCCCTCTGCGTTCCTGCCCCGTGGGGGGCAGCCAGGCCCATTTGGGTGGGCGGCTGCTCTCCGCCCTCCCCGGTCACCTTCTGCGGTGGGATTTAGGCGTCCGGCGGCTAATTCCCCGGCAGCAAGGGTCATCTCCGGCCCCATACAGTGAGCGGGGGGAGATCGGGGGGAGTGCAGACGGATACCCCTGTTGGCAGGTGGGGTAAGGGGCTGGGGGTCAGCCCCATAGGGAGAGCAGGCACACACACACACTCCCCCCTCCACCAGAGAAACATTTACACCCAACCCTAACCCGGGACCCCCGCCAGCCCCAGATGGATTTCAAGACCTGGGTCAGAGGTGCCCACTCCCCAATATTGCTTTCTCCCCCCCAGAGCAGGACTCGTTCCCCCCAGCAGGGGGCGCCAGAGACACACACAGAGCGCAGGGCCCGGCCCCTCCAGCAGGGGGCGCCAGGGACACACACACAGGAGGTTCCCTCCAGAGGGGGGCGGGACACACACACAGCGCAGGGCCCGGCCCCTCCAGCAGGGGGCGCCAGGGACACACACACAGCGCAGGGCCCGGCCCCTCCAGCAGGGGGCGCCAGGGACACACACACAGCGCAGGGCCCGGCCCCTCCAGCAGGGGGCGCCAGGGACACACACACACAGCGCAGGGCCCGGCCCCTCCAGCAGGGGGCGCCAGGGACGCACTCACAGCGCAGGGCCCAGCCCCTCCTGCAGGGGGCGCCAGGGACACACACACAGCGCAGGGCCCCTCCCCTCCAGCAGGGGGCGCCAGGGACACACACACAGCGCAGGGCCCCTCCCCTCCAGCAGGGGCGCCAGGGACACACACAGCGCAGGGCCCCTCCCCTCCTGCAGGGGGCGCCAGGGACACACACACAGCGCAGGGCCCGGCCCCTCCAGCAGGGGGCTCCAGGGACACACACAGCGCAGGGCCCGGCCCCTCCAGCAGGGGGCGCCAGGGACACACACACAGCGCAGGGCCCGGCCCCTCCTGCAGGGGGCGCCAGGGACGCACTCACAGCGCAGGGCCCGGCCCCTCCAGCAGGGGGCGCCAGGGACACACACACAGCGCAGGGCCCGGCCCCTCCAGCAGGGGGCTCCAGGGACACACACAGCGCAGGGCCCGGCCCCTCCAGCAGGGGGCGCCAGGGACACACACACAGCGCAGGGCCCGGCCCCTCCAGCAGGGGGCGCCAGGGACCACACACACAGCGCAGGGCCCGGCCCCTCCAGCAGGGGGCGCCAGGGACACACACAGCGCAGGGCCCGGCCCCTCCAGCAGGGGGCGCCAGGGACACACACACACAGCGCAGGGCCCGGCCCCTCCAGCAGGGGGCTCCAGGGACACACACAGCGCAGGGCCCGGCCCCTCCAGCAGGGGGCGCCAGGGACGCACTCACAGCGCAGGGCCCGGCCCCTCCAGCAGGGGGCTCCAGGGACACACACAGCGCAGGGCCCGGCCCCTCCTGCAGGGGGCAGCAGACCCCCCCCGACAAACACACAATCGGGGCCGCTCTGCTCTCACTAGCCGGGGCGGGGGGGGCTGTAGCAGCTCGGGACAGCTTGTGCGAAGGAGGGGGGGCGTGTGCAACGCCCAGCCCCAGCCCGGCTGCGGGTATTCGCGAGCGGATGAGGCAGCTTGGCCAGGAGCCCAGCACGGGGCTTAGCGCGGCTCCCATATGGTCCCGCTGCGCCACGTGGCATCAGGCACCGGCGCCAACTCCCCCCCCTCCGCCCCCCTCCCCCAACACGCCGGGGCTGGGATTGCGGCAGGCTGCGCAGAACTGGGCTGGTGCAGAGCCCGGCGCTGCACTGTGCCACTAGGGGGCGCTGGGGAGCGGGGGCAGGGCAGGGGAGTCAGCAGGGGGCGCTGGGGAGCGGGGTGGGGGGCTCAGCAGGGGGCGCTGGTCTGTGGGGGGAGGGCGGGGGGCTCAGCAGGCGGCGCTGGGCTGGAGGGGCAGGGCAGGGGGATCAGAAGGGGGCGCTGGGGAGCGGGGGGCAGGGCAGGGGTCAGAAGGGGCGCTGGTCAGCGGGGGGCTCAGAAGCGGGCACTCTCCCCTGGCAGTCAGGGCTGGCTCCCAGGAGGCGATAGGGGGCGCTGGGCTGCTGGGAGCAGTAGGGCGGGGGGGGGTGCTGGGCTGAGGGAAGCAGTAGGGCGGGGGGGGCACTGGGCTGCGGGGAGCAGTAGGGTGGGGGGTGGCGGGGGGGGGAGGCTCCGTTTCTCTCGCTCTTGCAGAGCTGCTGGTGCTAAGAAGATGCAGCGTGAAAAGGTGCAAGAATTAGCAGCTGCCTCTTCACACCAGGTGGGGAGGGGGGTGGGGGCGAGAAGGGGAGGGGGGGAGGCTGGGGATGAGAAGGGGAGGAGGCCGGGAAGGAGGAGGCGGTGGGGGTGCGGAAGGGTAGTGAGGAGGGGGTGGGTGTTGGGATGGAGGTAGAGGGGAAGGAGTAGGGGTGGGACAATTGGGGAAGGGGGTAGGGGGTGGGGTTGGGAGGCAGCTGGGGGCTGGAGAGGAGCAGTAGGAGGAGGGGGAGGGGGCAGGGACCAGAAATGAGAGGCTGGTTCTGCTCTCAGATCACCCAGGTCAATCCGGAGTCACTCCTGTTTGCAATGGGGGCAGGGCCGCGTTCTGCTCTCAGCTCCCCCAGGGTCAATCCAGAGTCACTCTGTTTGCAATGAGGATAGGGCCAGGTTCTGATCTCAGCTCCCGGGACCCCTGGGGTCAATCCAGAGTCACTCCTGTTTGTAATGAGGATAGGGCCAGGTTCTGATCTCAGCTCCCGGGACCCCTGGGGTCAATCCAGAGTCACTCCTGTTTGCAATGGGGGCAGGGCCGCGTTCTGCTCTCAGCTCCCCCAGGGTCAATCCAGAGTCACTCTGTTTGCAATGAGGATAGGGCCAGGTTCTGATCTCAGCTCCCGGGACCCCTGGGGTCAATCCAGAGTCACTCCTGTTTGCAATGAGGGCAGGGCCGGGCATTTTACCAACTGAAGAGAAACAAAAACCTGAAGACTTCAATATCTGTTAACTAGGAGCAAACGCTGGGAATAGGAGGGGTTTGGGGAAATGGATGGATTGTAGCTGCTACGTCCCAGCGCCGGGCGAGGGGTCCCCGTATACCCAGCCCCCTGCCCCAGGGGGGTCCCTGTATACACAGGCCCCTGCCCCACCCCAGAGAGGTTGTGTCCTAGTGTCGGGCGAGGGGTCCCCGTATACCCAGCCCCCTGCCCCACCCCAGAGCCAGCCGCATCCCAGTGCCTGGTGAGGGGTCCCCATATACCCAGCCCCCTGCCCCACCCCAGAGCCAGCCGCATCCCAGTGCCTGGTGAGGGGTCCCCGTATACCCAGCCCCCTGCCCCACCCCAGAGCCAGCCGCATCCCAGCGCCTGGCGAGGGGTCCCCATATACCCAGCCCCCTGCCCCACCCCAGAGGGGCCGTGTCCCAGCGCCGGGGAGGGGGGGACCTGGCAGGAAGCTGTGGGGAAAGCCGGTACCAGAGGAGCCGACCTCGCTGGGGAAGGTCAGTTCAGCTCGAGCCGGGCGGGGGCCGGGCGGGGGGAGCTTAGCCAGGGATATTTAAAACCGTCCTTGTGATCTGCTAACGCGGCTGCCTGCCCCATGACCCGGCAGCTCCCTGTGCTGAGCAAGGCTGGCCCCGGGGCCGGGATGGGGGGGGCTGGCCCTGCTCAGCAAGGGAGCTGCCGGGTGAGGTGGGGGTGGGGGTATCTAGCTACCCACCCACCCCATCCATCCCCACCCACCCCCTCCATCTATCTATCCCCATCCGTCCCCTCTATCTATTGATCTCCATCCACTCCCCCTATCTATCTATCTATCCCCATCCACCCCCCTATCTATCTATCTATCCCCACCCACCCCCTCTATCTATCTATCTATCCCCATCCGCCCCCCATCTATCTATCTATCTATCCCCACCCACCCCCCTATCTATCTATCCCCACCCACCCCCTCTATCTATCTATCTATCCTCATCCACCCCCCTATCTATCTATCCCCACCCACCCCCCTTCTATCTATCCTATCTATCTATCTCCATCCACCCCCCTTCATCTATCCTATCTATCTATCTCCATCCACCCCCCTATCTATCTATCTATCTATCTATCCCCACCCACCCCATCTATCTATCTATCTATCCCCATCCGCCCCCCATCTATCTATCTATCTATCCCCACCCACCCCCCTATCTATCTATCCCCACCCACCCCCTCTATCTATCTATCTATCCTCATCCACCCCCCTATCTATCTATACCCATCCACCCCCCATCTATCTATCTATCTATCCTCATCCACCCCCCTATCTATCTATCTCCATCCACCCCCCTATCTATCTATCTATCTATCTATCTATCCCCACCCACCCCATCTATCTATCTATCTATCTATCCTCATCCACCCCCCATCTATCTATCTCCATCCACTCTATCTATCTATCTATCTATCTATCTATCTATCTATCTATCCCCATCCGCCCCCATCTATCTATCTATCTATCTATCTATCTATCTATCCCCACCCACCCCCTCTATCTATCTATCCCCATCCGCCCGCCATCTATCTATCTATCTATCCTCATCCACCCCCCCTATCTATCTATCTATCTCCATCCACTCTATCTATCTATCTATCTATCTATCTATCTATCTATCTATCTATCCCCATCCGCCCCATCTATCTATCTATCTATCTATCTATCTATCTATCTATCTATCTATCTATCTATCCTCATCCACCCCCCTATCGATCTATCTATCTATCTATCCCCACCCACCCCCTCTATCTATCTATCTATCTATCTATCTATCTATCCTCATCCACCCCCCATCTATCTATCTATCTATCTATCTATCTATCTATCTATCTATCTCTCTATCCCCATCTGCCCCATCTATCTATCTATCTATCTATCTATCTATCTATCTATCTATCTATCCTCATCCACCCCCTATCTATCTATCTATCTATCTATCTATCTATCTATCTATCTATCTATCCCCATCCGCCCCATCTATCTGTCTATCTATCTATCTATCCTCATCCACCCCATCTATCTATCTATCTATCCTCATCCACCCCCCTATCGATCTATCTATCTATCTATCCCCACCCACCCCCTCTATCTATCTATCTATCTATCTATCTATCCTCATCCACCCCCCATCTATCTATCTATCTATCTATCTATCTATCTATCTATCTATCTATCTATCTATCTATCTATCCCCATCCGCCCCATCCATCTATCTATCTATCTATCTATCTATCTATCCCCATCTATCTATCTATCTATCTATCTATCTATCTATCTATCTATCTATCTTCCCTATCTATCTATCTATCTATCTATCTATCTCATCTATCTATCCTCATCCACCCCATCTATCTATCTATCTATCTATCTATCTATCTATCTATCTATCCTCATCCACCCCCCTATCGATCTATCTATCTATCTATCCCCACCCACCCCCTCTATCTATCTATCTATCTATCTATCTATCTATCTATCTATCTATCCTCATCCACCCCCCATCTATCTATCTATCTATCTATCTATCTATCTATCTATCTATCCCCATCTGCCCCATCTATCTATCTATCTATCTATCTATCTATCTATCCTCATCCACCCCCTATCTATCTATCTATCTATCTATCTATCTATCTATCTATCTATCTATCTATCTATCCCCATCCGCCCCATCTATCTATCTATCTATCTATCTATCTATCTATCTATCTATCTATCTATCCTCATCCACCCCATCTATCTATCTATCCTCATCCACCCCCCTATCTATCTATCTCCATCCACTCTATCTATCTATCTATCTATCTATCTATCTATCTATCTATCTATCTACCCCCACCCCCCACCCCCCGTCTCTCGCTCGCTCTCGCTGTCCCTGGGCCAGGCTCCTGGAGCGGCACCAGCCGGGCGGGGAGACGATCGAGCTGACGCAGGAGGGGCGGGCGGTGGCGGTGGCGGAGAAGCACCAGCCGGTCGTGGACTGCACCTGCTTCGGCCTCCCGCGCCGGTACATCATCGCCATGCTCTGCGGCTTCGGCTTCTGCATCAGCTTCGGGATCCGCTGCAACCTGGGCGTGGCCATCGTCAGCATGGTCAACAACAACACCGTGTACCGGGGCGACAAGGTGGTGGTGGAGGTGAGCGGCCTGTGCCCTCCAGGGGGCGCCGACTCCCACCCGGCCCCCGGGCGGGGACTGGCTCGGGGGGGCGGGGAATGGGGCCCGGGGCCTGTGCCCTCCAGGGGGCGCTGACTCCCACCCGGCCCCCGGGCGGGGACTGGCTCAGGGGGCGGGGAATGGGGCCCGGGGCCTGTCCCCTCTAGGGGGCGCCGACTCCCCCTGGCTCCAGGGCGGGGACTGGCTCAGGGGGGCGGGGAATGGGGCCCGGGGCCTGTGCCCTCCAGGGGGCGCCAACTCCCCCTGGCTCCAGGGCGGGGACTGGCTCAGGGGGGCGGGGAATGGGGCCCGGGGCCTGTCCCCTCCAGGGGCGCCGACTCCCCCTGGCTCCAGGGCGGGGACTGGGTCAGGGGGCGGGGAATGGGGCCGGGGCCTGTGCCTCCAGGGGCGCTGACTCCCACCCGGCCCCGGGCGGGGACTGGCTCAGGGGGGGGGAATGGGGCCGGGGCCTGTCCCCTCTAGGGGCGCCGACTCCCCTGGCTCCAGGGCGGGGACTGGCTCAGGGGGGGGGAATGGGGCCGGGGCCTGTGCCCTCCAGGGGCGCCAACTCCCCTGGCTCCAGGGCGGGGACTGGCTCAGGGGGCGGGGAATGGGGCCCGGGGCCTGTCCCCTCCAGGGGGCGCCGACTCCCCCTGGCTCCAGGGCGGGGACTGGGTCAGGGGGGCGGGGAATGGGGCCCGGGGCCTGTGCCCTCCAGGGGGCGCCAACTCCCCCTGGCTCCAGGGCGGGGACTGGCTCAGGGGGGCGGGGAATGGGGCCCGGGGCCTGTCCCCTCCAGGGGGCGCCGACTCCCCCTGGCTCCAGGGCGGGGACTGGCTCGGGGGGGCGGGGAATGGGGCCCGGGGCCTGTGCCCTCTAGGGGGCGCCAACTCCCCCTGGCTCCAGGGCGGGGACTGGCTCGGGGGGGCGGGGAATGGGGCCCGGGGCCTGTCCCCTCTAGGGGGCGCCGACTCCCACCCGGCCCCCGGGCGGGGACTGGCTCAGGGGGCGGGGAATGGGGCCCGGGGCCTGTGCCCTCCAGGGGGCGCCAACTCCCCCTGGCTCCAGGGCGGGGACTGGCTCGGGGGGCGGGGAATGGGGCCCAGGGCCTGTCCCCTCTAGGGGGCGCCGACTCCCACCCGGCCCCCGGGCGGGGACTGGCTCAGGGGGGCGGGGAATGGGGCCCGGGGCCTGTGCCCTCCAGGGGGCGCCGACTCCCACCCGGCCCCCGGGCGGGGACTGGCTCAGGGGGCGGGGAATGGGGCCCGGGGCCTGTGCCCTCCAGGGGGCCAACCCCCTGGCTCAGGGCGGGGACTGGCTCGGGGGCGGGGAATGGGGGGGGCCTTCCCCTCTAGGGGCGCCGACTCCCACCTGGCCCCCGGGCGGGGCTGGCTCAGGGGGCGGGGAATGGGGCCCGGGGCCTGTGCCCTCCAGGGGGCGCCGACTCCCACCCGGCCCCCGGGCGGGGACTGGCTCAGGGGGCGGGGAATGGGGCCCGGGCCTGTCCCCTCTAGGGGCGCCAACTCCCCCTGGCTCCAGGGCGGGGACTGGCTCGGGGGGCGGGGAATGGGGCCCGGGGCCTGTCCCCTCTAGGGGGCGCCAACTCCCCCTGGCTCCAGGGCGGGGACTGGCTCGGGGGGGCGGGGAATGGGGCCCGGGGCCTGTCCCCTCTAGGGGGCGCCAACTCTCACCCGGCCCCTAGGTGGGGACTGGCTCAGGGGGGTGGGGAATGGGGCCCGGGGCCTGTCCCCTCTAGGGGGCGCCAACTCTCACCCGGCCCCTAGGTGGGGACTGGCTCAGGGGGGCGGGGAATGGGGCCCAGGGCCTGTCCCCTCCAGGGGGCGCCGACTTCCACCCGGCCCCTAGGTGGGGACTGGCTCAGGGGGGCGGGGAATGGGGCCCGGGGCCTGTCCCCTCCAGGGGGCGCCGACTTCCACCCGGCCCCTAGGTGGGGACTGGCTCAGGGGGCGGGGAATGGGGCCCAGGGCCTGTCCCCTCCAGGGGGCGCCGACTTCCACCCGGCCCCTAGGTGGGGACTGGCTCAGGGGGGCGGGGAATGGGGCCCGGGGCCTGTCCCCTCCAGGGGGCGCCGACTTCCAACCGGCCCCTAGGTGGGGACTGGCTCAGGGGGGCGGGGAATGGGGCCCAGGGCCTGTCCCCACTAGGGGGCGCCGACTCCCCCTGGCTCCGGGGCGGGGAATGGGGCCCGGGGCCTGTCCCCTCCAGGGGGTGCCAACTCTTACCCGGCCCCTAGGTGGGGACTGGCTCAGGGGGGCGGGGAATGGGGCCCGGGGCCTGTCCCCTCCAGGGGGTGCCAACTCCCACCCGGCCCCAGGGCGGGGACTGGCTGGCTCAGGGGGGCGGGGAATGGGGCCCAGGGCCTGTCCCCTCCAGGGGGCGCCGACTCCCACCCGGCCCCTAGGTGGGGACTGGCTCAGGGGGGCGGGGAATGGGGCCCGGGGCCTGTCCCCTCTAGGAGGCGCCGACTCCCACCCGGCCCCAGGGCGGGGACTGGCTGGCTCAAGGGGGCTGGGAATGGGGTGCGGGGCCTTTCCTCTGTTTCTTTTCCTCCACAGAAAGCCCAGTTCACCTGGGACCCCGAAACGGTCGGGATGATTCACGGCTCCTTCTTCTGGGGCTACATCGTCACGCAAATCCCTGGCGGCTTCATCGCCCAGAAATTCGCTGCCAATAGGTTGGAAGAGACGCACAGCCGGCCCCATGGCCCCAGGGCGCACCAGGGGCGCTGGGGAGCGGGGTGGGGGCTCAGCAGGGGGCGCTGGGCTGCGGGGGGTGGGGCAGGGAGGCATTTCAGGTCAGGTACAAAATCTCAGTCGCATTAAAACTCCCCTGGCTCCTTTCCGCTCTGTCAGGGCCTGGCCCCTCTCCAAATGGGCTAATCCTTGGCTGGTTCCCTGAATCTCCCGGGAGAGACACCGCTTCCCGTCCCGCTGGGCGGCAGTCTGCGCTACCCAGCCCCCCGTGCCCCACCCCAGAGTCAGCCGCATCGCCGTGCCGGGCGCGGGGTCCCCGTATACCCAGGCCCCACGCCCCACCCCAGAGTCAGCTGCATCTCCGTGCCAGGCGCGGGGTCCCCGTATACCCAGGCCCCACGCCCCACCCCAGAGTCAGCCGCATCTCCATGCCGGGCGCGGGGTTCCCGTATACCCAGGCCCCACGCCCCACCCCAGAGTCAGCTGCATCTCCGTGCCGGGCGCGGGGTCCCCGTATACCCAGGCCCCACGCCCCACCCCAGAGTCAGCTGCATCTCCGCGCCGGGCGCGGGGTCCCCATGTACCGAGCCTCTGCCCCCCGCCCCAGAGTCAGCCGCATCTCCGTGCCGGGCGCGGGGTCCCCGTATACCCAGGCCCCACGCCCCACCCCAGAGTCAGCCGCATCTCTGTGCCGGGCGCGGAGTCCCCGTATACCCAGGCCCCATGCCCCACCCCAGAGTCAGCCGCATCTCCGTGCCGGGCGCAGGGTCCCCATATACCCAGCCCCCCCGCCCCACCCCACAGGGGTCGCGTCCTAGTGCCGGGCGAGGGGTCCCCATATACCCAGTCCCCGCACCCCACCCCAGAGCCAGCTGCATCTCCGCGCCGGGCGCGGGGTCCCCGTATACCCAGCCCCAATGCCCACCCCAGAGCCAGCCGCATCTCCGCGCCGGGCGCGGGGTCCCCGTGTACCCAGCCCCCGTGCCCCACCCCACAGGAGCCACGTCCTAGTGCCGGGCGAGGGGTCCCCATGTACTCAGCCTCCACCCCCCACCCCAGAGTCAGCCGCATCTCCAGGCCGGGCGTGGGGTCCCCATGTACCGAGCCCCTGCCCCCCACCCCAGAGTCAGCCACATCTCCGTGCTGGGTGCGGGGTCCCCGTATACCCAGCCCCCACGCCCCACCCCAGAGTAAGCTGCATCTCCGCGCCGGGCACGGGTCCCCGTATACCCAGCCCCCGCGCCCCACCCCACAGGAGCCACATCCTAGTGCCGGGCGAGGGGTCCCCGTGTACTCAGCCCCCGCGTCCCACCCCAGAGTCAGCCACATCTCCGTGCCGGGCGCAGGGTCCCCATATACCCAGCCCCCGCGCCCCACCCCACAGGGGTCGCGTCCTAGTGCCAGGCAAGGGGTCCCCGTGTACTCAGCCCCCGTGCCCCACCCCAGAGTCAGCCGCATCTCCGTGCCGGGCGCGGGGGTCCCCGTATACCCAGCCCCAATGCCCACCCTAGACCCAGCCGCATCTCAGTACCGGGCGCGGGGTCCCCGTGTACCCAGCCCCGGTGCCCCACTCCAGAGGGGCCGTGTCCCACTTCTGGTTCGGGGGGGTCCCTGGATACCCAGACCCCCTCACCCCACCCCAGAGAGGTCCCCATATACCCAGCCCCTGCTCCCCACCTCAGAGGCATCAGAGGTGTAAGAGTGCGAGGGAGGCAAAATGCAGCCGTGAGCAGCTGTTCTGACCAGCGACGATGCGGCTTCAGCCATGACCAGCAGCGGCAGAACACAGAGCATCGATTGTGCCGACACAACAGTGTGTCACTAGTGTTAGTGCAATGCACTAGTGAGCAGGGAGCGTGCAAACACTAGTGATCGGTGCGTGTGCGATGCACTGTTGGGCAGCGAGCGTGCAAGCCCATGTTTGAGCAGTGAGCGTTCAATGCATAAAGGAGCAGCAAGCCTCCAGTGCACTAGTGAACAATGTGTGTGCAAACACACTAGGGAGCAGCCAGCATGTGAAGCCCTTTTGAGCAGTGACCCTGGAAACATAAGATCAAGCTGCCAAGTACACAGGCACAGTAGTGGGCAAGAAGCATTTCGTGCACTAGTGAGTAACGAGCAGGCAAACACAAGGGTGACCCTTGAGTGTGCAAATACCATAGTGAGCAGCAAGTGTGCAATGCACTGATGTGCGGTGCGTATTTGAATGCACCAGCTAGCTTGCAAATACACGCGCCCTCCGTGAGCATGCAAACAGTGAGCAGCGAGCGTGCAAGCACAAGAGTGTGCCTTGCACCGGTGAGCATCCAAACACAATAGGAAGCAGCGAGCGTGCAACGCACTACTGAGAGGCGAAGACAACAGTGAGCCGCGAAGGTACAATGCACTCGTGAGCAGCGAGCGGGCAAACACAAGAGTGAGCAACCAGCGTGCCACACACGAGCGAGCCGCGCGCGTGCAAACGATGGCGCGAGCCCCCCGCCCTGACCCCGCCCTCCCCCCGCAGGGTGTTTGGCTTTGCCATCGTGGCCACCTCGACCCTGAACATGCTGATCCCATCGGCCGCCCGGGTTCACTACGGCTGCGTCATCTTCGTCCGCATCCTGCAGGGGCTGGTGGAGGTGAGCGCCCCCTGGTGGGGGGGACCACGGAGGAGGGGGTGGGGCTTGCCTTCCTGGCCACGCCCCCCATCCTCATGGGGGAGGCTTGGGAGGGAAGGGTTAGGGGGTGGGGCTTGATATGTTGGCCACACCCCTTCTTGCACATGGAGGTGGCGGGGTAAGAGGGCAGGGCTTGCTTTTCTGGCCACGCCCGTTTCTAGTCCGGGTGGGAGGGGGCAACCAGTTGAAGGGGGTGGGGCTGCTGGTAGGGGGCGGGTCTCCCTCTAGCCTTGCCCTCTTTGTGTATTGGGAGGCGTGGCCAGATGTGCTAGCCACGCCCCCTTCCTAATGGAGGGGGTTTGTGAGCGCGGTGTGGGAGGAACGGTGCCAGTGAAGGGGCGGAGCCTGGTAGCCTGGCCACGCCCCCCCCCAGCCCTAACATCTGTCTGTCCCAGGGGGTGACGTACCCAGCCTGCCACGGGATCTGGAGCAAGTGGGCCCCACCTCTGGAGCGCAGCCGCCTCGCCACCACGGCCTTCTGTGGTAAGGGACCCTCCCCTGCCGAGCCCGGATGCCTGGGTTCTCTCCCCGGTGCCAGGGGGGAGGGGGGGTCTAGTGGTTAGAGCAGGGGGGCTGGGAGCCTAGACTCCTGGGTTCTGTCCCCGGTTCAGGGGCGGGTGGGGTCTAGTTCGGTTCACACCGTGGGGCTTTGGCTAACGTGGGCCACAACCTCTCGCAGGCTCCTACGCGGGCGCCGTGGTGGCCATGCCGCTGGCCGGGGTCCTGGTCCAGTATTCGGGGTGGAGTTCGGTCTTCTACGTCTATGGTAAGGTCAGACCCATGGGCCCATCGACTGCAGCGTCCAGCCTCCCCCCACCAACCCTACAGGCCCATCGACCCCGGCGTTCAGCCTCCCGCCACCCGACCTGCGGGCCCATCTACCCTGGCGTCCAGCCTCCCCACAACAAACCCACGGGCCCATCTATCCCGGTGTCCAGCCTCCCCCCACCAGACCCATGGACCCATCAACTCTGGCATCCAGCCTCCTACCACCAGACTCACAGGCCCACCAATCCCGGCATCCAGACTCCCGCCACCAGACCCATGGACCCATCTACCCTGGCATCCAGCCTCCCCACAACAAACCCACGGGCCCATCTATCCTGGTGTCCAGCCTTCCACCACCAGAGTCACGGGCCCATCTATCCCGGCATCCAGCCTCCCACCACCAACCCTACAGGCCCATCGACCCAGGTGTCCAGCCTCCCCACAACAAACCCACGGGCCCATCTACCCTGGCGTCCAGCCTCCCCACAACAAACCCATGGGCCCATCTATCCCAGCATCCAGCCTCCCCCCACCACACCCGCGGGCCCCTCCTGCCCAGTATCCCCACACAGAGGTGGGAGGGGCTCTCTCAGCTGGCTGTTCCCCCCCCGCCCCCGCCATGACTCCTCCCCCCTGCTATCGACAGGCAGCTTTGGGATCTTCTGGTACATGTTCTGGTTGCTGGTTTCCTATGAGAGCCCGGCTCAGCACCCCACCATCACGGAGGAGGAGCGCCGGTACATTGAGGAGAGCATCGGGGAGAGCGCCAGCCTCATGAACCCCCTGGTGGTGAGACCCCCATGGCAAGCGGGCTGGGGGCACTGCTGCGGGGAAGCTCGCAGTGCCGGGACGCCCTGGGCTGGGGGCACTGCTGTGGGGAAGCTCGCAGCACCGGGACACCCTGCCTGGGGGCACTGCTGTGGGGAAGCTCGCAGCACCGGGACACCCTGCCTGGGGGCACTGTTGTGGGGAAGCTCGCAGCCTGGCTATCTCACCCTTCCCTTCCCTCCCCCCCGGCAGAAATTCAAGGCCCCCTGGCGCAAGTTCTTCACCTCCATGCCCGTCTACGCCATCATCGTCGCCAACTTCTGCCGCAGCTGGACCTTCTACCTGCTGCTCATCAGCCAGCCGGCTTACTTCGAGGAGGTCTTCGGCTTCGAGATCAGCAAGGTACCGGCCCCGGCCCCCGCACTGTGCGCCCCAGGCCGGGGCAGAACCCAGGCATCCGGGCACCCAGCCCCCGCGCTGTGCGCCCTGGGCCGGGGCAGAACCCAGGCATCCGGGCACCCAGCCCCCGCGCTGCGCGACCCGGGCCGGGACAGAACCCAGGAGTCCAGGCTTCCAGCCCCTGTGCTGCCCTCCCTGAACCGGGAGAGAACACAGGCGTCCGGGCCCCCAGCCCCCTCCCTGAGCCGGGACAGAACCCAGGAGTCCGGGAGCCCAGCCCCCACTCCCGCTTTAACCACTAGACCACACTCCCCTCCCAGAGCTGGCACAGAGCCCAGGCCCCCTCCATCCCGAGCAGGGAATCCGGGGGTGAAATCCTGCCTTCTCCCATCAGTGCAACGAGTTGGTTGGGGCCCAGACTCAGCTGGGTGGGACCCATGAAAGAGGGGGGTGGGGGGAGGGAGAGGCTCCCCGTGGGTGCCGGGGCAGGTAACTCCTCCTCTCCCTGCCCTCCCACCCAGGTGGGCCTTCTCTCTGCCCTGCCCCACCTGGTCATGACCATCATCGTCCCCATCGGGGGGCAGATCGCGGATTTCCTCCGCAGCCGCCGGATCATGTCCACCACCAACGTCCGCAAGATGATGAACTGCGGAGGTGAGATGGGGCTGCGGGTCGGGAGTGAGGGGCTGTCACCGGGTCCCCGGGCGATGCTCTGGATCTGCTCCCCACGCAGCCAGGCAGGACTCTGGGGGAGTCTCCTCTCCGGGAGCAGCCTGTCTGCAGGACCCACAGCTCCCCCGGCTCCACCTTCCTGGGGTGACCCCCGAGCCTCCAGTCTCCCCTGCCCCTCTGTGCGCTTCCCCCAGCGACTCCGCTCAGGCGGGGTCCTGGGGGGGCCAGAGGGTCCTGCCCCCCGACTCCGCAGTCAGACGGGATCCTCAGCCAGCCAGTAAAACAGAAGGTTTATTAGACGACAGGAACATGGTCTAACACAGAGTTTGTAGGTGCAGAGAACCGGACCCCTCAGCTGGGTCCATTTTGGGGGGCAGGGAGCCAGACAACCACGTCTGCACTTCACTCCATGTCCCAGCCAGCCCCAAACTGAAACTCCCTCCAGCCCCCCAACCCCCTCCTCTGGGCTTTGTCCCTTTCCTGGGCCAGGAGGGCACCGGATTCCTTTGTTCTCCAGCCCTTTAGCTCTCACCTTGCAGGGGGGGAAGGGCCCAGGCCATCAGTGGCCAGGAAACAGGGTGTCGGCCATTCTCTGTGTCCAGCCCCCTGCACACACCTGCCCTCTAGGGCTCTGCAACGATCATACACCCTTACACCACCCCCTGGAGACTTAAGAACTGCCTAGGGGAAACTGAGGCACCCCCACACTATTCAGAGGAAACATTAAGAAGAGTCCCACTTCGTCACATCGGCACCGGCAGGGCTGTGGGGGGCTGCAGGTCAGGAGTGAGGGGCACCGGCAGGGCCGGGGTGTGTGTGACTCAGTTTCTCTCCCCCCCAAGGCTTTGGCATGGAGGCGACGCTGCTGCTGGTGGTGGGTTACTCTCACAGTAAAGGCGTCGCCATCTCGTTCCTGGTCCTTGCTGTGGGCTTCAGCGGCTTCGCTATTTCAGGTCAGCAGCGGGTGCCGTGGGGCAGGGAAGAGAGTGGGGGCTCGGCAGGGAGTGGGGCAGGAGGCGCCGGGGGACAGGAAGCAGGGTGGGGACTCAGCAGAGGGTGGTGTGGGGGCTCAGCAGGGGGCACCGTGGAGCAGGAAAGGGGGTGGGGGCAGAGCAGGGGGCGCTGTGGGGCAGGGCAGGGGTTGGGGACTCAGCAGGGGGCACCGTGGGGCAGGGCAGGGGGTGGGGGTAGCAGGGGATGCCAGGGGCAGAGGCTCAGAGGGGGACTGGAGCAGGAAAGGGGGGGGGGAAGAGGGGTGCTGTGGGGCAGGGCAGGGGTTGGGGGCTCAGCAGGGGGCACCGTGGGGCAGGGCAGGGGGTGGGGGCTCAGCAGGGGATGCCATGGGGCAGAGGCTCAGCAGGGGGCACCGTGGAGCAGGAAAGGGGGTGCCGTGGGGCAGGGCAGGGGGCAGGGGCACAGCAGCGGGCGCCGTGGGGCAGGGCTGGGGGGCTCTCACTTAGTCCCTTTGCTCCCCCGTCCCCACAGGGTTCAACGTGAATCACCTGGACATCGCCCCGCGTTACGCCAGCATCCTCATGGGCATCTCCAACGGGGTGGGCACCCTCTCGGGCATGGTCTGCCCCATCATCGTGGGGGCCATGACCAAGCACAAGGTGCGGCCGGGCTGGGGGGCTGCGGGTCGGGAGTGAGGGGCACCGGCAGGGCTGGTGGGGGCTGCGGGTCGGGAGTGAGGGGCACCGGTGGGGCTGGGGGGGCTGTTGAAGCTGGTGCTCAAGGGCGGGGGCACTCAGGAGCCCGGTGTTGGGGGGTGGCTGATCCCCCCCCAGGTCAAAATGTTTATAAGGAAGGGAAATAAAATATTATTTTGTCTCTTTCTCCTCCCCCCCCGCCCTGCCCCCGCCCCCTACTCCTCCCTCTCCCCCTCCCATCCCCCTCCCTGCCCCCGCCCCCTACTCCTCCCTCTCCCCCTCCCAACCCCCTCCCTGCCCCGCCCCCTACTCCTCCCCTCCCCTCCCATCCCCCTCCCTGCCCCCGCCCCCTACTCCTCCCTCTCCCCCTCCCATCCCCCTCCCTGCCCCGCCCCCTACTCCTCCCTCTCCCCCTCCCATCCCCCCTCCCTGCCCCCGCCCCCTACTCCTCCCTCTCCCCCTCCCATCCCCCCTCCCTGCCCCCCCCCCCTACTCCTCCCTCCCCTCCCATCCCCCCTCCCTGCCCCCCGCCCCCTACTCCTCCCTCTCCCCCTCCCATCCCCCCTCCCTGCCCTCGCTCCCCCACTCCTCCCCTCCCCCTCCCATCCCCCTCCCTGCCCCCGCCCCCCTACTCCTCCCTCTCCCCCTCCCATCCCCCCTCCCTGCCCTCGCCCCCTACTCCTCCCTCTCCCCCTCCCATCCCCCCTCCCTGCCCCCGCCCCCTACTCCTCCCTCTCCCCCTCCCATCCCCCTCCCTGCCCCGCCCCCCTACTCCTCCCTCTCCCCCTCCCATCCCCCCTCCCGCCCCCGCCCCCTACTCCTCCCCCCCCTCCCATCCCCCCTCCCTGCCCCCCCCCTACTCCTCCCTCTCCCCCTCCCATCCCCCTCCCTGCCCCCCCCCCTACTCCTCCCTCTCCCCCTCCCATCCCCCTCCCTGCCCCCGCCCCCTACTCCTCCCTCCCCCTCCCATCCCCCTCCCTGCCCCGCCCCCTACTCCTCCCTCCCTCCCCTCCCATCCCCCTCCCTGCCCCCGCCCCCTACTCCTCCCTCTCCCCCTCCCATCCCCCTCCCTGCCCTCGCTCCCCCACTCCTCCCTCTCCCCCTCCCATCCCCCTCCCTGCCCCCCGCCCCCTACTCCTCCCTCTCCCCCTCCCATCCCCCCTCCCTGCCCTCGCCCCCTACTCCTCCCTCTCCCCCTCCCATCCCCCTCCCTGCCCCCGCCCCCTACTCCTCCCTCTCCCCCTCCCATCCCCCTCCCTGCCCCGCCCCCTACTCCTCCCTCTCCCCTCCCATCCCCCTCCCTGCCCCCCGCCCCCTACTCCTCCCTCTCCCCCTCCCATCCCCCCTCCCTGCCCTGCCCTCGCTCCCCTACTCCTCCCCCTCCCCCTCCCTGCCCTGCCTCCACCCCATACTTCTCCCTCTCCCTCTCCCCCTCCTATCTCCCCCACCCCTGCCCCGCCCCCCTACTCCTCCCTCCCCCTCCCATCCCCCCTTCCTCCCGCCTCCCCCTACTCCTCCCTCTCCCCCTCCCATCCCCCCTCCCTGCCCCCCGCCCCCTACTCCCTCTCCCCCTCCCTGCCCCCCCCCGCCCTCGCTCCCCCACTCCTCCCTCTCCCCCTCCCATCCCCCCTCCCTGCCCTGCCCTTGCCCCCCTACTCCTCCCCCTCCCCCCTCCCTGCCCTGCCCTCACTCCCTACTTCTCCCCTCCCATCTCCCCACTCCCTGCCCCGCCCCCTACTCCTCCCCCTCCCCCTCCCATCCCCCACGCCCTGCCCTGCCCTCGCCCCCCCCCCTACCCCCCGGCGGGCAGACGCGGGAGGAGTGGCAGTACGTGTTCCTCATCGCCTCGCTGGTGCACTATGGGGGCGTCGTGTTCTACGGGATCTTCGCCTCGGGCGAGAAGCAGCCCTGGGCCGAGCCGGAGGAGACCAGCCCCGAGAAGTGCGGCTTCATCCACGAGGACGAGCTGGCCGACGAGGAGGACGAGGCCGCTCGGGGGCGGGCGACGGGGGCGGGGGGGGCGGCGGCTACGGGGCCACCAGGAGCACCAGCTTCGCCAACGGGGGCTGGGCGGCCGACTGGGACAGGAAGGAGGAGTTCGTGCAGGAGCCCGGCAAGGACACCTACATGTACGGGGCACCGCGGGAGAGGGACCTGTCCTAGGCACCCCCCGGATCTCCGCCACCCCCCGGGCACCTCTGCGGTGGTACAGTCCAGGGCATGGGGCTGAGCTTGGCCACGCCCCCCATTCTGCAGGCCACACCCCAGCCCCCCCACTGTGTTTGTACAGTCCAGGAGGGTGGGGCCACACTTGGCCACACCCCCATTCTGCAGGCCACACCCCAATCCCCCCCTCCGCTCTGTGTTGGTATGGTCCAGGGGAGCCAGGACTGAGCTTGGCCCCACACCCCATTCCCCCACTGCATTGGTACAATCTGAAGGGGGCGGGGCTGATTTAGGCCACACCCCCACGCTATGGGCCACAGCCCCCTTCATTGGTGCCATCCAGGAGGGCGAGAGGTGGAGCTGAGTCAGGCCACACCCCGAAGCCTCTAAGCCACACCCAACCCCCTCCCTCCCCTCACTGGGGTCTGCTCGATTGGTACAACCCCCCTCCCCAGGCCACGCCCAAATCTTTCCCCTCTGAGTCGCCATTTGGTATGACCCATCAGGGCGAGGGGGTGGTGCTGATGGTATGACCCATTGGAAGGCTTCGGGGGGGAAGTCCTCTGATCCCACTGACCTGGGTCTGGGGGGAGGGCGGGGCAGAGGTTAGACCTTTGACCCTGAAGTCGGAAGATCTTGACCTTTGACCCTTGGCCTCTGGGCTTGGCCTTGAGCCCAACTTGATCTTGAGGTTGGTGGTGCTTGACCTTTGACCTTGAGGCTCCCATGTGCCCCATAATAAATTAACCCCTCCCCCCAGCAGGCCTGGGGGGCAGCACTAGGGATCCATTACGGGGGGCAGTGGAAAGGGATGGGGGAATGCCCCAGCTGGTGACCCCGGGGTTCAATCTGACAAAGTCTTTACAAAGTGACATGACAAATGACGGTTTTGAGACACCCCCATGTGCTAGTCGGCGGTTTTGAGACCCCCACCACCCGCTCCTTCTCTGAGCTGCCCACCCCGGCGGCTCCCAGCCACCCTGCACTTTAGTGCCAGCGGTTCCCGGGCACCCCAGCACATCTCGGCAGGTGACTTCGAAGCACCCCTGCACATCCGAGATGACGGTTTCAAGCTGCTCCGTGCATTCAGGTTGGCAGGTTCGACACCCCACGCCCTGCAGGTGGCGGGTTCGAGACACCCCGCATGCTCCAGCTGGCAGTTTCAAGTTACCCTGCATATTTTATGTGATGGTTTCAAGTTACCCTGTACAGCTCAAGCCAGCGATTTCCAGACGCCCTCCATGTCCTAGCGGGCATCCAGTCAGGCTGCCTGATCCAATTCTAGCTGGTAGTTTCGGGACACCCCGCACGAGCCAGCCATCGGTGTCAAGCCGCCCCGCATGTCCTAGCTCGCCGGCTCAGGGCTGCTGCATTACAGTTCTCGCGGGTATTTTCCAACTGCCCTGCAGCCTCCAGCCGGCAGCTTCAAGTCACCCCACAGCACCCAGCTGGCGGTTTCAAACCACCCTACTCCATGCAGCCGGTGGTTTCAAGCCACCCAGCACATGCTTAGGCCAGGGCTTCAAACTAGTCTGCACCCTCTAGTCGGTGGTTTCATGCCCCCCCTTCCATGTGACAGTTTCAAGTAGACGCCTGCGGAGTGAGGCCCCCGCCCTACCCAACACCCCCAACCCACCCAACTGCTGGCTCGGCCCCGGCGCCGCCCGGTTCCTCCCCGTTAGAGGCAGGTGGCGATGCTGTGGGGCCGGGGGATACCCCCAAAAGTGTGTGGGGGGAGACCTGAGCCCCCTGGTCCCTTCCCCGCCCCACAGCTCTGGCATTGGAGGGTCTGCCTGGTGTTGAGTATATGTGTCCCCCCCGCTGGAATAAATCAATTCTTGTGTAAATATATAAATATAAATTATATACGGGACCAAGAGCGGGGCCAGGCCTGTGAGAGCTTCCTTCCTGCGCCGAGGGGTGAGGGGGGACGGCACGCAGGCGGATCACCGTCCTTCTGTCCAGCCCCACGGCTCCCCGTCTGTCCATCCATCCCCATCCACCCCCTCTGCCTGCCTAGCCCCATAGCCCTCTCCGACCAGCCCCGTGGACCACCGTCTGTCCATCCATCCCCATCCACCCCCTCTGCCTGCCTAGCCCCATAGCCCTCTCCGACCAGCCCCGTGGACCACCGTCTGTCCATCCATCCCCATCCACCCCCTCTGCCTGCCTAGCCCCATAGCCCTCTCCGTCCAGCCCCGTGGACCACCGTCTGTCCATCCATCCCCATCCACCCCCTCTGCCTGCCTAGCCCCATAGCCCTCTCCGTCCAGCCCCGTGGACCACCGTCTGTCCATCCATCCCCATCCACCCCCTCTGCCTGCCTAGCCCCATAGCCCTCTCCGACCAGCCCCGTGGACCACCGTCTGTCCATCCATCCCCATCCACACCCTCTGCCTGCCTAGCCCCATAGCCCTCTCCGTCCAGCCCCGTGGACCACCATCTGTCCATCCATCCCCATCCACCCCCTCTGCCTGCCTAGCCCCATAGCCCTCTCCGTCCAGCCCCATGGACCACCGTCTGTCCATCCATCCCCACCCACCCCACCCATCACTGGTGCTGTAGTTAAAAGGAGGGGGGGCTCAGGAGGGGGCGCTCCTCCCTTACTGGGATGGGACCCATGGATGTGGGGGGCAAGGAAGAAGAGCTAGTTCATCCTATGGCTAATGGGGGTGTGATGGTCCCTGTTTCTGTCCGTGGTGGAGGGGGGGTGGCTGCTAAACCAGCATGGCCCATCTGTGATGCCCCTCACTCCTGGCCCAGCCCTGCCGGTGCCCCTCACTCCCGACCCACAGCCCCTGCTAGCCCAGCCCCGCCGGTGCCCCTCACTCCCGACCCACAGCCCCTGCTAGCCCAGCCCCGCCGGTGCCCCTCGCTCCCGACCCACAGCCCCTGCTAGCCCAGCCCCGCCGGTGCCCCTCGCTCCCGACCCACAGCCCCTGCTAGCCCAGCCCCGCCGGTGCCCCTCGCTCCCGACCCACAGCCCCTGCTAGCCCAGCCCCGCCGGTGCCCCCTCGCTCCCTGACCCACAGCCCCTGCTAGCCCAGCCCTGCTGGTGCCCCTCGCTCCCGACCCACAGCCCCTGCTAGCCCAGCCCCGCCGGTGCCCCTCACTCCTCACCCACAGCCCCTGCTAGCCCAGCCCTGCCGGTGCCCCTCGCTCCCGCAACAGCCCCTGACCCACAGCCCCTGCTAGCCCAGCCCCGCCGGTGCCCCTCGCTCCCGACCCACAGCCCCTGCTAGCCCAGCCCCGCCGGTGCCCCTCACTCCCAGCCCGCAGCCCCCTGCCAGCGAGTGAACAGGGGGTCTCCAAAGCAGCTGGTGGCTGCTGAGTGCTCAGGTGGGGCCTGGGCCACGCAGGCCACTCGGAGGCAGGTGGCCTGCGGAGGGGCCGGGCTCCTGGCACGTGGCCTGGGCAGATGCGGCAGGATTAGGCTGGGACCAGAAATAGAGAGTTGGCTCCGGGATTAGCCGGGGGCGGCGGAGCCAGGGATATAGCGCAGGGGAGGGGCTGGGGATGAATTCCCAGCGTCAGCCCCTCCCCAGTGCCCCTCACTCCCGACCTGCAGCCCCCTGCTAGCCCAGCCCCGGGCTCCCCACACCCCCACCGGTGCCCCTCACTCCCGACCCGCAGCCCCTACTAGCCCAGCCCCGGCTCCCCACACCCCCCCGGTGCCCCTCACTCCCGACCCGCAGCGCTCCCCACCCCAGGAGCCCCCACCCCCACCCGAGCCCCTGCCCCCTCCCCCCCCCCCAACTCCCGACCCGCAGCCCCTGCTAGCCCAGCCCCGGGCTCCCCACACCCCCAGTGATGCCCCTCACTCCCGACCCGCAGCCCCTGCTAGCCCAGCCCCGGGCTCCCCACACCCCCAGTGATGCCCCTCACTCCCGACCCGCAGCCCCTGCTAGTCCAGCCCTGGGCTGCCCCCAGGAGCCGTGTCGTGGTTGACGGTAGCAGGGCCAGCTGTGAGCAGCGAGATGGATGGGCAGGGATGGCAAAGGGGGGCACAGATGGACCCAGTGGGGGACCCGTGTGCTAGCCTGGCTGTTCTGAGCGGCCAGGGCCCAGCCTCCGACGCTTGTATGGAAGTTTCCCCAACAAACCGCTGACCCGGACATCACCAGCAGGGGGCAGAGGAGCCCGGCCACGGAATGGGACATGGGGGCTTCTGCCTCCAGGGGGCGCCAGCTCCGGCTCTGGGAGGGGAGTGGGGACTAGTGGTTAGAGCAGGGGGGGCTGGGAGCCAGGATGTGGCGAAGTGGGACTGTTCTTGGTGTTTCCTCTGAATGGTGTGGGGGTGCCTCGGTTTCCCCTGGGCAGTTCTTAGGTGTCTAGGGGGTGGGGTAAGGGTGTATGATCGTTGCAGAGCCCTAGAGGGCATGTGTGTGGGGAGTCTGGACACGGGGAGTGGCCGACGCCCTGTTTCCTGGCGGCTGGTGGCCTGGGCCCTTCCCCCCTGCGGGGTGGGAGCTGAAGGGTTGGAGAACAGGGGAGTCGGGTGACCACCTGGCCCGGGAGGGGAGCGGAGCCCAGAGGAGGGGGGCTGGAGGGGGTTTTCGGTTTGGGGCTGGCTGGGACATGGAGTGAAGTGCAGACGTGGTTGTCTGGCTCACTGCCCCCAAAATGGACCCAGCTGAGGGGTCCCGTTCTCTGCACCTGCAAGCTCTGTTTTAGACCATGTTCCTGTCGTCTAATAAACCTTCTGTTTTACTGGCTGGCTGAGAGTCACGTCTGACTGGAAGTTGGGGTGCAGGACCCTCTGGCTTCCCAGGAGCCCGCCTGAGCGGACTCGCTGTGGGAAGGCACGGAGGGGCAGAGGATGCTGAATGCTCGAGGTCAGACCAGGAAGGTGGAAGCTGTGTGAGCTGCGTGTCCTGAAGACAGGCTGCTCACAGAAAGGGACTGCCCCAGAGTCCTGACTGGCTTCATGGGGAGCAGTTCCAGAGCATCGCCCAGGGACTCCGTGACAACTGGTGGCAGCGGTGGGATGTACTGCACCCCGTGGATGGTGCTTCCTGCAGTAAGTGACTGGGGAGCAGTAACACGAAGGGGGATTGCCGAGGACCAGGCCTGCTGAAGGCTCAGAGAGGAGCGGTTTCGGGGGCGGTTAACCCCTGGGAGTGTGTGACCAGCGAGAAGGACTGTGCAGTAACAGGGTTCCCCTGGGGATTGAGCGAGCAGTCCAAGGGGCGGAGGAGTCTGCAGCTCGACCCTGGCAAAGAGGTGGTGACCTCGAGAAGGGCTGACACACTAGGGGTTCTCCCTGGAAACCGTGGGGAGCTGAGAAACACGGGCCTGTGAGTCCACAACAACTGGGAGGAGCGGAGTGATGGCCTGTCACCGTCTCCTTAAGAAGGACATTGTAACCCTGTGCAAAAAAGAGGGTTGAGCATTGGAAAGTTCACCAAAGCAGAGTTAATCGTGCAGCTGGAGGAGGATGACCGCTCTAAGGAACAGATTCCTGACCCCAACTGGGGCTATAGCAGGATCTGGGAGCAGCTGAAGGGGAGCCAGGCATCGCCAAGACTCCTGTCCCCGACCAGACGGGGGTCTTCACGATCGGTTCCCCATTGGGGGATCAAGACGGACGGGATTGGAGCTGAGTCTGAGAGAGCAAGAGGACTGTGAGAGACAGCGAGAGCCCGAGAAAGAGCTGCAGAAGAGCAGCAGCATGAACTGGCGGTGGGGGAGCGGAGAGGCCTAGGGGACCTCCCGGGGTGAGTGGGGATAGACCCCGGGGGCCAGTTCCGCAGGGAACCTCGAGACTAAATTGCTGCCCCTGGTTAAGGGGGGTGTGTGTGGATGCCACCTCACTGCCTTTGAGCAGGCTGGTGATTTGAACCAAGGGGACCCTGCGGAAAGCCCGGTGTCTAGCTCCCTTGCTGGGTCCCAAGGCCACAGACTCCGTCAGCCAGATGGTTGGGGATGTGGACAGGCTCCCACTCCTGACCCCAACCTATATGTCTGTGTGGAGTTTCCTGGGGCCAGGCCCCGGACCTCCAGTGGGAGCAGAAGGTGATGGTCAATGGGGAGACATTCTTGGGGTGGCCAAAGGGCATGGGCTGCATAAACCTTCCCACATGCGGCCTGCGAGTGCTATCGACCACCTGACCTAAGGGAGGGCGTGAAACTGGAAGGGCCTGGTGTAACTCCTACCAAGGAATGGGAGAGAGCTGGGGCATCCATGGGAACGTTGGTGGCTCGAATCCAGGTCACCGCTAAAGTGACCCCGCTCAGTTCGATCTCGAAGGGGGAGAGTGTGGCGAAGTGGGATGTTCTTGGTGTTTCCTCTGAATGGTGGGGGGTGCCCGGTTTCCCTGGGCAGTTCTTAGGTGTCTAGGGGGTGGGGTAAGGGTGTATGATCGTTGCAGAGCCCTAGAGGGATGTGGCGGGAGTCTGGAAGGGGAGTGGCCGACGCCCTGTTTCCTGGCGGCTGGTGGCCTGGGCCCTCCCCGGGGGTGGGGTGAAGGGTTGGAGAAAGGGGAGTCGGGTGACCACCGGCCGGGAGGGGGCGGAGCCCAGAGGAGGGGGGCTGGAGGGGGTTTTCGGTTTGGGGCGGCTGGGACATGGAGTGAAGTGCAGACGGGTTGTCTGGCTCACTGCCCCAAAATGGACCCAGCTGAGGGGTCCCGTTCTCTGCACCTGCAAGCTCTGTTTTAGACCATGTTCCTGTCGTCTAATAAACCTTCTGTTTTACTGGCTGGCTGAGAGTCACGTCTGACTGCGAAGTTGGGGTGCAGGACCTCTGGCTTCCCAGGAGCCCCGCCTGGGGACTCGCTGTGGGAAGCGCACGGAGGGGCAGAGGATGCTGAATGCTCCGAGGTCAGCCCAGGAAGGTGGAAGCTGTGTGAGCGCGTGTCCTGAAGACAGGCTGCTCACAGAAAGGCGACTGCCCCAGAGTCCTGACTGGCTTCATGGGGAGCAGTTCCAGAGCACGCCCAGGGACTCCGTGACACAGGACTCCTGGGTTCTCCCCTCAGCTCTGGGTGGGGAGTGGGGGCTAGTGGTTAGAGCAGGGGGGCTGGGAGCCAGGACTCCTGGGTTCTCTCCTGGGATCTGGCTCCTGAGCCAGAGGAGGAATTAAACCCAGCCCCGAGGTCTGCGGCCCCCCTGGGGATTTGGGGACCTTTTATAGCAGTCGGGAGAGCTGAGCTGGGGGGACAAGCAAATTCTCCATAGCAACCAGGGGCGGGGCTGTTCCCACAGTCTAGCCTCCGCCCCCGGCAGTGCCCCCTTGCACCCCCACGTTGGGATCACCTGGATAAGCCCCGGAGACTCCAGCCCGCCACTGGCAGCATCCTCCCCCGCTGGTTGTGGCTTCTCACCGTTATTCCCGGCAAGAGACTCACCTAGCAAACTGTGTGAGAACCCAGGAGTCCTGGCTCCCCCCCCCTCCAACCACTAGACCCCGCTCCCCTTCCAGAGCCTGGCAGAGAACCCAGGAGTCCTGGCTCCCAGCCCCCCACGCTCCATCCACTAGACCCCGCTCCCCTCCCCAGCGGGGGAGAACCCAGGCGTCCGGGCGCGGGGCGGAGCGCGCTGCAGGCTGGTGCCCTGCTGCTCCCCAGTGGCCGGGACGGGGTCTCGGCTGGGCGGGGCTCCCCGGTGACTTTCCCTCCCGGCCCCACAGGTTCTGGTTCCGCCCCAAGAGACGCCCCCCCCAACCGCGCCATGGCCACCCGCTGGGGCGTCTGCTCCGCCGGCAAAATCAGCCACGATTTCCTGGTGGCGCTGGGGACCCTCCCGGCCACCGAGCATCAGGTCAGGGCTGGGGTGGCAGGGGTGCGGGTGGGGGACAGGGCAGGGCGAGCGGGGGGGTGCGGGTGGGGGGCACCGGCAGGGCAGGGCGAGCAGGGGGTTGGGGGGGCAGGGCGAGCAGGGGGCTGCGGGTCGGGAGTGGGGGGCACTGGCAGGGCTGGGGGGGAGGGTCTAGAGGCTCCCAGCCCCCCCTCTAACCACTAGACCCCACTCCGCTCTCAAAGGCAGGCACAGAACCCAGGAGTCCGGGCGCTGCGGGGACTCAGCCCCACGGGCCGCAGTTCAAAGTCTGAACTTTCCCCACCAACCTCCTCCGCCCCCGGCCCCGCGGGTTCTGGATCTGTTCCAGTTCTGGCACCCAGCCCCCCCTCCCGTGTGCCCCACCCCCCCGGGAAAAGCAGCCGCCGTGTTCTGGTGGCCTTGGGGCTCCTCTGGGCCAGGAGAACCCGGTGGGGGGCGGGGGAAATCACGGGGGGCCCAGCAGGAGGAGTTCTGGGGGGGGCCCAGCCCATGGCTCAGAGGGATCCTGTGGGGGCTGCAGTGGGAGGGGTTGGGGAAGACTGAGAATAGATTAATGGGGACCTGTGGGGGCATATGGGGGGACTCTCCAGAAACAGGGACTCTGGACTCCTGGGTTCTGTTCCTGGCTCTGGGAGGGGAGCAGGGTCTAGTGGTCAGAGCAGTGGGGGCTGGGAGCCAGGACTCCTGGGTTCCGTCCCCAGGTCTGGGAGGGGAGTGGGGTCTAATGGTTAGAGCAGGGGGGGCTGGGAGCCAGGACTCTTGGGTTCTTGGTTCAGTGCTTGCTGGCTGGCCGGGGGGTTGGTTCTGGGGGGGTCCCGGCTGCCTCATCCCCACTTTAACCTCCCCCCCAGGCTGTGGCCATCGCTGCGCGTGATCTCGCCCGGGCTCAGGAATATGCCCAGAAACACGGGATCCCCCGAGCGTACGGGAGCTACGAGGAGCTGGCGCAGGACCCCGACGTGGGTGAGCCCCCGGGGGACCCCCATGGGACCTGACCCGGGGGGGGGGCAGGACACGGGGCCTTTCCCCTCTAGGGGGCGCTGGCTCCCATCCGGCCCCAGGGCAGGGAAGGGCTGGCTCAGGGGGTGGGGAAGGGGGCCCGGGGCCTTTCCCCTCTGGGGAAAGTCTGTGTGTCCAGGGATACCTCTGGGGCAGGCTAAGACCCCCAAAGTGTGGGGACTGATCTGGGAGGGGTGAATGGCAGCACGAGGGGTGACCTGGAGCCAGGACACCTGGGTTCTCTCCCTGGCTCTGGGAGGGGAGTGGGGTCCAAGGGTTAGAGCTGGAGGGGGGCTGGGAGTCAGGACTCCTGGGTTCCACCCCCATTTCACACTTCCCATGGCAGACGTGGTCTACGTGGGGGTCATAAACCCTGAGCACCTGCCTGTGGGGCGGCTCTTCCTGGGGGCCGGGAAGCACGTGCTGCTGGAGAAGCCCCTGGGGATGAACACGGCGGAGGTGAGGCAGCTGGCGCAGCTGGCCCAGAGCCAGGGGGTCTTCCTGATGGAGGTGAGTGACCCCCTAGAGCCCCCCTGCAGCCCAGCGCCCCCCCAGCACCGCCCTGGGGCATCAGGGCCGGTCCTGACCACTCAGGGAGAGCACCCCGCTGGGCCCCCGCCTCGCTCCCTGCAGTCCAGTGCCCCCTGCTGAGCCCCTGCCCCGCTCCCCGCACCCCCTGACGGGCCCCCTGCCCTGCTCCCAGCGCCCCGTGACGGGCCCCTGCTTCCCTCACCCCAGCGCCCCCTGCTGGGCCCCTGCCCCGCTCCCTGCAGTCCAGTGCCCCCTGCTGACCCCCACACCCGGCTCCCCACAGCCCAGCACCAAGCCAGTTACGGGAACCTGAGAAGACGGCCAGGGCTTTTGACGGTGCTAAGATCTCCCCACGCCGCGCCCCTCGGTTTTGCCTTGTAGTGTTTTCTGTGTCCGTCTGCAGTGCGGCTTCATGCCACCCTCTGTAACGTGTCGCCGTCCCGCGGCGGCTCCGCTCGCACCCAAGGCTCTGGCTGCCCAAAGTTTGCAAGAGGACCCGTCTCCCCCTGGCTCGTCCGGCTTCTGGGCAGCCCGTTTTGGGAGCCAACCGACAAGGGCCGGTTCTCTCCGGCCACGCCCGAGTACAAATCGTTTTAGACCCATTAGCGGTTTACTCGGCACGAGGGAGCGGAGTGTGGGAGGGGGAGTCTCTGGACATGGCTGCCCTCCTGGGGCCCTGCCTAGCCCTCCGCGGCATGGCACCCCCAGGACCCACTCCCCCTGTGTGTGTCCCCCCCACCCGCCAGGCGTACTGGACCCGATTCTTCCCAGCCTCAGAGCGGCTCCATTCCCTGCTCTCCCAGGGAGCAGTGGGGGAGCCGAAGGTGGTGAGGGTCGAGTTCGGGCTTCCCCTCTTGGGCTGCCCCCGGCTGGTGCAGAAGGAGCTGGGGGGCGGCGCCCTGCTGGACATCGGCTGCTACTGCGTCCAGTTCGCCACCATGGTCTTCGGGGAGGAGAGACCGGAGTCCATCCTTGCCTCGGGCTTCCTTCACCCCACCGGTAATAGGGGCTGCGGGTCGGGAGTGAGGGGCACCGGCAAAGCTTGGGGAGCCCCAGGATGGGCTAGCAGGGGGCTGTGGGTTGGGAGTGAGGGGCACCGGCAGAGTTGGGGGGGGCTGTGGGTTGGGAGTGAGGGGCACCGGCAGAGTTGGGGGGGCTGCGGGTCGGGAGTGAGGGGCACCGGCAGAGTTGGGGGGGGGGCTGTGGGTTGGGAGTGAGGGGCACCGGCAGAGTTGGGGGGGGCTGTGGGTTGGGAGTGAGGGGCACCGGCAGAGTTGGGGGGGGGCTGCGGGTCGGGAGTGAGGGGCACCGGCAGCACTGGTTCTAGGCTCCCATCCTGCTCTCTCCTTCCCAGGCGTCGATGAGATGTTGTCCGTCATCCTGAACTACCCGGGGAAGCGCCAGGCCGTGATCACCTGCTCCATGGTGACCTTGCTGCCCAACCAGGCTGCCATCAGCGGCACCAAGGGCATCATCCAGGTGCCTTGGGGGGAGAGCGGGTGAAACTGAGGCACACAGAGGGGAAGGGACTCCGCAGTGTGGTATAGATCCCAGGAGTCCTGGCTCCCGGCCCTCCCCCCCGGCTCTAACCGTCAGATTCTTTGTTCCCCCGGCAGCTCCCGTCCCAGATGTGGAGCCCGACTGAGCTGGTGGTGAATGGGCAGCACGAGGAGTTCCCCCTGCCCGCCCCCTCCCAGCCCCTCAACTTCACCAGAAGCACCGGGCTTCGCTACGAGGCCCAGCACGTGCGCCAGTGTCTGCTGAAAGGTAACCGGGGGTGGGGGGGGAGGGCACTGGTGTGGGGAAGGTCGAGGCCCCTCCCCCCGGCACTAACCAGCGGGGGCACTGCTGTGGGGAAGGTCGCAGCGCCCAGCATATCCAGCGGGGGCATTGCTGTGGGGAAGGTCGCAGCACCTGGATACCTGGATGGGGGCACTGCTGTGGGGAAGCTCACAGTGCTAGAGTCCTCAACTGGGGGCACTGCTCCGGGGAAGCTCGCAGCACCTCCCATACTGACACCCCTCCCTTCCCCCCAGGCCTGAGGGAAAGCCCCATCGTGAGCCTGGCTCACTCCGAGCTGGTGGCCTCCATCATGGACGAGGTGCGGCGGCAGGTGGGGGTGACGTATACCCAGGATCGGGCCTGACCCCCGCTGCCCAGGAATGGGAGTTGCTGCCGGGACGCCCGGTGTTTTGGATGCGATTTCAGTTTGGGTTGGTACAAGCAGCAGCAGTGCGGAGGTAGCAGGCGCAGGCTGCCCGGCGGTGTTTGACATGGTGCCGGGCGACGTGAACACTAGAAAACCCGAGAACACTAGAAAATTAACGCGTGAAATGGATTAAAAACTGGCTACCGGAGAGTTCTGACTACGCACCTGTGCGCGGGGAACCGCCAACGAGCAGGGGGGTTTCCTGCAGGGCCCTGGGCCCTGTGTAAGCGGGGGAATGGTCCCGCCGTTGTGGGGAACTTTCCTGGCTTATACCTGCCCCGCTGGGATTGGCTGGCGAAAGGATCTGAGTCCTCGCTCCCACTGCCTTTACCCAGCGGCCTGCCTGACCTCGAGGGCTCCCCTTCCTCCCTCCCGTGCGGCAGAGGCCTCAGAACCCCGGCAGGGCTGGGCCCCGGACCCCTGCGGGCTCGACCCCCAGTCTTGTCGTGGTCACTTCGGACAGGGGCGAGGGTGTCCCCACTCCGGGGCACTGTCTCTGCACCGGATGCTTCCCTGACCCACTGATCATTACACAGAGTTCAGAGCACGTAGAAAGTAGGAAACAGCAACTCATAAGAAAATAAGGAAAAGATGGGGAAGGTGAAAGGAAACAAGTCACCTGTCCTGTGGCACGGGGACCCCACTAAAGGTGCCTCTGGGATGTCAGGGAAGTTCAGCCTGTACCTCACCCGTCCCGGGCCCTGGCCGTGCTGCAGGGACGCTGCGGGTCGGACGCTCGCTCTAGCTCTCGGTGGCCACATGCCCTCAGGCTGTAGGTGGCAGGACCCTTCTTCCCAGCGTTGCCCCAGCCACATCGGGGTTATGACCCCCCCAAGTCTGGCCTACAGGGCCTCTTGGCTGGGGGCGTCTCCCTGCACTGGGCCCAGTTCCCAGGGTTCCCTTCGATCCCCCCAGCTGCTCACCGCACCCGGCTCCAGACTGCCCCAGCCCCAGCCCCGCTCTGCCTCCAGCTCCCTGGGCTGCTGTTCTGGCCCCTCTGTCTGGCCCAGCTCCATTCCCCAGCTCTGCTCGGGCCCGGCTCCCTCCTCAGCTCGGCCCCGCTCTGGCTGGCCCAGGCAATTCCAGCTCACAGAGGGGACGGGACCCCTCTGGCATCCTGATTAGCCCCCCTGTTCCTGGGGCCTGTCAGCCTCAGGGTCCTGACGTCCCATCGACCCTTCCCCCTTTGAGTACTGGGAGCTGGCCACCTCCCCCGCCACTGAGTGTTAGGAAGGGGACGAGAGTCCCCTTTACACCTGCGCTCGCTCCCAGCTTGATCCAGAAACCAGAACGTCGTCCCTGACCCCGTTCGCCGCCGACACACGGCCTGCGGGCGGGGGGCATAACGCCGAGCCCGGGACAGGGCCCCAGAGCCCGGGGGGGCGCCGGGGGCCAGCGACCCGCCTGCGTTTTCACAGGGCGCCATCCGGGAGCAGAGAACGCCGGCCCCATGCACAGGCTGGGGGTCGCCCTCCGGGACAGCCGGGAAGGACGTGGGGCGGGGGGGACCCAGCCGCACCTGAGCCCCCCCTGGGCGGCACTGGGGCCGAGGGGCTGACGGGGGATCCCCCCCTGGGAGCAGGGAGGGGGTTCGGCCTCCGGATCCGGCCCGGGGGCGACGCTGCGCCCAGCTCTGGGGCCTGCGGGGCCGGGGGGGAGGTGGCGACGTGGCCGAGGGGCCGGCGTGTGGGGCGGTGGGGGAGGGGGATCGGGGAAGGCCCTGCAATGTGTGTGTGTGGGGGGGGTCGCTGGGGCGGGGGTGGGGGGCCCTCGTGGAGACCGAGGAGCCCCTTGGGTGGGGGAGGGGCCTGTGGTGGGGGAGGGGCAATTTGGGGTCCCATTTCCTGTGACCCCTTCTGTATGGGAGCATGGGGGGGGTTCCCCCTCATTTACATAACTCAATATACACTGAGTGGGCGGGGCTTGATGTGGCCCCCGCCCCTTTCGGGGGGGGTTGGCTCCACTTCCGGTTTGGTTGCCCATCATGGCGGGCTTCTCGACGGCTACCACGGTCACTTCCGGTCTGATCCGCCTTTGAGTCACCCTGTTGTGCCCGCCTCTTGTCGTCACTTCCGCCCTTCCTTCCTGGCGGCGGCGCCCAGGGCTGCCTGCCCTCCTTCCCACTGGGAGCGTCACTTCCGGCTCCGTGCTGCCCTTAATGGCGGCCCTGGAGCTGCCTTCACTTCCCGCTTGCGCTCACTTCCGCCCCTGCGCGCCCCGCGCCGGAAGGGGAGACCCCGCGGTGTGCGCGAGGCGGAGCCTCTTTCCCGTGCGGCCGGCGAGCATGGCGGAGTTCAAGGTGCGCGCGGGGCCCGGAGGCCCCCCCCCCCCCGGGCCTCTGGGGCCCCCCCGGGGCGGGGCAAGTGAGGGGTGGGGCCCCCCTTCGCTTCCTCGCGCTGTGTGGGGAGGGGAGCCCCAAAGGGGGGAGGCGTATGGGGGGGCAGGGGGGCGGTGTGTGGGGGAATGGGGAGGGGGGGGGCTGGGGGGGAGGGGGGCTGTGGGGGGGGGGGAGGGGGGGGGCTGTGGGGTGGGAGGAGGGGCGGGGGATGGTGGGGAGGGGAGGGGGGTGGGGTGGGGGGTGTGGGGGGAGGGGGGGGGGGGGGGAGGGGGGGGGGGTGGGGGAGGGGGGGGGGGGGGTGGAAGGAGGGGGGGGGGGGGGGGAGGGGGGGGTGGGGTGGGGAGGGGGGGGGCTGTGTGGGGAGGGGCGGGGGGGTGGGGTGGGGGGGGGGCAGGGGGGCTGTGGGGTGGAAGGAGGGGTGGGGGCGTGGGGAGGGGCAGGGGGCTGTGGGGTGGAAGGAGGGGCGGGGGGCTGTGTGGGGAGGGGCAGGGGGGCTGTGGGGGTGGAAGGAGGGGCGGGGGCGTGTGTGGGGAGGGGCGGGGGGCTGTGTGGGGAGGGGCAGGGGGGCTGTGGGGTGGGAGGAGGGGCGGGGGGCTGTGTGGGGAGGGGCAGGGGGGCTGTGGGGTGGGAGGAGGGGCGGGGGGCTGTGTGGGGAGGGGCAGGGGGGCTGTGGGGTGGGAGGAGGGGCGGGGGCTGTGTGGGGAGGGGCAGGGGGCTGTGGGGTGGGAGGAGGGGCGGGGGGCTGTGGGGAAGGGCAGGGGGGCTGTGGGGTGGGAGGAGGGGGGGGGCTGTGGGGGAGGGCAGGGGGCGTGGGGTGGGGGAGGGGGGGGGCGGGGGGGGGGGGGGGGGGGGAGGAGGGGCAGGGGGGCTGTGGGGGGAGGGGCAGGGGGGCTGTGGGGTGGGGGGAGGGGCGGGGGAGCTGTTGCGGGAGCCTTGGGCAGGGCGAGTAGATTGGGTTGGGCAGAAAGGATGTGGGGGGCTGAAGTGGAGCCTCCACTTTGTGGGTTGTGAGACCCCTGTAGTGCCACGTGGAGCCCCCCAGTGGGATTCTAGTGGTGCTGGGGGCAGCTCCCCTGCGAGTGGGGGGCCCCCAGAGCTGGCTGGTGCTTCCCCAGCACAAGCACCCGCTCGTTCATCCTATCTGGTGGGACCTGGGACCCCCCAAACTGATGACCTCCCCTTTCCCCTCAGGTTCTGGTCATCGATGGACGTGGCCATCTTTTGGGGCGCCTGGCAGCCATCGTGGCCAAGCAGGTCCTGCTGGGTGAGTGTTGCTGGGGGGGTGCCCCCCAGGCCTGGGATCCCTCCCCCTGCCTGGGCCCTGCTCCGCTGGAGGGGGTCTGTGATGATGCTGTCTGTGTTTGAGCCTCACGACCGTGAGAACACCCCATCCATGCACTACCATCTGAGACTGCTCCCCGAGGGGCCAGGACGCCTGGGTTCTCTCCCCTGGGAGGGGAGTGGGTGGGGAGGGGGGAGGCAGGACTCCTCGGTTCACTCCCTGGTTCTAGGAGGGATCTAGTGGGCAGATGAGGGGAGGAGGCCGGATTCCTGGGTTCACTCCCTGGCTCTGGGAGGGGAGTGGGGTCTAGCAGGATAGAGCAGGGGGCTGGGAGCCAGGACTCCTGGGTTCTCTAGGTCCATGCTGTTTGCTAAGGGTGGGTCTCCTGATCCTGCTATTAAACACTCGAGTCTCCTCTGCCTCTCCTGCCGCCTCTGGCCTGAGTCCATGGCGATGGGCTCAAAGCAGGAGCCCGAGTAACTTTGCAGCCCTGAATCCCCTCCCCCCGCCTGGCGGTCCCTGGGCTTGTGGCGATTCCGCTCCGCATCGGTGGCGTGGCCAGCGTGTCCTGCCCTGGGCCTGCACGGCCTGGAACCCCCCGCGTCGCTGTGCCCCGCCTCGCCATGCGGCCTCGTTAACGTCCTGCTCTGCCTTCCTCCCAGGGCGCAAGGTGGTGGTGGTGAGATGCGAGGGCATCAACATCTCCGGGAACTTCTACCGCAACAAACGTGAGTGCCGCCGTCGGGGCCGGGAGCCAGGACGCCGGGGTCCTTTTCTGAGCCCCCTTTTCCCTTGCAGCTTGGGTACTGGTTTACCTAGCACCAGTTCCTCCTCCCCTTGGTCCGTTGCAGGCAGAGAAGGGGGCAGTGCCCCACAGTATGATGGTAGTGTTGGAGGGTGTGGGACCCCCTATGGTATTGAGCGCTGCACAGACCCTGTCCTGACTGGCTCACGAGCTCTCTACCCTGAGGGTGGGAGGGGAAACTGAGGCCCAGGGAGGGGGCGTCCTCCCCCGAACTCAGTAGCCAAACTGGGCCTGGGACCCAGGCATCCGGGAGAGTCGCTCCCTGGCTGACCCCGCTCTGCTCTCCTTCCAGTGAAGTACCTGGCCTTCCTCCGCAAACGCATGAACACCAACCCGTCCCGCGGTCCCTACCACTTCCGCGCCCCCAGCCGCATCTTCTGGCGCACGGTCCGAGGTAACAACCCCCCATGCTTGGGCTGGGCTTCAGGGGACAGTACGGGGGGGGGCCACTGAGGTGCCGCTGGGGGGCAGGGAACAACCACTGCGCAGGGGCCTGAGCCACACCCATGATCCATCCCGGGGGGGGGGGGGGGAGAGAATAGCAACAGCAGTGTGTCCCAGACACGCCCCCTATGGAGCCTGAGGGGCAGCGACCCACAGCGCAGGGCACCTGGGCCAAACCATGATCCATCCCCTGTGGGTCCTGAGGGGGGGCAGGGAACAGCCACAGCACAGGGCCCTCTTATCTGTCCCCCATAGAGCTTGGGGGGCAGAGGGCAGTCTCAGAGCAGTGTGTCCCAGCCCCGCCCTTATGGAACTTGGGGGGCAGAGACCCACAGCGCAGAGCGCCCCAGCTGCAGGCCCACTCCCAGCAGCTGGTCTCCTCTCCTTGCAGGGATGCTGCCCCACAAGACCAAGCGAGGCCAGGCCGCCCTGGAGAGACTGAAGGTCTTTGATGGGATTCCGCCCCCGTACGACAAGGTAACAGTGCCCCCTGGGGGCCGCAGGGGGGATGGGGGGCCCGTGTCCATGATGTTCCATCTACCTACATTGTTTGATGCTGGGTGAGAAAAATTTTGACTCTGAGACACGCCAGACCCGCTCTTCTGCTCTCCACCCCGTCTCCTTCGTACCCATAACTATCTTCTCTCCCCCCCGTGCAGAGGAAACGGATGGTGGTACCCGCTGCTTTGAAAGTCGTACGCCTGAAGCCGACGCGCAAGGTACGTCCCTCCCAGAGCCCCGTTTCCACACGGGAGATGGGGCAGGAGATTGAAACCTGATTGAAGGCAGCACTGTCATGAGGCAGGTAGTTCCACAGCCTGTCAGAACAGAGGACTCCTCAAAGGCAAAACTCCGGGAGCCATTAACCCATGGGACTACTTGCAACATGGTACTAGGCCAGGGCCAACTCCGAGGCAATATATTCACTTGCCAGTGGTATTAACCTTGGGAACTGGCGCCCACATGATATTGGAGACCAGCAATTCATCAGAGGTAATGGGTTTGTTAGGTAGTGTGGTGTTAACCTATGGGACTACTTGCCACATGATTCCTTGGTCTTCAATATCATGAGGCAGCTAGTGGCCAGTCATGGGACAGCCTTATTCAGTGCAGGTGCCATCTGTCCAGTGATGCCCTGGCCACATCCAGCCAGTGGCTGTGCCCTACCCGGTGCTGGGAGCTGGCACCTAGGGCGGTCGGTGATGATGCTAACTCACTTCACTTCGAGTCTCACGACCATGAGACAACCTCCTACATGCACTACCATCTGAGACCACCTGGGGGCGCAGCACGACCTGGCTTAGTTGGGATCCTGCAGGAAGGGGGGCTGGTGGGTTAGAGCAGGGTGTGGTGGGGGGGGTGGGGTTGGGAACCAGGACTCCTGGGTTCTCTCCTGACCCGTCTCTCCCCTGCCCCCGCAGTTTGCCTTCCTGGGGCGCCTGGCCCATGAGGTTGGCTGGAAGTACCAAGCCATCACCTCCACCCTGGAGGAGAAACGCAAGGAGAAAGCCAAGCTGCATTACAACAAGAAGAAGAAGCTGATGGTGAGTATCTCCGGGGGTCATGGGGCCTCGAACAGTCCCCCTTTGAGAGGAGTCGCATCTCGGCGCTGGGCGAGGGGTCCCCATAGGACCTGCCCCGGTGCCCCACCCCAGAGGGGCTGCATCCCAGTGCTGGGTCCCCATATACCCACCCCGCAGGGAGATGGGCCCGTTCCCTGGGGGCTCCCCCAAATCTCGGTCTGATTCCTCCTCCCTGGGCGTCTCTTCCAGAAACTGCAGAAGCAGGCGGAGAAGAACGTGGAAGGCAAGATCGCCAGGTACACCGACGTGTTGAAGCAATACGGCATCTTGGTCTGAGCCTTGAACCTCAATAAAACCAGCCCCTCCACTTCCGCCCAGCCCCTCCGTGCGTCTCTCACAGGGCCCAGCTCCGGCTGCCTGGCCTGGGAGGCCGGGCCGCTCTGGGGCTTGGCTGGGCCGGCCAAATCCCCTCCCACGTAGCACAGAACTAACCCGCTTCTCCCCGCACTGAGCCCGCGGCTTCGCACCCCTCCCGGAGCGGCCCTGGGCCGGGACCAGAGACCCCATCGCTCACCCCAGCAGTCGGAGTCATTGCGGGTTTCAGAACGCTGCGCGGGCACCTTCGAGGCCCTCACCCCTGCGGGGCCTTCCCCTGGAGGAGAAACACCTTGAGCTCTTTGCGGGGGCCCCCCAAATCTCCCTGGCACCCCTAAGCCCCAGCCCAACCCCTGAGGGGCCGGGGGGTGGAACCCAAGTGCTTCCCCCCCTCGCCGGCAGAGTGCTCAGGATGCAGCTGCTCATCCTGTGGCTCTGGGACGCTTCTCCTCATCGATCCTCGTGGGGTGAGGAGTCGCCCCACCTCGTCTGACCCCCTGGGGCTGCCCTGACTTCCATCCTGGGTGCCTGGGATGGAGAATCCACTCCACCCCTGGGGGGGGGGTGCTTCAAGGGTTAATCCCCCCTCCCCCGACTCCGGGTGCTTTATTTCCACTGGGAATTTGTCTCACTTTGCCTGGTGGATCTGGTAGGCCATCAAGGGTCGTTTCCCCCCCCCCCCCCCGCTCGTTCTCGGGCAGGTTTTCTGATCCTGGAGTCGTCCTCGGGCCTCTTCCCTGGCCCCTCTGCGACGTATCCACCCCCCTGGAGTGGCAAACGCTGGCTGTGGAGGGGGGAATCTGGCAGCGTCGCCGTGGGGCCAGGCCCCGAGCTCCCACGAGTCCCCTGCTCCGACTCGCCGATTCTGTTAGCCCTTCGGCCAGGCTGGGGAGCTCGGGATGGGCTGATGGCGGCCAGCCTGGATGTGGTGTCGGTGAAATGTGGCCTGCCCGTGGCTGCTTGTTCTGGCCCCTCGCCCCCACTGCTGCAGCCCCAGAGCTAGGCCATGGCCGGGGGCTGTTTTTTTTCCTCTTCCTTGTGTTAGTGTCTCTTCCCTGCTCTTTCCCCAGCCTGGGGGGTTGGGATTTAGGAGGGGCCTGTGGCATGCAGAGGGGGAGTCCCCTGACGGAGCCTCGTGCCCCCGACTCAGCTGCAGGCTTCTAGGAATCGACTTAAGAGTGAGGCTGACTCTAGGCTCTAGACCAGATGTGGGCAAACTACGGCCCGTGGGCCACATCCGGCCCGCGGCACCATCCTGCCCGGCCCCTGAGCTCCTGCCTGGGGAGGCTAGCCCCCGGCCTCTGCCCCCACAGCCATGCTGCTGTGTGGCTTGCGCCCGCCCACCTCCCAGGCTTTCCAACAAGCCTGTCCTGCCACTCTGAGCGGCATGGTAAGGGGGCAGGAGGTCCCGGGGGTGGTCGGATGGGGTGGAGGTTTGGGGGGGGGCGGGGGAGATGGAACAGGGGGCCTTGGATAGGGGGTGGGGTCTGGGGGGGGTGGTCAGGGGACAAGAAGTGTGTGTGGGTGGGGGCAGGGGTGTGGATCGGGGTCGGGGCAGTCAGGGGACAAGGAGCAGGGGGGCTTAGATAGGTGGCAGGGTCCCGGGGGGTGGTTAGGGTCGGGTGGTCAGGGGACAAGAATCGGGGGGGTTGGATGGGTGAGGGGTTCAGAGGGGGGGCCAGGCTGTTTGCCCTTCCCAGCCTGCCACACAGTTTTGCAACCCCACTGTGGCCCTCGGGCCAAAAAGTTTGCCCACCCCTGTTCTAGACTGATTGTGGGGGAGGAGCAACGCCCCCTGCTGGACGGGTGCAGGCATGGCAACAGCCTGCTGTTAGAGGGTGTTCCCCCACCCCCCCTTTCCTCTGGGGTAGCCTTTCCACAAGGGGGGGCTGTACCTTGCTCTGATGGCAGGGGTGTGCGTGCGGGGAGGGTGTTTGCCCAACAGAGGGTGCCCTGGTCTCAGCTTGGGGGGCTTGCTGGGATGGTGGATGGTGCTGTGGGGGGATGGCTGTAAGATAAATGTGTGTTCGCTGGGGAAGAACCCAGGCGTCCTGCGCTCCTCTCTCCCCGCCATCCCCCCCAGCTCTGTCCCACAAGGAGTCACACCACAGCTGGGCAGGGTCCTGTTTATTGCAGCCCCTTCAGTGATACTGGCCCCCACTCCACACACCCCCCCCCCCCAACCAGGGCGCGTCCCCCTGGCAGCCGGGGCGCTCAGCCCTGCTGGTCCTCGGAGAAGGTCACCCCAAGCTGCTGTCGCACCGTGTCCATGATGGAGGCCACCAGCTCGCTGTCGGCCAGGCTCATGATGGGGCTCTCCTTCAGGCCTGCGGGGAGAGACACCTCAGGTGGGGCTGCGAGCTTCCCCTGGGCAGTGCCCCAGCTAGGGGCTGAGCAAGCTGTGGGCTGCTATGGCTGGATGTGGGGAGAGACCCTGGAGCTTGCCCCCCTCCCCTCCCAGAGCCAGGGGGAGAACCCAGGAGTCCTGGCTCCCTGCCCCGGAAGCGGGACCCCTGGCGTCCGGCCCTTACCTCGCAGCAGACACTCGCGTACGTGCTGGGCCTCGTAGCGCATGCCGGTGCCGTTGGAGAAGTTGACGGGCTGGGGGGGGGGTGGCAGGGGGCACTCATGGCGCTGGTGGTTCACGATCATGGTGGTAGGGGCGTACCAGGGGGCAGGGAGCTAGGAGGATGCAGGGAAGAAAGGGTTAATAATAAGCACCCCCCACGATAGGATCTGACCCACCTGCCCCAGCTCCCCACACGCTGTTCATAGAGACAAAGAGAAAATTCAAGACTCTGGACTTCCCCCCACCACCACCACTAGTCCCCACTTCCCTCCCCCAGCCAGGGAGAGAACCCAGGAGTCCTGGTGCCCAGCCAGTTTTCCTGGTCTTCTCTTATCCTTGGGCCATAGGCCAGGAGCTGCCCCCTCTGTGCCCCCCCCCCCCGCACCTCAATGGAGCCCTTGGTGCCGCAGACCCAGGCCTGGTTGGGGAGCTCGACGCTCATGGTGCAGGACACCACGGCCTGGCGCTTGCCCGCGTACTTCAAGATCACCGAGGTGGTTTCGTCCACACCTGGGAAATCGAAACAGCAGCACTTCAGTCCTGCCCCCCTGCCCTGCCGGTGCCCCTCACACCTGACCCACAGCCCCCCGGGTGCCCCTGAGCGTGGCCCCTGCCCTGCCGGGCCCCTCACACCTGACCACACCCCCTGCCTGCTGGTGCCCCTACCCCCCCCCCCCCGGTGCCCCTGAGCCGTGGCCCCCTGCCCTGCCGGTGCCCCCTCACACCTGACCCAGCCCTCCACCGCGATGGTGCCCTTCATTCCTGACCCCTACAGCCCTGCTGGTGCCCCTCATGCCTCACCAACAGCCCCCCTGCCCTGCCGGTGCCCCTCATGCCTGACCCACAGCCCCCCTGCCTTGCTGGTGCTCCTGAGTCCTGCCCGTCCCTCCCGACCCACAGCCCCCCTTCCCTGCTGGTGCCCCTCATGCCTGACCCACAACCCCTACCCTGTTGGTGCCCCTGAGCCCTGGCCCCCTGCCCTGCCGGTGCCCCTCACACCTGACCCACAACCCCCCTGCCTTGCTGGTGCTCCTGAGTCCTGCCCGTCCCTCCCGACCCACAGCCCCCCTTCCCTGCTGGTGCCCCTCATGCCTGACCCACAACCCCCTACCCTGTCGGTGCCCCTGAGTCCTGCCCCCCTGCCCTGCCGGTGCCCCTCACCTCCAAACCGCAGCCCCTCCACCCCGATGGTGCCCTTCATTCCTGGCCCCCACAGCCCTGCCGGTGCCTCTGAGTCCTGACCCCCCTCGCTGGTGCCCCTCACTCTCGACCCGCAGCCCCCCTCCTCCCTGCCCCCCGCACCCTGCCGGTGCCCCTCACTCCAGCCCCCGGTACCGGATGGGTAGAGGAAGCCCGAGGCGACGATGGACTCCGGCCGCTCCCCCGCGAGGACCATGCTGGCGAACTGGATGCCGTAGCAGCCGACGTCCAGGATGGCGCCGCCCCCCAGCTTCTTCTCCACCAGCCGGTGGATGTTCTCCATGGGGTGCCCCACGGTCACCGAGATCAGCTTTACCTCGCCCACCGCCCCCTGGGCGAGCAGCCGGCGGATCTGCTCTGAGATGGGGAAGAAGCGGGTCCAGAACGCCTGGGGGGCAGGGGCAGAAACAGAGCTGGGGGGCTCGGCAGGGGGCGCTGGGCTGCAGGGAGCGGGGCGGGGGGCTCGCCAGGGAGCACTGGGCTGCAGGGAATGGGGGGCTCGGCAGGGGGCGCTGGGCTGCGGGGAGCGGGGCGGGGGCTCGCCAGGTGGCGCTGGGCTGCAGGGAATGGGGGGCTCGGCAGGGGGCGTGGGCTGCAGGGAATGGGGGGCTCGGCAGGGGGCGCTGGGCTGCGGGGAGCGGGGCGGGGGGCTCGCCAGGTGGCGCTGGGCTGCGGGGAGCGGGGCGGGGGGCTCGCCAGGGGGCGCTGGGCTGCAGGGAATGGGGGGCTCGGCAGGGGGCGCTGGGCTGCAGGGAATGGGGGGCTCGGCAGGGGGTGCTGGCCCCTGGCTGTGGGTGCTGGCCCCAAGGCAATAGTCGCGGGCGCTGTGCCAGAACCGGATGGGGGGTGGCTCTACCCCTCCCTAGGCACCCGTGACCCGGGGTTGGGTCCCTTCAGGGCCGGCTCATGGGCGAGGCCGGCTCCAGCCTGTCGGGGCCTGTCCCCCAGCAGCTCCCACGGTGCCGGCCCCCCGGGATCGTCACGCGGGGCCTTTCCACACTCAGGGGCTGTTTGCCCAGCGCCCGCCCCCCGGGGTATTAATCATCATCCCCGTTCCCACGCCGGGCGCGTCCCGCGGCTCTCCCAGCGCTCGGCAATTCCCCGGCTCGTGGGGCCCAGAGGCCGAACTAAGGGACGTCCCTTCTACGGAGGGGCTGTTCCCGGTCGCCCCGCTCCCCCGCTGGCTCTGGGGGGTTCAGCCCATGGCTCTCTGTGTCGCCCCCTAGGGGGCGCTGGGCTGCGGGGAGCGGGGCAGGGGGCCCGGCGGGGGGCGCTGGGCTGCGGGGAGCGGGGCGGGGGGCCCGGCGGGGGGCGCTGGGCTGTGGGGAGCGGGGCAGGGGCCCAGCAGGCGGTGCTGGGGTGCGGGAAGCAGGGATGCCGCCCGCCAGGGGGCGCTGGGAGCGAGGCAGGGGGGGCCCGGCAGGGGGTGCTGGGCTGAGGGGAGTGGATCAGGGGCCCAGCAGGGGGCGCTGGGGTGAGGGGAGTGGGGCAGGGGCCCAGCAGGGGGCGCTGGGGTGAGGGAAGCGGGGGCCCGGCAGGGAGCGCTGGGAGCAGGGCAGGGGGCCCGTCAGGGGGTGCTGGGAGCGAGGCGGGGGGGCCCGGCAGGGGGTGCCGGGCTGAGGGGAGCGGGGCAAGGGGCCCAGCGGGGTGCTCTCCCTGAGTGGTCAGGACCGGCCCTGATGCCCCAGGGCGGTGCTGGGGGGCGCTGGGCTGCAGGGGGGCTCTAGGGGGTCACTCACCTCCATCAGGAAGACCCCCTGGCTCTGGGCCAGCTGCGCCAGCTGCCTCACCTCCGCCGTGTTCATCCCCAGGGGCTTCTCCAGCAGCACGTGCTTCCCGGCCCCCAGGAAGAGCCGCCCCACGGGCAGGTGCTCAGGGTTTATGACCCCCACGTAGACCACGTCTGCCATGGGAAGTGTGAAATGGGGGTGGAACCCAGGAGTCCTGGCTCCCAGCCCCCCTCCAGCTCTAACCCTTGGACCCCACTCCCCTCCCAGAGCCAGGGAGAGAACCCAGGTGTCCTGGCTCCAGGTCACCCCTCGTGCTGCCATTCACCTCTCCCAGATCAGTCCCCACACTTTGGGGGTCTCAGCCTGCCCCAGAGGTATCCCTGGACACACAGACTCTCCCCAGAGGGGAAAGGCCCCGGGCCCCCTTCCCCACCCCCCTGAGCCAGCCCTTCCCTGCCCTGGGGCCGGATGGGAGCCAGCACCCCCTAGAGGGGAAAGGCCCCGTGTCCTGCCCCCCCCCCCGGGGTCAGGTCCCATGGGGGTCCCCCGGGGGCTCACCCACGTCGGGGTCCTGCGCCAGCTCCTCGTAGCTCCCGTACACTCGGGGGATCCCGTGTTTCTGGGCATATTCCTGAGCGCGGGCGAGATCACGCGCAGCGATGGCCACAGCCTGGGGGGGAGGTTAAAGTGGGGATGAGGCAGCCGGGACCCCCCCAGAACCCACCCCCGTGCCAGTCAGTGAACACTAAGCCAAGAACCCAGGACTTTTGGCTCCCAGCCCCCCCCCAGCTCTAACCACTGGACCGCCCTCCGCGCTCTGCTCCCAGAGCCGGGTAGAGAACCCAGGCATCCTGCAGCCTCTCCCCCAGCCCCACCTTATGCTCCGTGGCCGGGAGGGTCTTCAGGGCCACCAGGAAATCGTGGCTGATCCTGCCAGCAGAGCAGATGCCCCAGCGGGTGGCCATGGCCCTGGGTGGGCTGGGCTGGGGGCAGGTCCCAGCTCCTGGGGGGCGTGGGGGGCAGCGGCGTCTCTCCTGCTCCAGGCCTGGCTGGTGCATGGTGGATCCGACTCAGCAGCTGCACAGGTGTGGGGGCGGGACGGGGTGGGGTGGCCCGGGGCAGAGTGGCACACCCTATGTCACTGGGCATGGGGGCGGGTTCAACAGGGGGAGGGTCATCCCTCCCCATTCCTCCAGGGCACAGACGGGGGGATGTGAGGCGGGATGGGGGGGATGATTTCCGCCCATCTCTTTCTCCTTCACTCCCGCCCCCCCGTTATGGCCTCGGTTTGGGGCACCAGGATTGGGGCTGTGGGTGAAGGGGGTCACTGGGGTGGGTGAGTAAAGGGCTGGGAGGGAGAAGGGGACGGGGGGGCTCACCGGGATGGGTGTCACAGACCCATGGGGCCGACTCTGTGCCCCAGCCTGGAACCAGTCTCCTGGGCGTGACCCCATAGTGGACAGGGCCCCCTGGCCTGTGAGACCGAGCTGTGATCCCCCGGTCCCCCCCATCTCTCTGCAGCCCCCAACTGCGAGTCCAGCCCCCCGCGGGGCATTGGCAGGGACGCTGCCCCCTTTGCCAACCACAGACCCGTCCGCGGGCTGGCACCGGGCTGAGGAGTCCGGTAGGGTCTGGGCGGGTCAGCCCAGCACCCAGCCAAGCTGCTGTGAGCCCCATGGCCCGGCCCCACTCATCCAACACCAGCCCTTCATCCCCCTGCCAGGGTGGCTGTAGGCCGGGGGGTGGGGGCACAGCCGGGGTGGGGGGGAGCTTGGGGTTGCCCTTGTTGGCTCAGAACCTGGGTGCTCCCCCGACCACCCCACCCCCCAACCTCCCCAGAGAGCAAACGGACACACCCAGCAGCCATGCAAAACAGAAGGGAAACTGAGGCAGACACAGGTCTCATAACAATAGTAGAGACAAGGCGCACTTTGTCACAGCCGGTACCCCCCAGCAGTGGGATTCTGGGGGCATGTGAGGTACGGGGCATCTCGGGGGAGGTCAGCGCTAGTGGTGAGGGGGTTGAAGGGCTCAGGGCAGGGGGGTTGGACAGGAACAGTGGCCTGAGGGGACCCCAAGATTAGGGCAACGCCCAGGGGATCCAGCAACCTGGGGGTGAGGTTGGTGGGGCACCCCCAAATTGGACTCAACAACCAGCCCCCCTCAGGGGTCTCGCTTCTGGGTAGATTTTATTTGGATCAAGAATCTGTTACACTCTTAGGGGTGAGGGGCACTTTACAGTCCATGCATTGGGGGGTCCCCCAAAACAGCCCTGACCCCTGCTTCTTTGGGGGCAGGGGGAAACTGAGTCAATCAAGATGGCGGCTGCAGCTGCCGTCACGGCATCGTCTTCAAGAGAGGTGAAATGGTTCAGGGCCAGAGGGCAAAGGTCAGGACGAAGGGTCAGAGGTCAAGGGTCAAACAGACCACAGGTCAAGGATGACATCAAAAGACCAGAGAGCAACAAAGAAAATCAGGGGTCATAGGTCAAGGATAAGCTAGGCCCAAAGAGGTCAGAGGCCAAGGTGGGGAGGTCAAAGGTCAAGAATGACATTAAAGATGCCAGAGGTCGGAGTGGTGAGAGGTCAAAGGGTAAAGTCAAGGAATCAGAGGTCAAGGGTGACAAGGACCCGTCAACAGGGGAAGGGGTGGGTCAGAGAGAAACCAGCCACACAGAGTAGGTCAGCATCGGTCAGAGGTCACAGGGTCGGAGATCACGGCAGAGATCATAGGGTCGGAGATGGCGGCGTCATTCCAAGGTCGTGGGGTCAGAGGTCGCAGGGTCAGTCCAAGGGCACGGGATTGGGCGTCATGGGGTCCTGTGCAGGCTGGCGGGGGTCGGAGGTCACGGGGTCATGTCCGGGGGCTACTCGCAGGCCAGTTTCCCGTCGAAGCTGGACAGGCAGATGGCGAAGGCCTGCAGGGCGCAGAGGGGGGCGCGATAGTCCATGGTGAAGACGTCGGGCGCCACCCGGCCAAACTGCAGCACAATGTACTCGGCTGGGGGGGCAGGGGGACGGGGGGTTAGTGGGTGGGGCACGGCCCCCCAAATTCCCATGATCCCCCCCAAACTTCCCCGATCCTCACTCCAGACACTCCCCAATCCACCCCACCAGCCTCCCCAAATCCCCCCATCTCGCCCAAATTCCCCCCAATCCGCGCCACCGATCTCCCCAAATCCCCCACAGCTCCCCCGATCCCACCAAATCCCCCCGATCCTCACCCCAGATACCCCCCAACCCGCCCCACCGGCTGCTTCAAATCCCCCCGATTGCCCCCCAAATTCCCCCAATCCACCCCACCGGCCTCCCCAAATCCCCCCATCTCGCCCAAATTCCCCCCAATCCGCGCCACCGATCTCCCCAAATCCCCCACAGCTCCCCCGATCCCACCAAATCCCCCCGATCCTCACCCCAGATACCCCCCAACCCGCCCCACCGGCTGCTTCAAATCCCCCCGATTGCCTCCCAAATTCCCCCAATCCACCCCACCGGCCTCCCCAAATGCCCCCATCTCACCCAAATCCCCCCAATCCACCCCACCGGCCTCCCCAAATCCCCCCAACCTGCCCCACTGGCCTCCCCAAATCCCCCCGAGCCTCACCCCAAATCTCCCCAATCTGCCCCAACAGCCCTGATCTGGCTCCAATGCCCCCCAATCCACCTCCCCCCCCAGAAACTGCAGCACAGGGTACTCCGCTGGGGGGTGAGTGTGTTCGGCACAGCCTCCCAAATCCAGCCCAATCCAACCCCCAGGCCCTGTCAGCCAAGGGCGGGAGAGAGGGGGCAGCCCTCATCCCTCCCTTGTCACCTCCCTTCTCCCCCCACCCCAGCACTGGCCTGGCTCCCCCCCCGTCTCCCCCCAGTTCCCCCCCTCACGGTCGTGGTCGGGGACGATCTGGAAGTTCTTGACGGAGGCCTGGGTGACGCGGCCGTGGAAGTTGAGCACGTACGACTGGGTCTCCTCGTTCCAGGCCGGCACCTTGTTCTGCAGAACCAGCAGGTTCTGGAGGTTTCGGTTCTGGAACCGGGTCAGCAGGGTCTCGTGTTCCTAGAGAGAGCCAGGGAGCCACGGGGGGGTTAGACCCCGGCGCTGCGAGCTTCCCTACAGCAGTGCGCCAGCCGGGGCTCCCCAGCGCTGACAGCTTCCCCGCAGCGGTGTCCCCGCAGCAGTGCCCTGGCTGGGGTTCCCCAGTGCTGTGAGCTCCCCCACAGCAGTGCCTCGGCTGGGGTGCCCCGGCGCCGCGAGCTTCCCCACAGCAGTTCCCCGGCCCGTGTCCCCAGCAGCCTCACATTTTTGGGGCGGATGCTGATTCTCTCGTTGTCCGTGTTCATGCCGGGGATAATCACAGTCATTTTTCTTGGGCCCCTGAACCCCAGCACATTGGTCTCCTGTTGTGAGGAGCAGCAGAGAATCTATGACCCTGTCATCGCCCGACATCCCCCCTTGCCCCGAAAACCCTGCACACCCTCCTCATCTCCATGACAGCGGCCAGCTGGGGATGCCGGCTCTGCGAGCTTCCCCACAGCAGTGCCCCCAGCCGGGGTTCCCAGCGCTGTGAGCTTCCCCGCAGCAGTGCCCCCAGCCGGGGTTCCCAGCGCTGTGAGCTTCCCCGCAGCAGTGCCCTGGGGATCCCGGTGCTGCGAGCTTCTCCACAGGAGTGCCCCGGGTCCAAGATTTTCTCACGTACGTAGCAAATGGCCGCCAGCTCTTGCCGGATCGGAGCCGTTTCGGGGACGAAGGGTTTTTTGTCCGGATTTGTCCCGTTATCGAACACCGTGAACCTGGTGCCCAGCAAGTTGGACCTGCCAGGAGATCAGAAAGTCCTGGTCACCTGGAGACACCTTGCCCAGTGCTGAGATGCGACCGCCACTGGGGTGGGGCCCAGGGGCTGGGTATATGGGGACCCCTTGCCCAGAAGGAGGCGCGGCCCCTCTGGGGTGGGCACAGAACCCACCTGACTTTCCCCATGAAGCCGTCCCCGTCCCGGGACAGGTCGATGGGGTCGAGGGAAATGAGGTAATTGGAAGTTTTGCTTTTCTTTCTCTTCCGGCCAGACATGAGAAACAGCTGAGAGAGACAGAAATGAACAGCCTGCCCTGGCCTGTGCCCCATGGCGCCCCCCTCTTCTGCTGCCTCCCCTCAGCCTTTGCCCCACAGCACCCCCTTTCTCTGCCTTCCCCTGGCCTCTGCCCCACAGCGCCCCCCTCTTCCGCTGCCTCCCCTCAGCCTGTGCCCCACGGCGCCCCCCTTCTCTGCCTTCCCCCAGCCTGTGTCCCATGGTGCCCTCCTCTGCCGCTGCCTCCCCTCAGCCTGTGCCCCACAGCACCCCCCATCTCTGCCTGCTCAGAGCCTGTGCCCCACGGCACCCCCCTTCTTTGCCTTCCCCCAGCCTGTGTCCCACGGCGCCCCCCTCTTCCGCTGCCTCCCCTCAGCCTGTGCCCCACAGCGCCCCCCTTCTCTGCCTCCCTCCAGCCTGTGCCCCACGGCGCCCCCCTCTTCCGCTGCCTCCCCTCAGCCTGTGCCCCACAGCGCCCCCTTCTCTGCCTTCCCCCAGCCTGTGTCCCATGGCGCCCCCCTCTTCTGCTGCCTCCTTCCAGCTTGTATTCCACAGCACCCCCCTTCTTTGCTTGCACCCTGCCTGCGCACCACAGCACCCCCTTCTCTGCCTCCCCCCAGCCTCTGCCCCACAGCGCCCCCCTTCTCTGCCTCCCCCCAGCCTGTGCCCTACGGTGCCCCGCTTCCCCCCCACCATAATTCCCCCCCCCCCGTTACCTTCCTCCCATCGTCTCTCTCCAGGTGAAGGTAGTAGAAGGGGAAGACGCCTTTGTCCACCCCCTTGCGGTCCCGGCTGATGCGGCACCGAACAGTCACCCCGGGGGGCACCGGGCGCAGCACAAACCCCTCCAGCTCCTCCGGCCGCGGGGGCCACGGGGTCCCCGGCGCCAACTCCGGCAGCTGCTGGGGAGGGGGAGGGGTGAGGCCTGCAGGGGGCTGGGGGCAGGGGAGTGACGAGAGGCCCGGGGTGGGGAGCCTGGGCCGGGGGTTCATGGGGCCGGGGGCAAACGCCCAGGGCAGATACTAGGGCAGAAGGCATGTGTGGGGCACGGGGGCCTCGTGCAAAGGGGTGCGAGAGGCCATCCCGGTGGGGGGCAGCTGGGCACAGGGGCGTCCTCTGGGCACCCCCCCGTGTTACCCCACCCTTACGCTGGGGGTGTCGGGCTCCAGCGCGGGCTCCAGGGATCTGCAGAGGATGTCGAGGTCTCCTTCCTCCTCCTCGCTGCTCCCGGGGGGGCTGCCGAGAGACCCTGGGAGGGAGATGGGGGGGGGGAAAGGTCAGAGAAAGCCCAGGCCCCCTCCCCCCCCCCAGCCGCCCTGAGTGCCCCCCCCCGAGAGGCCTCATCCCATGAGCCCCCCTCGCCGGCACACATACACCCTGGCCCGCCCTACCCCCCACCCCACCAGGTGCTCCCCCCACCTCACCGCTCTGTCCCAGAATCCTTTGCACCGAGCCGAACCCGGGCCCCCATCAGCACAGAGGGGCCTATCAATCCACCCCCACAGCCTCCCCTACCCACAATGCCCCTCTTCCTCGCCCCCCCCCCGCAACTCACCTCTGCTTGGGAGCTTCCTGTCCTGTTTCCTCTTGACAGGGGAAGGGGGCACTGGGGGGTCCTGGGGCGGTTGCCCCTCCCCCTCCGAGTCCCCCTCCTGGGCTGACTCCCAGCCCACAGCGCCGGCCTCCAGAGGGGCGTCCCCATCGCTGCTGTCCTGAGGGTCTGGGGGGACGGGGGGGGGGTAAGTGCTGGAGCAGACCCCCCCCACGCCGAGCTGCTCTCACCCCGGCCTTGCACGGGCGCTTGGCAGTGACAACCCCTTGTGCCCGCTCACACACGAGGGCTGCACCCCCCCCTTTGCACACCCAGCTGCACGCCCCTCTCCCCCCCCCGGGCCCGTTGCACCAGGGCCGCAGTCTCCATGAGCCCCCTTCGCACGTCCAGCCCTGCCCCGCTGCCCCCCCCCAGCCCAGATCCCCGCAGTGCCCCACCTCTGAACTCCACGATGACAGAGGGGACTCGCTCCCCTCGCGCGGGCAACGGGGCCTTCGGCTTCGAGCTCCGGGGGCGTCGGGAGTCGGCGCGGCCGGCTGCGGGGCAGAGAGGGGGCCAGGGGTAAAGGGGGGGGGTCATAGGGCACGCTGTCCCCTTTAAAAGGCCAGGCCGGGCACGTCATAGCAACCGTTGCTAAGGGGTTCGGAGTGTCACAACACAGCAACAAGGTGGGGCATCCGCTGCAACGGTTGCATAGCAACGGAACTGGGCATGCAGCACGGCAACGGTTGCACAGCAACAGAGTGGTGCCTGTCTAAAGGTGGCAACGGTTGCCTGGCAACGGACCGGTGCACATAAAATGGTGCACCTGCATGGCAACGGTTGCACGGCAACGGTTGCACCCGTTTCCCGGCCCGGCCAGGCTGGCGGCCCCCGCTCACCCCCTCTCTGCTTGGCCGGCCAGCCCCGGCGCCTGGAGCTGGGTGCCGCCTTGGCCTTGCTGATGGGCCGCGTGTCCTCCAGGACGGCCTCTTCCAGCTCTGCGTCGGAGGCACCTGGATGGGGGGGGCAGAGAGTGAGTGGGTGGGCAGAGCTGGGGGGGGTCCCACCGGGGATCCCCACACCCAGGATCTGCCCCTCCCCCTTTACCTGAGGCCTCCTGCGCAGCTCGGGGGCCCCGGTCCAGGTGCACGGAGCTGCCCCAGGCGTCAGCAGGGCGATGGGCCTCCGGGACCGACTCCACCAGGAAGGGGTTGCTGGTTCCTAGGGGCAGAGAGAGTCCGTCACCTCCCGGGCACCAGCCCCTCCCCCAGCAGACAAGCCCCGCCCCCAGCAGATAGGCCCCGCCCCATTGGGTGAGACAATGGGCGCTCTGCCATGCTACAGTTTAGAGTGGGTGGGGCTCAGTGCCCATCGGCCACACCCCCAAATCCCATACTCCTTTACCTGGGCCTAATTACTGGAAGTCCCGCCCACAACAGACAAGCTCCACCCCTTCCCTGCCCTATTTTGGTTAAGAGGGGGAGCAGTTCTGCCCTTTGTATAAGGCCACCTGCTAGTGGGCGGAGGCTAATTGCTATCAGCCCTGCCCACAAATAACAAGCCACGCCCACATTTACCACGCCCTTCTCTCTTTTTCCTAGGGGATGGCTGCCCGCACTACTGCTGGTAGAGGCGGGGCCTAGTTCTTGGAAGCACCACCTACCCTTCATGAGCCCCACCCCCAAAAAGACCCGCCCCTTCCACCTCTCTCTTGACTGACAGAGGGATACCAGGACAGCCACTCCCTCATTGGCAAACCACACCCCCATGGACAAACCACGCCCCTTTCCCCTGCCTTCTTCTCTGACACAGGCAAACTGTTAACCCCCCTTGTGGCGTTACCTCTGTCAGGGGGTGGAGCCTATTTTTTGGAAGCCTCGCCCCTAATTGACAAGCCACGCCCCTACCTTGGGTTTGGAGGAGGGAGAGTCCCGCCTCCACCGTGACCTGACTGTATGGGATTTCACCAGTCAGCCAATCACCCCAGTGAAGAAACAGGGCTGAGACCAGGGGGGAACTCGTTACACGGGTGAGGACGGAGGAACCCTGGCTCCCGCCTCTGCCCCCGCTCTCACCGTTGCAGAGGCTGTGGTCACTGCAGGACTCCATCAGGGGGGTGCGTTCCTCTGGCCGGCGCCCCCGGCGGCCCGTCACCTTGGCATCGGGGTTGGCCTGTACCATGAGCGGCTCCTGGCGCTTCCGGCGCTGCTTCTTCTCAAAGATGCAGCGCTGGGGGTGGGGGGAAGGGGGCAGGAGAGGAGAACAGTCCCTGGAGGCACTGCCCTGGGGTGACACCCCCCCACCCCACCTTGGGATCCAGCCTCAGCCCTGATCCCCTCAATCCCAGAACCCCCCAGGGGCGACGGGACACCACTCCCAGCCCCAATTCCCTCGAACCCAGAACCCCATGGGGAGCCAGCCCTGATCCCCTCAATCCCAGAACCCCCTCGGAGGCACGAGGGCACCGCCCCGGGCACCTACCTGCAGCTCCAGCTTTTGCTGCCGCAGGGAAGCAGGCTCCTCGCCCAGGCCGCTGGAAGAGAAGGAGCCGGGGGCATTGGGCGGCGAGATGGGGTGGGAGGGCAGGCGCTGGTAGGAACTCCGCGCCATCTCGCCGCTGACTATGCACCCAGGGGCCACCCCAGCAGACCCTGCCTTCGCCAGTCCCAGGGGCTGCTGCAGCCAGGGCACGGGGGCGTTCCGATCGCCACGGCACCGGGGTTTGTGACATCATAAGTGCCCCCAGATGTACCCCCGCCATGCAGCGCTGGGATGCGGCCCTTCTGGGGTGGGGCATGGGGGCTGGGTATAATGGGACCCCTCGCCTGGTGCTGGGACACGGCCCCTCTGGGGTAGGGTCTGAGAGACTCGGGGGGGTTCAAAGCAGGGGGACTCTAAGGAGGGGAAGTTGGGGGCCTTGGCCTGGGGAGTCCCCTGGAAGGGTATAAGAGACCCTGGGGGGCCCAGCGTAGAGACCCTTTGTTTAGAAGCGGAGCAAGGAGCGATCCCAACAAGTAGGGAAGGGGGAATGAACGAAGCAACAGCTGCTAATTAAGGCCCCCCCCCCCCCGATAAAACAGGATTAGCTCATTAGGGATTAATGAGGACCAGACAGGCTGAGCGCAAAGACAACCTGCCTCGAATACACTACACCCCCCCGGTGCATCGCCCCCCCGCCCCTTAACGCACCCCCAGACCCCCATCCCATCCCCAAGCTTACGTGTCTCCCCGCCCTGCTGTGTTCATGGTGGGGGGGTGGTCGTGGCCGGACTCCGGCTGGGCCTGGAGGAGAGAAAAATTCACTGAGCACCACAGGACTTGTTCTTGGTTTCCCCTTGGACACATGGAACCCAGGAGTCCTGGCTCCCAGCCCCCTCCTCTCCCCTCCCCTCCCCCTGCTGTAACCACTAGACTCACCTCCCAGAGCAGGGGAGAGAACCCAGGAGTCCTGGCTCCCAGCCCCTCCCCCCCCCCGCCACTCTAACGACTAGACTCCCCTTCCCTCCCAGAGCAGGGGAGAGGTCCCCTGCTGGATTCCAGACCCACTTTTCATTCTGGCTGTCAGCCTTCAGGGATAGGAGCGGGGCATCCCCCCAACCCCAATCTCAGACCTGCGAGCGTTGAGGGGAACGGGGATACCGGCTCCGGGTCTGGCTCCAGCTCCGGCTCTGGCAGGTCTGACCTGGGGGGGGTTGGGAGAGGAGGATGAGATCTGACCCCTTCCCCCGCAGGCCCAGCCCCCGGCATGGGGAGCCCATCGGATTGTCTCCTCCATAATCGGCTTTGGTTTCTTAACCTGCCAGGCCCCGTGGCCGGGTTTAAAGGTGCCCATGTCGCATGGGGCCAGGGCAAAGACAGTCCCTGCCCCAGCTGAGATCAGGGCCCTGTCGTGCCAGGTGCTGCCCAGACCCACGGCGGGAGAGAGCCCCTGCTAAGGGCAGGACAGGCCCATGATTTTGGGGGGTCACCTAGGAGGGGATGGGCTAACCGGCAGGGAAAGGGGAGGGGAAGGTGTCTGTGTGTCTGGGGGGATGGTGGTTGTGTGAACCCACTTCCTGCCCCCCATACCCCTTTACACACCCACCCCTCGCCCCCCAAGCTGAGCTGGTCCCAGGCCCCTTCCCCTCCGGGGAGGGGGCAGGGGGAAATCACCCCATGCTGCTTGGGGTCAGATCTTCCCCCTCCTGCCCCTCGCTCCAAGGGGGACCTCACAGCAAACTCCCCCCCCACTGCACAGACACCCCCCCATCACCTCACGGGGGGGGGGAGCAAATACTTTGCTGCCTTCTGATTGGACAGTGGTCACCGTGGCAGCGCTGGGCAACCAGGGATGAAGGGGAATTTCTTCCAGGACTCTTGGGTTTCCTCTGCAGGGACTGGCTGGTGGGGGGGCGGGGGGGCAGGGAATGGGGCACAGGGCCTTTCCCCTCTAGGGGGCGCCGGCTCCCACCCAGCCCCAGGGCGGGGGATGGGCTGGCTTGGGGGGGCGTGGCCTGTCCCCTCTGCCCTAGTCGCCCCCTTCTGACCCCCCTGCCCCCTTCCTCCTCTTGCCCCTTTCCCGGGGGGGAGTAGCCAGGTGGGAGAGGGGAAAGGGGGTGGTAGGGGGCAAGTATCACCCAGGGGGCGTGGCCTGTCCCCTCTGCCCTAGTCGCCCCCTTCTGACCCCCGTTGCCTCTTTACTCTCTCTTGCCCCTTTCCCGGGGTGTAGTAGCCAGGTGCGGGCAGAGGGCGTGGCTGTGCATGCAAATCTCGACAAGTGGGCGTGGCTAGGCGGGCAAGTATCACCCAGGGGGCGTGGCCTGCCCGGGAGAAAACAACGGGGAGCAAGAGGGGGAAGGGGGCGTGGTTTGCCGCGGAGGGGGTGGGGCATACGCGGAAGGGCGGGGCTCAGTATGCAAACGAGGGGGCGGGGCATCCGGGCCGCAGGAAGCGTCGTTTCCGCTGCTCTCTTTTGTCGAGCGGAGCCGGAGGCTGGAGCGGGGCCGTAGCGTGAGTCCGGGCGAGACCCCCCCCACCCCCCCCAGGGATCCCCCCCCGGGCATTTCCCACCCCCCCCAGCTGTGCTCGCCCCCGGGCTCTGCCACTCCCCCGCGCCAGGGATTCCCCCCCCGGGCTCTACCCCCCCAGGGAATTCCCCCCCCCCGCCCCGGAGATCTCCCCTTCCGGCCTCTGCACCCGCGGGGATCCCCCTCCTCCCCCCACCGCCGGGCTCTGCCCCACCCCCGGGATCCCCTCTCCCGACTTCACCCCCCCCCGCCCTGGGGATCCCCCCTGAGAATCCCCCTCCCCTCCCCGGCTCTGCCCCTCCGGGCTCTGCCCCACCCCCCCGCCCCAGGGATACTCCCCGGGAATTCCCCTCTCCCCCGCCGCCGGCATCTGCCCCCCCCCGGGAATTCCCCTCCCCCTACCGCCAGGATCTGCCCCCCCTCCCCTGCCCCGGGATCCCCCCCTTCCGGGCTCTGCCCCTGCCCCGGGAATTCCCCTCTCCCTCCCCCGCCGGGCTCTGCCCCTGCCCCGGGAATTCCCCTCCCCCCATCTCTGGGATCTGCCCTCCCCCGCCCCGGGAATTCCCCTCCCCCCACCACCAGGATCTGCCCCCACCCCCAGGGAGCCCCCATTCCCTGCACTCTTGGGAGCCCCTGGATTCGCCTTCTGCCCCCTGGGAATCCCTCTGGAATCTGCTCCCCAGCCCCTCCTCCTCCACTCTTCTCCTTCCCCCCCATCCCCCATGGGAATCCCTCTGCCCACCTGCAACACCTGCCCCTCCTCCCTGAGGTCTTCCCCCTCCCTCACTCCATGGGGAATTCCCCCCCAGCACCTCCCCTCCCCCATCTCCTCTACTCCCCCCTCTCCAGGGGGATTCTCTCCAGCCACCCCCTGGGTCTGTCCCCCAGCTTCCCCCTCTCAGTTTTCCCCTGGGGTCCTCCATGGGGATCCCCCTGCCTCACCCCTGAGATCTGCCCCCCGCTCACCTCCCCCCTTCAGCCCTCCTTGGGATCCCCCAGCCCCCCTTGAGATTTTCCCCATCCCCCAGTGCCCACTGGGGATCTCCCCCTCAATCTCTCCCATCCCAGGGGATCCCCCATGCTCCTGCCTTCCAGCCTGCCCCTAGCTCCTCCCCTGCCTGGTCTTGGGGGTCTTTTCCTCCCCTTTACCCCAGGGACCCCCCTCAGACCCCAGCACAACCCCTGGGTTCCCCATTTAGGGTTTCCCCTCATGAGACCGAGTTGGGGGTGAGCCCACACAGGGACCCCACTTCCCCAGGCAGCCACCCCTTTTGGAGAAGGATCCTCTGACGTGCCCCCCCCAGCTTCATCCTCTCCCAGCACAGAGACCCCCCTTCTCTCTCTGCCCCCAATAAGACAGCAGATGCGGGTGAGCCCCACATATTCCAGGTGCCCCCTGCTCACGGAGAGACCCTTCCCAGCCTCCTCCTGGGCCCCCCCACCCCGTAACACCCTGTTCTGTCCACCACCCAGGACTGGGACTCCCTGCCCCCCAACATCACAGCAGTTGGGAGTGAATTCCATATAAGGATCCCCCCAAGAATGAGACCCCCCCCTTCTCAGCACAGGGATCCCATGTACTCTCTGCCCCCTAACATCTTAGAATGGGTTGAACCCCACAGAGGCCCCCTGCTTCAGGGAGTTTCCCCACCCTTGAGACCCCCTGACTCATTCCCTGGGCTCCAGCATCCCCCCCCCCCACCCCAGTAACACCCCCTTCCATCCCCTGCTCATTCCCCACCCCACATACAGCCGACCCCCACCCCAGCTGACCCTCCCCTGCTAACCACCCGCCTTTCCCCTCCCCCGTTCTCTGCAGGCGAACTCCAGAAACCATGCAGCTGTCCTGGCTTTTGGCCACTGCCCTGCTTGCCGTTGCAGCGTCTGTGCCCATCGACCGGCCCAAGGCAGAGAAGAAGGCGGAAGAGACGCCCCCAGAACCACCGGTAAGAGGCCGGGTCTCGGCCCCTTTTCGGACTGGTTGTCGCTCCATCATCTTGTAGCAGGGAGTTCCGCTGGCTTATCGCCAAGGCTGAGTTGCTTCCATGTGTCTGGGGTACCCGTCTGGCCTCGTGTCTGAGCCCCGCAGGATCTTTCACACTCACTCCGCTCCTGTGAGCTAGGGCAGTGCTATTCTTCCATGTTGTAGACGGGGGGAAACTGAGGCATGGGTCACCGCCCGAGCCTTCCCTCTCCCCGAGCCCGGCCTTCTTTCTATAAAACCTCTCGGGCATTGGAGTTTAGCTGCTAGGGGGTGTCACAGACTCACGGGTCGTGCCCACTCTTGGCCCCATACGGTCCCTGGGATGAACCCCCTTCAGTGTGACACCCCCCCCCTTCGTCACAGGGGGTCACGACGAGACCTAAATGTGTGGGGCAGATCTCCCCCTCCCAGCGCCACCCAGTCCCGGGTTCCCACCCCTTCCTTTGATGGAGCGCTGGTTTCCGATGCAGTCTCCCATGGTTTGGCCCTGATTCTCTTGGGGAATAACCGGAGACTGGGCGGGTGCTAGGAACCCCGGCTAATAACGGTTTGGCCAAAAACAACAGATTCCCAACACACACACACAAACCCTCCCCCAGGTGAGGGCGAAGGGAAAATTCTAGCTTGTGGGTGCTGGGAAGACAAATCGAAGGGTTTCCTGTTACGGGTGTTACAGCTGGAAAGCTGAGGGCCCCCCACTTACGGGGCTGCGTGTTTGAATTTAACAAGACCACTAACTCGGCTGCAATAGGATTGAAGTCAGACAATAAATAAATTCTTCATCCGGCCGGCGCACAGAGGAAATGCACGTGACTCGCGGCGGCCCCCGAATTCAGCTCGGCTCTGACGCACTCCTCCAAATTCACGCGGGGACGCTGGCTGGGGAGGAAGAAACCCCTTGGAAGTTGCTTTGGCTCGCAGCTTTGTTTGAAAATGATCAACTGACCTAATCAATAAGCCAAGGACATCTGGTTGCTGCTGAGATCAGCTGTTGCCGTAGTTGGCTTTTAGCGGCTTAGACGTGAATGAAAACATCGGTGCACTGTTACGTGGATTACGCCTCGGCTTGGCCGGTTTGATTTTTATGGATCGTTTCAGCAGCGAAAATCTGGGTTTATCTTTACGCCTATTTTCAGCTTTTCTCAACGTCGGTTTTCACAGGGGCTCAGAATTCGGAAAGTGGAAAGCTTTTGAGGCGTCAAGACGCGCACGGTCAACATCGCGTGGCAAACCAGGCCACAGAAATAGCCTTCAATCAAACCGTACTAGGCTTCCCAGCAGTGTTTTCTCTCTCTCTTTACCTTTCTGGGCGTTTCGATTTGCCTCGACGGCGCCGGTGTTTTCCGTATGTCCGGGGAAATCGCCGCTTACGATCCAAAGTGGGATCCTGCCACCGCGCCTCTTTACCGAACACGCCTGAATGTTCCCTGCTCGTCTTGTCAATTACCGATCTGATCATTAAGGGAATCATTAAGAAAGGGGTAGATAACCAGACAGAAAATATCATGTTGCCTCTGTATAAATCTGTGGTACGCCCACATCTGGAACACTGCGTGCAGATGTGGTCGCCCCCTCTCTAAAAAGATAGATTGGAATTGGAAAAGGCTCAGAGAAGGGCAACAAAAATGATCGGGGTCTGGAACGGCTGCCGTATGAGGGGAAATGAATAAGACTGGGACTTTTCAGCTTGGAAAAGAGACTCCTAAGGGGGGATATGATCGAGGTCTATAAAATCATGACTGGTGGGGAGAAAGTAAATAAGGACGTGTTTACTCATAACACAAGAACGAGGGGTCACCCCATGAAGTGAACAGACAGCAGGTTTAAAACAAACAAAAGGAAGTATTTTTTCACACAATGCACAGTCAACCTGTGGAACTCCTCGCCACAGGAAATTGTGAAGGCCAAGACTATAATAGGGTTAAAAAAAGAACTAGATAAGTTCGTGGAGGAAAGGCCCATCGATGGCTATTAGCCAGGATGGACAGGGATGGTGTCCCTGGCCTCTGTTTGCCAGATGCTGGGAATGGGCGACAGGGGATGGATCACTTGATGATAACCTGTTCTGTTCATCCCCTCTGGGGCACCTGGCACTGTCCACTGTCGGCAGACAGGATACTGGGCTAGATAGGCCTTTGGTCTGACCCAGTTTGGCAGCTCTTATGTTCTTATGATTAATTTCAGTTTCAGTTTCATCAGTTACAAACAAGATCTATGATCAAGCCTTTAAGGCAGAAGACAGTGATTACAGGAATTCCTGATAAGCTAGAAGCATCTCTCGTTAGCTTATTAATTACGGACAACACCTGCCTCTCAGCAATGAGAAGAAGTCTCTCTCTGGGCTGAATCAATGCGGCCAGAGGGAGAGGACACACGATCCATTAATAAATAAAAATTTAATGGCGTCTCCCACCCAGTTTGGGGGTCCTGAGATGAGACCCCAGACTCCCCTTCCCCCACCCTCGCGGTATTCCAGGACCAGCATTAACCCTTTTGCACCTGCTGGCAAGCATTGCAGTGTACGGAGGGAAACTGAGGCAGACTGTGGCCTACTGAAAAAGATGACGGAAAATTCCCGGCTGGCGCAGGTGGGCAGCACCCCCTGTGGGCCTGCCAATGTGGTTTGAATACAGGGCTGGAGTAGGGTGTTCCTCAGCACTGGACTGCGTTTTGTCTGATCCAGGGCTTTTGCCCTGGTCGGCTGGGCCAGCGCTACCGGACGCTGAACCAGACCCCGGCTCTCGGGGTCGCTGGAGCTCGCAAGTCCTGTCCCTGACCCCCCCCACCCCCGCCCGCCACCGAGCCCAGGACAGGAGCTAACATGTTGCTTGTAGATCACACACAGCGTTGGCCTGGGGGGACGTGGGCCCAGCTCCAGTGAAGCCAGGGGGCTCGGGTAGCTCCGGTGTGTTTATTCACAAGCGGCGTCAGGGCAGCCCCTGGCTCCGCTCGGGCCCGGGTCAGGCTCCGTCACCGGAGGGCTGCTGTGGGCATGGTCACGTTTTGGCTGGTGGGTTCTGGGAAGGCGGATCGTGACAGGACAAGGAGTAATGGTCTCAAGTTGCAGTGGGGGAGGTTTAGGTTGGATATTAGGAAAAACTTTTTCACTAGGAGGGTGGTGAAACACGGGAATGCGTTACCTAGGGAGGTGGTGGAATCTCCTTCCTTAGAAGTTTTTAAGGTCAGGCTTGACAAAGCCCTGGCTGGGATGATTTAATTGGGGATTGGTCCTGCTTTGAGCAGGGGGTTGGACTAGATGACCTCCTGAGGTCCCTTCCAACCCTGATATTCTATGAAGGCTCTCCTCTTGGGAGGATTATGGTAGCGCCCGAGCGCCCCCACAGCTTGACTAGGCAAAGGGAGGATCACGTACAGAAGGGGAAACTGAGGCCTAGCCCCCCTCCCCGCTCTAACCACTAGATCCCACTCCCCTTACAGAGCCAGGGAGAGAACCCAGGAGTCCGGGCTCCCAGCTACGAGCCCCTCATGGTGCAAGTAAGGCGTCAGCTGAAGCAGGACGGGCGACCGTGTTGTGTGGTTGCTGTACGTCCCTGGCAGATTCAGTGTGTCCTGGGGAGATGGGGGGCAGATCCGGGGCAGGGGGGCCTGTTGCCTGACCTCTCGCTGTTCCTCGGCAGGACACGGGGCTATATTATCACCGCTACCTGCAGGAGGTGATCAACGTGCTGGAGACGGACAGCCACTTCCGGGAGAAGCTGCAGGCGGCCAACGCCGAAGACATCAAGGTGAGAGAGATGGGATGCGGGGCCTTTCCCCTCTGGGGGGTGCCCTATCCAGCCCCGGGGTGGGCTGGCTGGGGGGCGGGGCATGGGAAAGGGGGCGTGTCTTTTCCTGCTCCAGGGTGGGGCACAGGGAAGGGGGCGTGTCTTTTCCGGCTCCAGGGTGGGGCACAGGGAAGGGGGTGTGTCTTTTCCGGCCCCAGGGTGGGCTGGCTGGGGGGCGGGGCATGGGAAAGGGGGCGCGTCTTTTCCTGCTCCAGGGTGGCGCACAGGGAAGGGGGCGTGTCTTTTCCGGCTCCAGGGTGGGCTGGCTGGGGGGCGGTGCACAGGGAAGGGGGTGTGTCTTTTCCGGCTCCAGGGTGGGCTGGCTGGGGGGCGGGGCACAGGGAAGGGGGTGTGTCTTTTCCGGCTCCAGGGTGGGCTGGCTGGGGGGCGGGGCACAGGGAAGGGGGCGTGTCTTTTCCGGCCCCAGGGTGGGCTGGCTGGGAGGACGGGGAAGGGGGCCTGTCTTTTCCGGCCCCAGGGTGGGTTGGCTGGGAGGGCGGGGCATGGGGAAGGGGGCGTGTCTTTACAGCGGCTCCTCCCCTCTCTCCGTGGCAGAGTGGGAAGCTGAGCAAGGAGCTGGACTTCGTGAGCCATCACGTCCGCACGAAGCTGGACGAGCTGAAGCGCCAGGAGGTCTCCCGGCTCCGCATGCTGCTCAAGGCCAAGATGGACGCAACCATGGAGCAGAGTGAGTGGGAGCTCGGATGCCTGGGTTCCTTCCCCGGGAGGGGAGAGGGTTTTAGTGGGGCAGGGGAGGGCTGGGAGAACTTGGGTACTTTTCCCAGCTGTGTCAGTGGTACCTGGTGAACTTTTACCTTTCCCTCCCTGCCTCAGTTTCCCCACCTAAGCAAGGGAGGATGGGGGCCAAAACCCCCCAGAGGGGAAAGGCCCCGGGCCCCATTCCCTGCCCCCCTGAGCCAGCCAGTCCCTGCCCTGGGGTGGGGTGGGAGCTGGTGCCCCCTAGAGGGGACAGGCCCCGGGCCCCATTCCCTGCCCTATGTCTCCCCCAGATGTGCAGATCGATCACCTGGGGCTGCTGAAGCAGTTCGAGCACCTGGACCCCCAGAACCAGCACACCTTCGAGGCCCGCGACCTGGAGCTGCTCATCCAGGCGGTGAGTGCTGGGGGAGAGGTGGGAAGGAACCAATTCTTCGGGGGGGATGGGACAGGCTGGGGAGGGGGCAGCTGGGGGGTTGGTGGTGTGGTTCATGCCATCCTCTTCCCACATACAGTGATGGGAACCCGTCCCCGCACGGGGAAATCCCCTCCTGTTAACCCTTTAACGCCCTCGTGGGGGTCCCCTTGGATCCACTGGACTCGCCCAGCCTCGGGTGGGGTGTAGAGGGTGGGGGCAGGTGAGTCTGCCCCCAAGCAAGGGTGGAGAGAACAGGATGTGATTGGGTCAGAGCATGGGGGGCTGGGAGCCAGGACTCCTGGGTCCCCTCCCTGGCTCTGGGAGGGGAGTGGGGTCTAGTGGTGAGAGCGGGGGGCGTGGGGGGACTCCTGGGATCCAGAACTCCTGGGTTCCATGCTGACAGCCGCCTCTCTTGCAGGCCACCAAGGACCTGGAGAACTATGATGCGGCCCATCACGAGGAATTCAAACGATACGAGATGCTGAAGGAGCACGAGCGACGTGAGTACCTCAAGTCCCTGGACGAGGAGAAGCGGCGGGCGGAGGAGGCCCGGTTCCAGGAGCTGCGCCAGAAGCACAAGGAACACCCCAAAATCAACGTGCCGGTAAGGACCCCCAGCTGGACAGGGGGCAGAGCAGGACATGGGAGTTACCTGGGGAACTCCTTGCTGCAGGATGTATAGGTATGTGGGGGGAATGCATTTGCCTGCAGGACCTGTTGCTGCAGGGGTCACAGTCAGCATTAATCTGTGCAGAACTCCCTGCGTGGGGGGTTACCCCAGAGAGCCCACCGCTGTGGGGGATGGGAGGTGAGGGGGGTCACCTGCCTCTGTCCAGCTACAGGGACACGAGCCACTAGAGGGTGCCACGGAGCCAAGGGCCAGGCTTACGCTGAATTCATCTGCGGAACTCCCCGCTGCAGAGGGCGGAGGTGGTCTCTGGTCATGGGCTCGGGGAAATTAGCCCCCTCTTTCCCCCAGCTCTGGGAAAATATGGAGTAATTGCAGGGGGAAGTCAAGAGGGGGCAGAGCCTGAATGATGATTGGCAGGTGGGGGGCTGGGAACCAGGAGACCTGAGTTTTATCCCCTCCTCCCCTTGACTGCCCCCTACAGGGCAGCCGAGATCAGCTCAAGGAAGTCTGGGAGGAGACAGACGGGCTGGACCCCAGCGAGTTCAATCCCAAGACCTTCTTCAAACTGCACGGTGAGGGGTCTATCTCCTGCCCCCACCCCCCACAATACCACCCAGCCCCGCCACAGGAAACCCAGAGTCCTCTGCCCAGCTCCCCGCTCCATGCAGGGGGCAGCACCCCCTGCTGGGGAGGTCACCCCCAAGGGAGTCGGGCACATCCTGTCCTCCGTTCAAGGGATTTAGGGGCTGGCAGAGGGGGTCAGGTTTGGTAACACACTAGACCCCTTGGAGTGGAATCGGGGGAGGGGGAAGGGGGCTGTAGGAGGGAGGGCTCCCAAGCCACCTCTTCCCCCAGCATTTTCACACAGAGCCGGCCGTCCCACCCCATAGTGGGTGGAGAGAAATTGACAACCCCCCCAAGCCCCGCCCCGGCGTATTCAGCCCTTGGCCCCCCTGCAGAGACGTCTGGCTCCTGGGGAACTAGGAAACTTGTCACCTGTCGGGAGTCACTGGGGGAGAGCGAGGTGGGGCTGGCGCCTCCTAGAGGGGAAAGGCCCCGGGCCCCATTTCCCTGCCCCCCTGAGCCATCGAGTCCCTGCGCTGGGGCCGGATGGGAGCCGGCGCCCCCTAGAGGGGAGATTCCCCTGCCCCAGCTGCGCTCACCCCCCCCCTGGTCTGTTGCAGACACGAACAGCGATGGGGTTCTCGACGAGCAAGAATTGGAAGCGCTTTTCACCAAGGAGGTGAGCTCCCTCGGGGGGTTTGGGGGGGTGAAGGCCTCTGGGCAGGCGGGGCCTGGAATCCAGGGCTCCCTGTTATCCTTCCTCCTGGACCCCAAGGGAGCGGGTGTGCTGGGGGCGGGGTAGTCGGACAGCAGGGGGCGGCAAACGGGGGGGGGGTGTTTGTGGGAGGGGAAGGGAGCTGGGATGGGTGGCTGGCGGCAAAGGACAGGAAGGTCCTGAAGGGCAGATCTTCTGTGGGTCTGTATTTTTTTTTTTTTTTTTTTTTGCGGGGGGGGGGGGGAGCTAAGCTATGGGGATAGCAGTGGGATGGGGTTGAGGAACGGGGGGGCTGAGCTCTGGGGGCAGGCTGGGTGAGACAGACTATTGGGGGCAGGGGTGGGATGGGACAGGCGGGGCAGAGCTGTGGGGGGGTGGAATGGGCAGGGCTCTTGCGGGCTGCGGTGCGGGGACGGGGCTGAGCCGTGGGGGTGGGTGGGCGGGGCGAAGCAGCCAGGCAGGGGTTGATCAGGTGTCTTCCCCCCCCACCCCCCCAGCTGGAGAAGGTCTACGACCCCCGGAACGAGGAGGACGACATGCTGGAGATGGAGGAGGAACGTCTGCGTATGCGGGAGCACGTCATGAAGAACGTGAGTGACTCCCCCGGCCCTAGTGGCGGGGGGGAGGGCCGCAGGGCCCTGGGGTGGGGGTGGGGGTCCTGGCCTCAGTCTATTGTAGGGGGTCCCGGATTCGATGACTGTCCCTTGCCCCCATGCTCCCTCCCGGGGCCAGCCACTGGGCGCGTCCCCCACAGCGGGGCCTACCGAGCCAGGCTCCTGGCAGAGCCCTACAGGCCCCCGCCCCCCCCCGCCCCCCCCAGACAGGGTTGGCTGGAGCCGGGGCTGGGGGAGCCCAGGGCTCTGTCTCGCCGGCCCGTTGTCCGTCAGTCCCCCCTTCTCAGGAAGGTGGGGGGGGCAGTTTGAATCCTCTCTGCCCCATGGCGTCTCACGAGGGGAACCAGCGGCAGGGCAGCAGGAAAAGGCATTGTGAGGGGCCCCCAAACAACGAGCCGCCCCGGGGGCTCTGCCTCGTCACCTTAGCTGGGCCACTTGGGGGATCCCCCAAGCCTCAGAACTTGAGGTTCCGCCCTGCCTTCCCCCAGCTTAGCTACCCCTTCCAGGCCCCCCCCAAAATCTGTCACCCCACGTTCTTCACTCCTGTACCCACCCGGGGTTCTCCCCTCCGCTTCGCCGCCCCCGAAGGAGGCAATTCTCTTTGGCAAAAAGAAACCGGAAGCTTTAGTTGATACAGGGGCTTTTGGCCGCTTTCTTTCCTGTGCGGACCCCTAAAACCGTTTGGCTGCAGGGTGCAGACCCCGTTGGAAATCTTAGACGTAGGCGTCTACACGGCCTGCAGCCTTAGGGGTTCAGATCCCCGCGCTGCTCTCCCTGGGGGGCATCCGGACCCGGATTGCAAGCTTAAATGGCAAAACCAACACAGCGAAGGGGGAGACGGGCCCGTTCAGCCACTTTGGAGAATCAGCACCTCCAAATTGGAGACGGTGGCCCTCTGTTACCAGATGTGTCCATCACTTTGGGGTGTGCTCGTTTAGTAGGGTTACTCTTCTGGGGGGGGGGGGGGGGGGTCCTGTAATGATATTAACATGCTGCTTGTGTCATTAGTGTGTCCTTCCTTCTGCCAGCCCCCTCCCCGTGGAGCTACCCTGCAGGACCTCGGTTCCCCAGAGCTGGGTTCCTCCAGCCCTGGGACTAGATGAACACACCCACACCACACCCCACACGCAGCAAGTCTGAGCGGACCGGGTCAATCAGCACCTCCCAAGCTGATCCCCTTGTATGTCCCTGTACTCTGTGGGTGGGGTTAAGCAGCACTTTCAGCTGCCCCCCGCCCCCCCCACGTGCCACGGGTTTAACACGTCCCTATCCCACTTCCAAGTCACAATTGTAGGAGCAGGAACCCACTTGAGGAGCAAACCCCACAGTCTTTGTGGGCACGACAGGGATCTTTAGCTTAGGTAAAAGAAGCGTTGTTGCGGAGTAAATGGGGGAAGCTGAGAACACAGAAGAGTAAAGTTCAGAAAGAGAGAGAGAGAAGTAACCAGCTTAACCATAAAAAGAACCGGAGGACTTGTGGCACCTTAAAGACTAACAGATTTATTAGAGCATAAGCTTTCGTGAGCTACAGCCCACTTCATCAGATGTGTAGAATGGAACGTATAGTAAGAAGATACATATACACATACAGAGAAGGTGGAAGTTGCCATACAAACTGTAAGAGACTAATTAATTAAGATGAGCTATTCTCAGCAGGAGAGAAAAAAACAAAAGAAACAAAAAAAACCCCATAAAAGTTATTTATTGACTAACTACTCCAGGAGAGCTAAACCAACATAACATACATTTGTGAAGGTGAGGTAGAAAGGAAATCAGGGGGGATCTCACCCTCCCTGAAGCTTGAACTGTTTGGGGTTCGCAGGTGATGGGGGTAGATGCGGGTCCTGAGGGCAGGAGACAGGTAGAGCCCCCAGCACGCTCAGTCAGGAGACGATGGAGTCCTAGTGGAACTGATTTTGGGTCTATACATCAGAACCCTTACTTGGGCGTAGGTAGGGGGTTTTGTAGAGAAAATACAATGTTCAAGGGAGAACACTAGATCTGTTTCTGGGTAAACTGCTGACTCAAGGGTTTTCTTTAGGCTAGACAATAGGAGCTGATCACTCTTGGCTCTGGGTGGTGGTTTCTTCCAGGAAGCTCACAATGCAACTAGGCTGCTTCAGTATTTTGGATCTCAGTCGAGGATTTATTACTAGAATTGGTCTGATAACGGCCGAGCTGGGTGTGTGCAGGCGTGGGCTCATTAACATTTAGAGCAGAGGTCCCCCATGATGCAGTGCGTCCCTGCTTTTCTGGTCCCAGAGTTCAGGGCAGTTCTCTGTTTTCCATTCTGTATGCTAATGGAGATGTCTTAATCTTGTCAGGAGGGGTCTAGGTGTGCCCTTCACTGCTCTCTGCGAGCCTTTTCTCTGATCGGTTTTGGTTCAAGAAGAGACTCGTGGTGGGGGTGTCTTTCGTGAGTCAGACAGGCTAGATACTGTGCCCTGGTTCCCCAAAAACACAGAGCTGACTGGTATCACCTCTCCTGGATGAAAGTGGACGGCTGTCCCCAAGTCAGGGGGAGCAGCTGCCCTTAGTGGCCGAGTTCGAGTATCTTGGGGTCGTGTTCAGGAGTGATGGTGAGCAGGGCATCGACCGGCGGATTGGGGCGGCGGTGATGCACCGATCTGTGGTGGTGAAGCAGGAACCGAGTTCCCGGATGAAGCTCCCGGTTTGTAGGTTGCTCTAGGTCTCCATCCTCGGGGCGTGAGCTTTGAGGAATGACCGAAAGGGACGAGATCGCAGGTGCAAGCGGCGGAAATGAGGTTTCTCCGCTTCCTTTCCAAGACAGGGTGAGGCGCTCGGCCCCACAGGAGGGCCTCGGAGCAGAGCCAGGAAAAGCAGCATAAAGGGAAAAGAAGAAGGAAGAGGAAGCAGTGAGGTGCTCTTGACCATGGTTTCTAAGCGTGTCAATCCTGCAGGCCCCGGCACCTCCGCGGTGGGCATTTCGTCTTCCCCGCTGTATGTTCGAGGTCTTGCCTGGACGCCGTTCGGTCTCCGAGTCAGTTTCTGAACAGTAAAGCGGGAGGGCGGCTGCGTCCCGTCTTGTGCATCGACCGTTTGCTGTTGTCCCAGGCCTGGTTCTGCAATAGCCCGAAATTCTTAGCTGCTTTTCCGATTCTGTCTCTTCCGCCTGAAGGTCAAGGACCCAAATGGCAAAAGCTGTCAACGAAATCCGACAAAGACCCACGCGCCAGTTATAACAAAGAGAGACACGGGGCCGATGGATCTGGCACCAGATCTCCGTCGCTACTGGGGACTATTCCAACCGGGAGTTTCCCCGCGGGCCTTCCCAGTGAGGGACCCTCTTTTCTCTTGTAATTCTGACCACACCATATGTGTATGCATGACGGTGTCCACCCCCTTTTCCCTCATCTGGCCTCCTGCACCCCACAAATAGCGGGGTGCCCCATTTCCCCCCCTAGGTAGTTGCTCTGTGCCTCTTAAGTCCTTGTTCACGTCTCCGTGTGCGGCAGGACAGAAAGTTCGGTGACGCTACGGTTGTGGGTCAGTACGCTTCCTGGCCGTCTCCTCGCCCGCTGGCACGTCTCTCTCTGTCATCTGGTGACGTCGCTGGCATTGGGTCGCCCAGACAAGCGTTCTCCAGCCTAGTCGGGCAAAGCTCAGGTCTTAAGGTGTTGGCCTCGCGATCCAGCCGCCCTTTATTTATATCCCTCACGCTCGTCCCTCCCAAATACGCGTCGATCGTCCATTTCTGTCCTCCTACAATTGAAATCTATTGCGCCGTCCCTGGATTGTCGGAAACAGCATCTGAAGTGACCCCAACGCGAGGATCAGTTAGTTCGTTTCACCCTCCGTTTGCTGCAGTTCACGTGCGTAGCGCTGGTTCCTGGCCTCGGATGCCTGTCCGGAGTCCCTGGTGCCGGCAGATCAGTGGATTGCAGCGTCTTCGTTGGGTCGTACGTGTCCATTTTCGGTGCAGCTCGGCATCCTGGGAAGTCCAGAAAGATCCATCTCTGGGTACCCAGCACGTTGCCCGTCTCTGGGATGTTTCTCGATCAAGCTGTCGGATCAGCGCGGCTCAGAAGCCACCGTCTCGTTTTCCAGCGAGTGATCCATGTTGTCCGTACTCCCTGTAACGCTCGCGTCCAGGGTGATCCACAGCCTCGCCCGGGGGGGTTCCCGTTTTTTGGGGGTTCCCCGATCCAGCCCCCGGCTCCAGTACCTGCTCTGGTCTCCCATGTGGCAGGGAGAAAAATCAACCACCCACCCCCTCACCAACACGCAGTCACAATGCCAGGGGGATGGGCACAGAGTTAGACAGAAAATTACCATGTTGGGGGCCCAGGATGGGAGACAAGGGGGGTGGATGGGGAGGCAGAGCGAGGGGTGGGGAGTTCTGGGGGGGCCCAGACCCCCATCTCACCCCTTTATCTCTCTCTTTCTCCCCCCCCTCCCCCCAGGTGGACTTGAACCAGGACCGGCTGGTGACGCTGGAGGAATTCCTGAAATCCACTGAGAAGAAGGAGTTTAACGAGGCCGGAGGCTGGGAGGTGGGTGTCAGGGTGGGGTGCAGCTGGGAAGTAAAGATTTGGGGATCTGTATCTTCTGGGGTTGTTGGGCTCTCTTGTAGGGGGGGGGGGAGTCTGTGTTGTCTAATGCAGCGGTGGGGGGCCGAGTGCGGGGAGGGGCGGGGTCGATCCCGGCTCTCACCTCCCTCCACCCCCGGCCCCCCAGACGGTGGACGAGACCCAGGTGTACTCGGAGGCGGAGCTGCAGCGGTTCGAGGCGGAGCTAGCGGCCCAGGAGGTGGAGCTTGGCCGGCGGGCGGAGCATCTGCGGCGCCAGCATCAGGATCTGCAGGAGCAGCAGGTCCGGCTGGACGCCCAGAAGAAGGAGTATCAGCAGGTGGGGGCGCTGCGGGGTCTCCCCCGCCTTGCTCCGTCCACCAAGGGGTGCGGGAGGGAGAGCGGCTTTGGGCCCCCCTCTCCTGCCTAAGTTGGGGATTCCCCCCCCTCCCCTGGGGAAGTGACACTGCAGGGGGCGGGGGCTGCCCCCCTTCCACGTGTCTGGCCCCCCAGGGAGTGGGGAATTATGGGGTGGGGGGAATCAGCTGGCCCCCTCTTTCCTCCCCCAGCTGTCACCGGGGGGGGGGTGGGGGGTATCTTGCCCCATTAGCAGAGCGCGCACTCTCTCTCTCCCCTCCCCCCATGTATCTGTCCCCGGGGGCGGGTATTTGGGGCAGGAGGGGGCAGAAACCAGCAATTCCCGGGTGGGGGGCGGGGTAAAGGCGGCCCCGTCTCTGCCATCAGCAGGGGCCAGTGTGGGAGCAGGCCCAGGCTTAACCCTTTCCTCCCCCCTCCCAGGCCGTGCTGCACATGGAACAGAGGAAATCCCAGCAGGGGGAGGCACCGGCAGCTCCCGACCCCGGGGAGGAGCTGAAATTCCAGGCCCAGGCCCCGCACGCCGCCCCGGCAGGTAAGACGGAGGCTCAGGACTCCTGGGTTCTCTCCCCAGCTCGGGGAGGGGAGTGGAGTCTAGTGGTTACAGCAGGGGGAGCTGGGAGCCAGGACTCCTGGGTTCTCCGCTCTGGGAGGGGAAGTGAGGGTCTAATTGCTTGGTGCCAACCCCCCTTCTCCTGTCTCCGTTCCAGAGCCGGCCGCACCTGCAGCCCCAGCCCCTGAACAGAACCACGTGGAACCTCCCCAGAACCAGGAGCCGCCACCACAGCCCGAAGTCCAGATCCAGTGAAACCCTGTGTGAGCTGGAGAAGGGCGGGGGCCTCATATTGGCCCTGCCCCTCCCTCTCCTGGGCCCTACCCCTCTTCCTTCCCCACTGGCACAGGGCTGGGGTCCTAGTATAGCATCCAGGCCAGAGGCTGTGTTGTCTGCAGTCCCTTTTTTGGCCACTGGGGGGTGACATTGAGTCTTGTCTGTTTTTTGGATCAGGGGCCTCAGTTGGAGCTGGGGGCTGCCTTCCTGCCCCATAGTGCTGCACTGCAGTAGGGGCGTTTCCCAGCTTCTCCTCCCTCCCCCCCAAAAAAGCCTCCTGCTTTTAGGGGGTGGGTCCTGGCTGCTGCCTCCACCCACAGAACCCATCTCCCCATGTTCCTAGCTGGGGGAGAGGGGCATTTGAATGGGGAAGCACTTGGGGTTTGGCAAAGAGGGGGGTGTGTGTGTGTCTTGATTGGAGGTGACAGGGAGCCCCCCAAATTCTCTCAGCTCCCACGTGTTTCCACACTGCTTGTGGGCCTCCCCCTCATTGCCCCCTTTACTAAACCCCCCTCCCCCCCTGTGCTGGTCGCGGCGATGAAATAGACGAAACCCCTTCCCCCCCCCGCATTGTCCTGAGCCCCTGGGTTTATAGCGCAGGGGGATAGACACCCCCCCACAACCCCCCTTAAAATCCTTCAGTCCCTGGCCGCCTTGACGAGCTGAGTGGGGTTCACTTGACGACTTCCCCCCACCCCCTATCAAATTCTAGATGCAGTATTAACACCAATAGAAACAGGTTTGTTAAAAGTGGGGGTGGAGCTTCCTGGGGTGGGGGCGTAGCTTCCCCTGAGCTGGCCCAGACCCAACCGGCCCAGGGGCAGGGTGGGAGCAGACCCATGTTAGAAATTATGGGACTTGGCAACAGATTGTTCTAATCATGGGCATTTTGGGAGAGACTGGGGGTGGGAGGGACAGGACCTAGACCTGGCAGAAGTTTGCGGGTGATCTGCTGGGGGATAGACCCCATGACACCGTAGCAGCGCTCCTCAACTGCTGTGGAATGAAACTGATCAGCCCCCTGGTTTCTCCCCAACTCCGCCCCCCCCGACTCATAGCAGCTCTAGGGGTGCTCTGCTGTCCCCCAAATCTGCAGTCTCTGCTCTGTAGCACAGGGAGCGGTCATTTGTGTCTTTCTGCCTTACTGTTTTCCCCGCATAAAGGGATAATTTAAGACATAAACTAGTCTCATTTTTGGGCTCGTGGGTGGCGCAGGGGGACGATTTTAGCCGGTGCGGGGTCTGACAGACTGGAATCCTCGGTCCTGGGCTCCAAAGGATGTCGAAGAAGCTGAGAAAGTGGGGGAAAAGGCCATTTCTGGGGTGGGGGTGTGTGAGTTTTTTAATTGGTTTACTGAGCGAAGTGAAGGGGTGGAACCTGTGTGGGACTATTTTTTTTAAATCTGGCCCCAAACTCCCACTTGTTCCTGCCTTGTTATCCTGCTGCCCCTTGCAAATCCTGAGAGATTCTTCCATGCTATGAAAAAAAATATTTTTTTCCCCCCACACAACACACAGTCAACCTGTGGAACTCCTTGCCACAGGATGTTGTGAAGGCCAAGACTATAACAGGGTTCAAAACAGAAAGGTCCATCAATGGCTATTAGCCAGGCTGGACAGGGATGGTGTCCCTAGTCTCTGTTTGCCAGCCCATGCCAGGTGCCCCAGAGGGAATGAATAGAACAGAGAATCCTCAAGTGATCCATCCCCTATATCCCATTCCCTCTGGGGCACCTGGCATGGGCCACTACTGGCAGACAGGATATGGGGCTAGATGGACCTTTGGTCTGAGTGTTCTTATGTTATCAATGAATATATTATGTTTATAAATGGAATTTAGATGCAATTTTCCCCCCTAAAGGAATAAAACCAATCTTGCTTAAATCACCTCAGAAAATACTTTTGCTCCCTGTGATCAGACACTTCCCATCTCCTTCGCTTACATTTCAGCATGAAAAAGTTTGAAGGGGCTGGGTTTTTTGCCCCCCTTCTGTGGAGACGGAGGGTTCTGCTCCAGGGTTCTGAAAGGGGGCTTTACAACTGTTCTGGGGCCTGCAGGTCCAGGGGGAGGTGGGAGCTGAATTGGCCGCAAGGGCAATTTCAGTTGGAGTTCAGGGAAAAACTTTCTGGCTCTAAGGGGAGGTCAGCAGCAGACCTGAATTTCTGAGCAGGTGGGGAGGGAGCCTGGGAGGGGTTTAAGGCTTGTTTGGACAAACAGCTGGGCTGGATTTGGGCTCAACTCCCATCTAGGTGCTGGAGGAGGTTGGCCCCACTGATCCACGTGTCATCGGTGGGCAGGGAGCCACAGGCTCAGGCATGTGTAATAAGTGACTCAGGCTGACCTTGGGAAAAGCTTTAAACTCCTACCCCGTGCCCATGAGTCACCTGGGGCTGCAGCTGGTCTCTGTGCATCACGAGAATGCTAAACTCATCAACAGCCAGATCCTCCCCCTCGGTCAGGTCACAGAAATCCAGCACTGCTCCCCCACCCCACTAAGACAGTTGAGAGCAAGGGCCAGCTGCTGCTCCCCAGAGGGTCCAGTCTTCACAGCAGGAAGGAGCCTTCTGTCCTTGTACAAATGGGGAAACTGAGGCAGGGTCTAGGACCCTCTGAGGGAGGTGGTCAGGGATAGAACCCAGGAGTCCTGACACCCCTCTGCTCTAGGCAGTAGACCCCCCCCCCCCACTCCTCCTGGCAGCTGGGGAAGAGAACCCAGGAGCCCCAGCCCCAGCTCTGACCCCCACACCAAGGGAAGGGATCAAGGCATCCTGGTTTCTAGAACCTAATTTAAGTTTAAGAGGCTGATCAAATGAGGCCTTGGACTAATTATAAAATATCTCCCCCGCTCTGAAGGGGGGAGCTGGAAGGTTTATTAACCCTTTGTGCTTATTCCAATGTTTATCTGCACCACACAAGACTGCGTTCCAGAGAACAGCCTGGATCAAATGGCTCATTCTGGCCTGAGATGTCCAGGAAATTCTCCCCGGTCAGACGCCAGGGGGTTGGTTTGAACACCACCACACAGAGCAACTGGCCGTGTGTTAAACCTTTATTAACAGACTTGGAGCAGTTAAAAAGCAGCCCAGAGTCAGGGTGGCAGGTGAATACAATACCAAGGAGATTCATAAATGCAAGGAAGAGGCCACGGCTTCTTGAGAAATCCGTCCCCCCCATCCTGCTATAAAAATAAATATTTAGTCCCCTCTGAGGCAGGATGGCCAGCCGGAAAATAATTTAACATGGTAATAAACAAACAACAGATCTGAGCAGACGCAGGTCAGAGATTGAGGTAGGTAAACAGGTGTCATCCCCAAAGAAACCCAGGAGGCCTGGCTACCACTCCCCCCTGCTCTAGCCACTAGTCCTCACTCCCCTCCCAGAGCCAGGGAGAACACCCAGGAGTCCTGGCTCCCAGCCACTAGACCTGCTCCCAGAGCAGCAGATGGGAGCCTGGCTCAAGAGCCAGAAGGGTTAATCCAATCACCACTGAGGGGAGGGGGGCACCAGGGCAGCCATCCCAGTGGAGACAGAGTCTGTGGCCTAGCCGAGTCTTCCATCCCGGATGCCTGGGTCCTCCACTCCCCTATAATCGGAGGGGAGGGGTGTGTGCTTCCCAGCATGACTCTCCCGGATGCCTGGGTCCTCCGTCCTTTCAGAGCAGAGCTGGAGAGACATGTCCCACAACTCCTGCCCTGGGTTCTCCTTTCCCTCATGGAGGGGGATGGCCATCTCCTGTCCTGCCCCGTGCATCTTCCTCCAGGCTCGGGCCCGGTGTCCCGGGTCCAGGCAGGGCTCCAGGATGGCCCCCAGCTGCTCGATGCGCCTGCGAAAACGGCTCCGATCCCGGGCCAGCTCCTCCCAGGGCCCCTGGCGGGCAGCCCGGCTGGCAAAGGGCCAGACCAGCAGGGGGTGTACAGTGACAACGGGGGAGAATTGAACCTGGGGGTGGGGGGGGAGAGAGAGAGAGGGTGAGAGGAGAACCCAGACACTAAGGATGTGGGGGAATGGCCCCCCAAGAGGGGAAAGGCCCATAACCACTAGACACCTCCCCAAGCTGGGGAGAGAACCCAGGAGTCCTGGCTCCCAGCCCCCACCCTGCTCTAACCACTAGCCCCCACCCCCTCCCTTCTGCACCAACCTCCCTAGAAGCAGCCGGTCTCTGGCTGCCTTTCCGCCCTCCCCCCACAATGACTCACCCACTGACGTCACCCCCTTCCAGGAGAACCCAGGGTTACATGGAAATTACGAGATGTTTTCAAGCAAGGGAGGGGAGCCCCCCTCACTGGCTGAGCTGGGGGGGGCCAGGGCTGGGCTACTGGGGGGCTGTGGGTCAAGAGTGAGGGGCACTGTGCGGCTCCTAGGGCAGATGGGAGGGACTGAGGTGGGGAAGCTCCCCCAGGACCCAGCAGGTCCCATTTCACTCCATTGCGTAAGATTTTCCCCCCTCATGGGAAGGCAGGTGAATCTGATGCCACCCCCTGAAATTACCCAGCAGGCCACTGGGCGGGTGCTTGGGGAAACTGGTCAGAGGAGAACCCAGGAGTCCTGGCTCCCAGCCCCCACACTAGCCACAAGACCCAACTCCCCTTCCAGAGCTGGGGAGAGAACCCAGGAGTCCTGGCTCCAACTCACCTTCTTAGCTGTCCGGTTGCCCTCCGAGTCAGAGGTCTCCGCCTTGACAGGGTCCCTGGCTCCCCGGGATCCCAGCTCACAACAGTGAGTCCTATTGGGGACCCCCCGTCTCATAGGCCAGGGCTTCTCTGGGGGTTTCCAGGGATCCCCCACTTTCTCAGCCTCCAAGGTCAGCCCGCAGAGGTAGAAGGAAACCCGGAATTTCTGGTCCTTGGGCCGTGGCGGGGTGGAGCCCAGGGGAGCCCCGGCCCAGCGGAGCGGGTTGAAGGGGTCCTGGCCACAGCACAGGGCCCCCCACAGCGCCTTGTTCTCCTCACGCCTGGTGTCCTCTTCTGAATCGGGCCAGTCTGCGCCGGAGCAGCCCCCTCCATCATCTCCCTCCTCCTCACTGGGCCAGTCCCCGGCCTCGTCGTCCTCCTCCGATGGGCAGTAGAACAAGGACCGGACATGGGGGTTCCTGGTGACGGCGTGCCCCAGGTCTGGGCCACTCTGCGGGCAGCTGGGGGTGTCTCCCCCGGGCAGCTTGAGGCCTCCTTCAGCTTCCCCACCGGCCCCGTGAAATTCCCTGTCCTGCGGGGACCGGGATGGACTATCCGAAGGTTGCTTCTGACCATCTCCAACCTCCTCCAGATGTTCCTCCGTCTCCAACCAGGCTGTGGCCCCTTCCCCACAGCGCCTGGGGCCTTCCCCACAGCGCCTGGGGCCTTCCTCCTGGTCATGGGACCCAGAAGGAGCTTGGGGGCACCCCCCCGAATTCTCCTCTTCTCCCAGACGGGGAGCTGGCCCCAGGGACGCAGTGGGACCAGCTGCAAAGTCCTCTTCTTTCTCCAGGGCTTCCTGATGTGCCAGGAGCGGGGTGGCCAAGCCACGGCGTGGGCGGGCCGGCCCACGGCTCTTCTTCCTCCTCCTCATGGCCGTGGGGAGGCGACGCCGGGAGCCCAGGAGTGATGGTGCAGCCCGGGCGAGCGGATTCAGGAAGCCGCCCGGCTGCGGGGACAAGACGCGGAGCATCTCGACCAGGGCTGGGAGTCGCGGTTCCCTCGGGGGCTGGAACGAGGAAGGGAGACACGTCAGTGCCGGAGAATCCAGCGGCCAGGTGTGTGTGTGGGGGGGGATGGGGCATCATCTGTGGGGCTCCCAGTTTGTCCCTTGGGAAATTTTCCAGCCACAGACACCCCCCAAGTGGGGAAAGAACCCAGGCGTCCCAGCTCCTACCAGCTATACATCATTAGATTCCCCCCTCCCCCAAGAGCTGGGGAAAGAACCCAGGAGTCCGAGCTCTCCCGGCCCTGGCAGATGGCACCCGAGTGCCAGCACCTGGTACTATCAGCCCTCAGTAACCTGCCTGGGGGGGAACCCCCCTTTCTCCACCCCCCCGCCCCAGCTCTGGAGTTTGTCAACTTCTCAGCAGTGACTCAGAACAAAAGATGGGGGGGGGCCACCGCGCTGGGATCCCGGACTCCTGGGTTCTCTCCCTAACTCAGAGAAGGGAGTGAATGTGAAGTGGTTAGAACAGGGGGGGATAAGAGCCAGGACTCCTGGGTTCTATCCCTGGCTCTCTGTGCCTCAGTTTCCCCAACCCCTTTTTCTTTTGGGTGGGGGCACCCAGCGGTTTCCAAGCCTCTGGAGTCTCCGGTGGGTGACTCGGAGGGAGACCTGGGCGTGCTTGGCTACGCCCCAACCCGGAAACCGGACACACACACACACACACACTCTGCTCCCAGCTAGGTCCCCAGAGCCGCGCGGGGGGGGGGAAGGCACGCATCAGATCGGCACCAGTTCAGTCTGGTGTTGGGGCTCGGTGCTAGATTTGGGGGGCTGCTGGTGGGACAGGGGGGTGATTGGTGGAAGGATTGGGGATCAGTGTCAGAGGAAGGAGAGACTGTGGGAGCACCCCTGGGGGGGCTGGTATGCAGCCTCCTGAAAGAGAGGGGTCCCCTGAACAGTGGGGAAACACCCCAAGTTTTGACCACCCCCACACACAGAGCATAGCACAGCTCACCCCATTGCAGGGCATAGATCCCAAGGGGGAGAAATGTACATTGGGGTGTTGAATAAATAGGGGAGAGGATCACCCCTAATGTGGGGCACCTGGGGGGGACTCAGAACAAGAGGGAGAAAAGACCCCACCCTAAAATGGGACACAACAGGGTGGGGGGGGGTGGACAGGGGAGGGAGAAATGAGATGATGGCTAAGGCAGAATAAGGGGTGCAGGGCCCTCAGTTTAGCAGGAGAAGCACAAGGGGTGCAGGTTGATTTGTGGGGTGCAGGGGAGAATAGAGGGGGTCAGTGGGAAGCTGAGCAGGCACACGGGACAATTGTGGGGTGCAGCAGAGAATTGTGGGGTGCAGGGAGCCAGATCAGGGGTTCCAGGAAGTTTCAGGGGGACACGGGGGCTCCGTGTTGCCGCCCCCCAGGACAGGGCATTGGGGTCCCCCCCTTACCTGCTCAGCCGGTGAGCAGGGCGCTCCAGCAGCGGGGGACGGGCGCGGCGCGGGCGGGGTCCGGGGGGCAGGCGGCGGCGGGCGGCTCCATCGGGTCTGGCTGGTTGCGGCTGGAGGCGGAGAAGTGCTGGGCCGAGCCGGGCGGGCCGGGCTATATGGGGCCCGGCGCTGACGTCAGCGAAACGTCACGGAGGGAGCCCAAGGGTGGGGGGAGGGCGACAGAGCGCAACGTAACCAGCATCACACACAACCTAGCACGCGCCCAGCAACACAACACAACACACACAGCCCAGCACGTGCCTAGCAACACAACACAACACACACAGCCCAGCACGCGCCCAGCAACACAACACAACACAACACACACAGCCCAGCACGTGCCTAGCAACACAACGCAACACACACAGCCCAGCACGCGCCCAGCAACACAACACAACACACACAGCCCAGCACGTGCCTAGCAACACAACACAACACACACAGCCCAGCACGCGCCCAGCAACACAACACAACACACACAGCCCAGCACGTGCCTAGCAACACAACGCAACACACACAGCCCAGCACGCGCCCAGCAACACAACACAACACAACACACACAGCCCAGCACGTGCCTAGCAACACAACGCAACACACAGAGGCCAGCACGTGCCTAGCGACGCAACACAACACACACAGCCCAGCACGTGTCCAGCAACACAACGCAACACACAGAGCCCAGCACGTGTCCAGCAACACAACACAACACACACAGCCCAGAAGGTCCCCAGCAGTGCAACGCAACCCAACACATACAAAACAGTGCAATTCGAGACAACCCAGCCCAACCCAGCACCGCACAACAACACAGCATGTCCCAGCAGTGCAAGGCAACACGTACACAACACAGCACAACAGATGACACACGGGTTCACAGCACTGCGCGTGAACAAGAGAGCGCCACACAACCCCGCTCCCCGACACACACACAGCAGACTACAATGCAGCACGGACAAACACAGCACACATAACCGTGCACAACGCGGTACCTGCATAACAGAGAGCAAGACAACAATTCCCGACACATCACAACTCGCACCACAACGTGACCCCTCGCAATGCCGCACCTGTCCTGCCCCGCCCAACACAGAGACCCACGCACCCAGCACAAGAGAGCACCCAGAGGCCGCACGCCGCATGCACAGCAGAGTGCAAACCACGCAGAACGAATGCCACACAACACAACACAGCAAATACACAACACAGTCCCAATCCCACACAACACAACAGAGCAAATACACAACACAGTCCCAATCCCACACAACACAACAGAGCAAATACACAACACAGTCCCAATCCCCCCACACACAACAGAGCAAATACACAACACAGTCCCAATCCCACACAACACAACAGAGCAAATACACAACACAGTCCCAATCCCCCCCACACACAACAGAGCAAATACACAACACAGTCCCAATCCCACACAACACAACAGAGCAAATACACAACACAGTCCCAATCCCCCCCACACACAACAGAGCAAATACACAACACAGTCCCAATCCCACACAACACAACAGAGCAAATACACAACACAGTCCCAATCCCACACAACACAACAGAGCAAATACACAACACAGTCCCAATCCCCCCCACACACAACAGAGCAAATACACAACACAGTCCCAATCCCACACACAGACAACGTGACAGAGGAAACTCACAACACAGTCGCAATTCAACACACACAACACAATGGTGCAAATACACAACACAGTCACAATACAATGCACGCACAACACATCAGTGCAAATGCACAACACAGTCACAGTCCAACACAGCATGCACACAACTGTGCCCAGTGCACACACAACAGTACCACAACACCACATACACAATAGAGCCTGCACACAACCATACACCCATTGCACATACAACCCAATCAAAGTAACACAATCCCGACCGATACACAACACAGGCAGCGCAACCACAACACGGCAACTCAGCACAATCACAACCCGCTCCAGGAGCCCGCCCAGCATACTGACTACGCCCCACTCAACAATACAACACAAAGCCAACACACACACACAGAACACCACAACCTAGCAAAACCCAACACAAAGCACCACCAGGTAATATAACACCATCACACAATACAACACAACCGCTGGGACAGCCCAGCGCTCCCGGGAGCACAGCACAACCTGGGGGTGTTCAACACGCCACGCAGACACACAAACACACAGTGCAACACAACACCCTTTGGTGGAGCTGCACAAAAGGTGACAGCGCGAGTGGCACACAACACAACGGGCACAATCCTGCGCTCCAGGATACACCACAACACAACCACCGCGAAACGCAACACAGGACTAAACACTGTATGTGTGAGCCGGGGCGCCCGGGTTCTCTCCCTGGCTCTGGGAGGGGAGGGGGGTCTAGTGGTTAGAGTAGGGGGGCTGGGAGCCAGGACTCCTGGGTTCTCTCCCTGGCTCTGGGAGGGGAGGGGGGGTCTAATGGTTAGAGAGGGTGGGGGCTGGGAGCAGACTCCCGGGTTCTCTCCCTGGCTCTGGAGGAGGGGAGTGGGATCTAGTGGTTAGAGTAGGGGGGCTGGGAGCCAGGACTCCTGGGTTCTCTCCCTGGCTCTGGGAGGGGAATGGGGTCTAGTGGTTAGAGCGGGGGGGGGGGCTTGGCGCCAGGACTCCTGGGTTCTTTCTAGCTCTAGGTGACACAGGGGTCCCAATCCAGGCCTGGTGGGGGGTGGCTGGGAATCCCCGTGACACCCCTGCGCGATTGGGGTTTCCCTTGAAGTTCCAGGCCTCAGCGCACTTTCACTGTTAGATTTCACTTTCACTTTTCCGTCTTATTTTTCTTCCGTTTTAAAACCGGTGTGAATGTAGCTTTTCCTTTGTTTCCGGCTCAGGCAGAGGAAATGGTGGTGGGGTTTTTTTGGGGGGGGAGGAGGGGGGCTGGGAGCCAGGACTCCTGGGTTCTCTATGTGAGTCTTGTCACCGCCCTGTGCCTCAGTTTCCCTGTTTGTGAAATGGGATAAAGACCCCCCTAAGGACCCACCAGGGACATTAACAGCGTCCCCTTTATGGATCCCCACTACTCAGGACGGACTTCTCCTGGCAAGCCCCTCCCCCCAGCTGCAGCGTGCGGCGGGGGGTGCGGGGGGGGGTTAGCATGGCCAGACATGCAGCGCCCCCGGGAGCCACGGGCAGGTGCAGGGGCAGGGACACCGCCCCGTTCTGAAGGCGTCCGGCCACATGGGGGCGCCAGATGCTCAGGCCAAGTGTGGGCGGGAGGGGGGGCGGAAATGTCCCTGTGTCTTTGGGGCGCATGGGTCAGCCCCCCAACACACACCGCTCCATCTCCAGGCACCTCTCTGGGTTCCCAACCCCCGACTCTGACCCACCCCCTCCCAGAGCCAGAGAGAGAACCCAGGAGTCCTGGCCCCCAGCCCGCCCTGCTCTAACCACCAGACCCCACTCCCCTCCCAGAGCCAGGGAGAGAACCCAGGAGTCCTGGCCCCCAGCCCGCCCTGCTCTATGTCCCCGCCCGGCCCTGGCGAGGCTGTGGTGGGAGGGGAGGGGACGGAGGAGAAATTCTCTTTGTCCAGTTTCCTCCGGGGAGCCGGGCAGTTACTGCGGGCTGGGGGGCGAGAAACAGCTGAGAGCGGGAGGGGGTGTCTGGGGAGAGGTAGATAGAGGAGGTGTACGGGGATAGGAAGAGGAGTGTGGGGGGACGGAAGGCTAGAGGGGTGTAGGGTGACAGGAAGAGGGGTGTAGGGGGGCGGATGGCTAGGGGGGTGTAGGTGGACAGGAAGGCTAGGGGGTGTAGGGGGACAGGAAGGCTAGGGGGTGTAGGGAGATAGGAAGAGGGGTCTAGGGGGACAGGAAGGCTAGAGAGGTGTAGGGGGACAGGAAGGCTACGGGGTGTAGGGAGATAGGAAGAGGGGTGTAGGGGGACAGGAAGAGAGGTATAGGGGGACAGGAAGGCTAGAGAGGTGTAGGTGGACAGGAAGGCTAGGGGGTGTAGGAAGATAGGAAGAGGGGTGCAGGGAGACGGAAGGCTAGAGGGGTATAGGGGAACAGGAAGAGGGATGTAGGGGGACAGGAAGAGGGGTTTAGGGGGACGGATGGCTGGGGGGTGTAGGTGGACAGGAAGGCTAGGGGGTGTACGGGGATAGGAAGAGGGGTGCAGGGAGACGGAAGGCTAGAGGGGTATAGGGGGACAGGAAGAGGGGTGTAGGGGGACAGGAAGGCTAGAGGGGTGTAGGGTGACAGGAAGAGGGGTGTAGGGGGACGGATGGCTAGGGGGGTGTAGGTGGACAGGAAGGCTAGGAGGTGTAGGGAGATAGGAAGAGGGGTGTACGGGGATAGGAAGAGGGGTGCAGGGAGACGGAAGGCTAGAGAGGTATAGGGGGACAGGAAGAGGGGTGAGGATAGGGATGGACGGAAGGAAATAAGGAGAAAGGAAGGTGAAGTGAGGGGGAGGAGGGTGAACAAGAAGTGGGGAGGGGGCAGCCAGCCAGACGGGGGAAGGGCTCAGGGGGGCTGGGCTGGGGGGCCGAGCAAAGAAAGGGGCCGGGGGGGGAGTGAGGGAAGGAGACAGGCACAGAGGAAGTGAGCGATTGGGGCGGCGGGCGAGATTCCCCTGGCCCAGTGGGGTGTCGCTAAGAACCCCCCCGACACCACCCTGAGCAGCCCGGACCCCTGTGTGCCCCACTGGGAGCCAGGTAAGAACTGCCCCCCCAACCAGCCCCCCCCAGCCCTGCCCTGTCCCTCCACAGCGCCCCTCCCCATCTGTCTGTCTGTCGATCCCTCCTGGTGTCTCAGGGTGGGGGGGCACAGAGAAGCTGGAATCAATGGGCAGGAGGGGGTTGTGTGTCTGCCCCCCACCCAGGCCCGTGGGCGCAGATTCCTTAGGGGGTGAGCATACCGCACTCCACCCCGGGCACCAGCTGGCATGGGGCAGACAAGGGGGGGGAGCTCAGGCTGGGGGGGTCAGAGGGCAAAGGGAGGAGTGGGGGAATTTGAGGGGGGTGATTTTCCCCCCTTGGGGGGAGCCCCACAGCTGTGGGAGGGATGGGGGGCAGGGCGGCTGGGGGTCACAGGGGCTCCAAGGTGGGGGGGGCCCTCTGGGATGTGGGGGGAGGGGCGGGGTGGGGACGCAGCTGCCGTGGGGGGAGACCAGGGAGTTTTGTCCTGCTCTGAATTCCAGCTAAATACCTCGGGCCTGCTGGAGCCTGGCGCTGTGAGCTTCCCTGCAGCAGTGCCCACAGCCAGAGACCCTGGTGCCGTGAGCTTCCCTGCAGCAGTGCCCCAGCCAGGGACTCTGGCGCTGCAAGCATCCCCACAGCAGTGCCTGCAGCCACAGACATTGGTGCTGTGAGCTTCCCCACAGCAGTGTCCCAGCCAGAGACCCTGGCGCTGTGAGCCTCCCCACAGCAGTGCCGCCAGCCAGGGACCCTGGCGCTGCGAGCTTCCCCGCATCAGTGCCCCAGCCAGGGACCCTGGCTCTGCGAGCTTCCCCACATCAGTGCTCCAGCCAGGGACCCTGGCGCTGTGAGCGTCTCCCCAGCCAGGGACCCCAGTGCTGCGAGCTTCCCTGCAGCAGTGCCCCAGGTGGGGACCCCCATGCTGTGAGCTTCTCCTCAGCCAGGGCCCCCAAAGTGCTGCGAGTTTCCTCACAGCAGCGCCCCACCTGTGGACCTCGGCGCTGCGAGCTCCCCCCCAGCAGTGCCCCAGCCGGGGACCCCGGCGCTGCGAGGTGTCCCAAGTCGGGGAATGGGTTAAATCCAGGCCCGCCGGGTCCGTGACCCCGGGGTGGGGCCGAGCCGTGTCGGATCAGGAATTCCTGGCTCCCTGCGCCCCCGCAGGCAGCTGGTCCCTGTGTCCCAGCCGGCGCCGCGGCCGGGGAGCCGGGAACAGAACAAGCGGCTGTGTTGGCCGGGTCCCCCCGCCCCCGGCTGAGACCCCCGCCCCGGGGCCCGCCCGGGGGTGCGCTGGCCTCCGGCGCCTCAGCTCCCCACTTGATTGATCTGCAGTAAGGGGGAGCAGCAGGGCGTGTTTTGGAGGCGGGGGGGAGCCGTGTGTGGGGGCCGGGGGTCCTCGAGGGTTGGGTTACAGTGTGTGTGTGGGGGGGTTCTGGGTGCCGGGGGTCCTGGGGGCTGGTGTACAGTGGGTGCGGGGGACAGGACCGTGTCTGGGTATCGGGGGTCCCAGGGGCTGGGGTGTAGCGAGGGGGGCGTGTCTTGGTTCTGTGGGTCCTGGGGGGCTGGGGTATATGGGGGGGACAGGGGCTGGGGTATAGCGGGGTGGGGGGAGGGACAGGACCCTGTCTGACTATCGGGGGTCCTACGGGCTGGGGTGTAGCGGGGGGGGAATGTCTCGGTTCTGAGGGTCCTGAGGTGCTGGGTACAGGGGAGGGGACGAGGCCATGTCTGGGTACCAGGGGTCCCCAGGAGATGGGGTGTCGTGGGGGGATGGGGCCATGTCTCCATGACGGTGGGTCCCCGGCTGGGGGCACTGCTGTGGGGAAGCTCGCCGCTTTGCACTGGCATTGCCATGGGGCCTTGCTAGCCCTCGCTCTCACCCCCTAGCACAGCCCCCCCCCATCCCAGTGCCCAGGCCAGGGGCATGAATGGCTCCATTCATCCTCCAGCCCCCCCACCCCACCCCCGGGAATCTGGGGCCACTAGCTCAGGTCCTGCTTTGTTCTCCCACCCACGCGCCACCCTGGACCCTGGGCGCCGGGTCAGGGGAGATGCCAGTCTGTCTCCCTGCGCTGCGAGCTTCCCCGGAGCAGTGCCCCAGCCAGGGACCCTGGTGCTGTGAGCTTCCCCGCAGCGGTGCCCCAGCTGGAGATCCCGGTGCTGGGAGCTTCCCCACAGCAGTGCCCCAGATGGAGACCCCGGTGCTGTGAGCTTCCCCACAGCAGAGCTCCAGCTGGAGACCCAAGTGTTGCAAACTTCCCCATAGCAGTGCCCCAGCTGGAGACCCCAGTGCTGTGAACTTCCTGCAGCAGTACCTCCAGCTGGGGACTCCGGTGCTGTTAGCTTCCCTGCAGCAGTGCCCCAGCTGGAGACCCCAGTGCTGCAAACTACCCCACAGTAGTGCCCTGATGCCCCAGGCCCATGTTCTGTTCCAGGCGAAGGTTGGGCCGGCCGGGAGCCATGGCCGACGGGGAACGTCCCAGGAGCAGCCTGAGCCAGGCCAGCAGCGTCCTCACCATCTCCTCTGTCAGCCTGGGGGCCGCCAAGGTGTGTGGGGCGGGGCTGGGGCTCTGCCATTGGGGAGGGGCCTGTGGGCCAGGGGCTCTGACCCACCACCCCTTGCCCCCCACATCCACCCCCTCCTCTTCTCCTGCCCACAGCTCCCACCTTAACTCCCACTAACACCTACCCCCAGACCTGTGCCCCCTAGAGGGGAAAGGCCTCATGCCCCATTCCCTGCCCCCCGAGCCAGCCAGTCCCTGCCCTGGGGCTGGATGGGAGCTGGCGCCCCCTAGCGGCTGGTGTGTTTGTGGGGTATTAAGCCTTTCTTGTCTGTCCCCGCAGCCGTCACGCTCCCTGCGGAGGGTTCACACCTTCGGGAAGAGGGAAAATTCGATCAAGCGGGACCCCAATGCCCCCGTCGTCATTCGGGGCTGGCTGTGCAAACAGGTATGGGATGGGCGAGCTGGGGGGCTGCCTTTGAGGTGGGGACAGAGGCTGGTAGATTGGGGCAGGGGGTGTTAGGCTGGGGAGGCAACAGGGCAGGGAGGTGATCGCTTTGGGGCGGTGATGGGGCAGAGGGGTCTGGGAATTTGGGGGGGAAGATAATTGAGGTGGGCATAGGGCAGGGACACTCAGTGGGGTGGGGGGATGGTGAGGTGGGGTGCTGGAGGGAGGGGCTGTTAGTGTGGGTGAGCTGTTGGGGGCATGGGGGAGGGGCTGTTAATGTGGGGGAATGGGGTCATGGGGGAGGGGCTGTTGGTTTTGGGGGGCTGTTGGGGGCAATTGGGGGCTGTTAGTGGGGGGGCTGTTGGGGGTCATGGGGGAGGGGCTGTTAATGTAGGGGATTGTTGGGGGCATGGGGGAGGGGCCGTTGGTTTTGGGGGGCTGTTGGGGGGCAAATGGGGGCTGTTAGTGGGGGGGCTGTTGGGGGTCATACGGGAGGGGCTGGTTTTGGGGGACGATGTAGGGGGCTGGCTCTCTATGGGGTGAGCGGGCTGGAAACAGAGCCTGGGGGTTGGATGGGGTGTGGGGTAGGTTTGGGGGCAATGGGGTAGGGGCTGTTATTTGGGGGGTGGAATGCCATGGGGCTGGTGCTCTGGGGGGGGGCAGGCCCTGGAGAGGCAAGGGGAAAGGATGGGCCCACTGGGGTCCCCCCAACCCCCGCCCCCGTTCGCTGGCTGGGCCCCTCACCAGGCTGTCGGGGTGGCTCTCGTTCCAGGACAGCTCCGGCCTGAAGCTCTGGAAGCGACGCTGGTTTGTGCTGGCCGATTTCTGCCTCTTCTACTATCGAGGTACCGGCCCCCCAGCCCACCCAGCAGGGGGTGCCGTGGGGAGCGGGGTGTGTGGGGGGGACAATGTCCTGGCTGCCCCAGCCCTGCCCTGCCCCAGCAGGGGGCACCGGGGGGAGCGGGGCAGGGAGTGGCTGCCCATTAATCACCCCTCCTTTTGGGGTCCCCGCAGACAGCAGGGAGGAGGCGGTTTTGGGGAGCATCCCGCTCCCCAGCTACGAGATCCGGCCGCTGCCAGGGGAGGGGAAGAACCGGAGATTCACATTCAAGGTCAGTCCAGGGGGAATCGATCTGGTCGGAGCCCCCGCCCTTCCCCAGCTACCCCATTTGGGGTCCCCCACTTGGAGACATCTGGACGCCTGGGTTCTATTCCGCAGCTCTGGGAGGGGAGTGGAGGCTAGTGGTTAGAGCTGGGGGTGGGCTGGGAGCCAGGGAGTCCTGGGTTCTCTCCCTGGCTGTGGGAGGGGAGTGGGGGCTAGGGGGTTAGAGTGGGGGGTGGGGATGGGCTAGGAGCCAGGACTCCTGGGTTCTCTTCCTGGCTCTGGGAAGGGAGTGGGGGCGAGTGGTTAGAGCGGGAGGGGGCTGTGAGCCAGGACTCCTGGGGTCTCTCCTTGGCTCTGGGAGGGGAGTGGGAGTTGGGGGGTGGGGCAGGCTGGGAACCAGGACTCCTGGGTTCTCTTCCTGGCTCTGGGAAGGGAGTGGGGGCTAATGGTTAGAGCGGGAGGGGCTGGGAGCCAGGACTCCTGGGTTCTCTTCCTGGCTCTGGGAAGGGAGTGGGGGCTAATGGTTAGAGTGGGAGGGGCTGGGAGCCAGGACTCCTGGGTTCTCTCCTTGGCTCAGGGAGGCAAGTGGTGGTGGTTGGGGGGGGGCAGGCTGGGAGCCCGGACTCCTGGGTTCTCTCCCTGGCTCTGGGAGGGGAGTGGGGGCTAATGGTTAGAGCGGGAGGGGCTGGGAGCCAGGACTCCTGGGGTCTCTCCTTGGCTCTGGGAGGCGAGTGGTGGTGGTTGGGGGCGGGGCAGGCTGGGAGCCCGGACTCCTGGGTTCTCTCCCTGGCTCTGGGAGGGGAGTGGTGGTGGTTGGTGGGGGGGGGGGCGGACTCCTGGGTTCTCTCCCTGGCTCTGGGAGGGGAATGGTGGCTAGGGGGTTAGAGCCGGGGGGGGTGTCTCTCTGGAGCCTACGGTCAGGGCCCCTCCCAGCTTACCGGCGCCCCCCATCTGTGCCCCAGGCCGAGCACCGGGGGATGCGGACGTACCTCTTCAGTGCTGACACCCAGGAGGACATGAACGGCTGGATCCGAGCCATGAGCCAGTCCGCTGCGGCCGAGAGTGACCCCAGCACCACGTAGGGGTGGGGGGGTCTCGTGGTTAGAGCTGGGGGGGGCTGGGAGCCAGGACTCCCGGGTTCTCTCCCAGCTCTGGGGAGGGGAGTGGGGTCTCGTGGTTAGGGCTGAGGGGGGCTGGGAGCCAGGACTCCCGGGTTCTCTCCCAGCTCTGGGGAGGGGAGTGGGGTGTAGTGGTTAGGGCTGAGGGGGGCTGGGAGCCAGGACTCCTGGGTTCTGGAGTAAATATTCTCTGTCTCTCCCCCCATGGCAGCAGCCGCCCCCCGCAGCTGCTCAACCGGCCGGCGCCCCCCCAGGCCCGTCTCTTCGAGGACGTCCGGCCGCTCACGCCCGACCTGGGTCCCGCCAAGAGCGTCGAGTCCCTGGAAATCGCCGGCTCTCCGCGCCCCACTCATCTACGGAAAGCCTGGCGGCGACAGGCCAGGGGGTGCAGGGCGAGGGGGGGCCCCTGCCCAGCGGCCCCGCCCCACCCCCCAGCCCAGTCAACGGGGAAGGGCTCGGGGGGGAGCCGTGGGGCCTAAGGTAAGAGGCTTGAGCCCTGGTCTCATCCAGAAGGGGGCGCTGTGGGGTTGGGGGGGGCAGGGGTACCTCACCACCCGATTTAACCCTTTAATCTCTGCTCCTCTTCCCCCAGCTCTCTCTCGACCCGCATTCTGCGGGGCCAGGAGCCTTCGGCAGCCAAACGCCCCCATCCCAGCCCCCCCAGACCCTCCCCACCCCCCTGCCCCCCTGAGTCCGAACAGCCCCCCCTGGAGCCCCCCTCCCCCTGGGAGCCCTCCCCAGATGCCCAAAGCCACGTCCGCTCCTCCCGTTCCTACTCCCTTCCCCCCACCCCTGGCGAGCTCAGGGAGGTGCGGGGGGCTCAGGGGAGGGCATGGGCGTCCACCGGGGGGGTCCGAGCCCCTGAGCTGGCTGCGTCCTGTGAAGAGCTCCCCCTGCTGGTCCAGGCAGGGTCCAGCCTGTCCCGGCCCCACACCCCCGTGGGGAGGGTGGATATTGCCCCCGGGGGGGCCACGTGGGGCAGCAGAGCCATCCCTGGGCACCCCCAGACCCCCTGCGACCGCTACGACGTGCGGCCCTCCGAGGAGTCTTGTGCCCGGCCCCCCCGGGCGCTACCCCCGCAGCCCCCACCCCAGCCACTGCCTGGCACGGCCCGGGACCCCGGCGGAGGAGAGCCCCCCGCAGACGGCCACGCTGGGACCTGCCCTGGGGAGACAGCCCCGGAGCCGGGTATGCTGGGGAGGTGGGGCTGGGCTGTGGGGAGCGGGGCAGGGGCTCAGCAGGGGGCGCTGGGCTCAGCAGGGGGCGGGGGCTCAGCAGGGGGCGCTGGGATGCAGGGGGCGGGTTGGGGGGGTTAGTAGGGGGCGCTCTCCCCCTAGCAGTCGGCACTGACCCCCTGCCTTCTCTCCCCCCTGCAGTTCACAGACTGGGTTTACCCCTCCCTGGGGGCCGCCCCGCCCCGTGCCCGTCTCCACGGCCGACTGGTGAGTGACCCCCCCTTCCCCTGCCCCCCCTGTCCTCCCACCGCTGACCCTGTCCTCGCCCCTTTCTCCCTAGATCTCCCCACATTCAGCCTCCTCCGGCTACCTCCACCTGCCCCCGCTGCCCCCACTTGCCAGCCGCCCCCCAGGGAAGAGGACCTCACTGGGAGCTCCGGTACGTACCTCCCCGCCAAGTCTGTGCCTCAGTTTCCCCTTCCATCCCCTGATCAGCCGCCCTGTGGCTAGGCCGGCAGGATTCTGGCATGGGAGTGGGGAGGGAAACATGGGGGAGGGCCGGACGCCTGGGTTCTCTGCTTCTCACCCTCTCTTTCCTTTTTCTTCCCCAGCCCCGGACCGTGGCCCCTCTATCCCGGGACAGGACCCTGCTGGCACTGCCCAGAGCTGAAAGTGACACTGATGTGAGCGTGTGCGTCTGTGTCCTCTGCCCTCAAAGCACAGCATCACCCACACGCCCCGGACACCCCCAAATCCCCCCCAGCTCAGACCCGCAGGCCCATCTGCCCCGGTATCCTGCCCCCCAGATCAGACCCACGGGCCCATTTACCCTGGTATCCTGCCTCCTCCCCGGTTTTTACAGCTGAGCATTTTGGGGTATTTGGCCACAGCTTTGGGACACAAGATGCTCCCCGGGGTCCCTTCCGGCCCGAGAAGCCCCAAACCCAAACCCCCCCGTCTGCCCCACGCCGGTAAAATCCCCCCCCCGCCCCGCTAGCAAGGGCACCGTGCTCTGGTTTGGCGCCACCAGGAGGCCACAGCTGAAACAACCCGGTTTTCTCCCCCCCCCCAGTGTCTTTTTTCTTTTTCCTCCCACCCTAGATTCTCCTGACTAAACTCTGCGGCCAGGACAAGCTGCTTCGGGGACTGGATGAAGAGATGGGGCAGCTGCGGGCAGAGAAGGTAATTTCGCGTCCCCCCGCCCCGGCCTGGGCAAGGAGGCCCCGGATACCCAGCCCCCCAAAACCCCACCCCAGAGTAAGCCACATCCCAGCGCCAGGTGAGGGGTCTCCAGGTACCCAGCCCCCGTGGCCCACCCCAGAGTCAGCCGCATCCCAGCGCAGGGCGAGGGGTCCCTATATACCCAGCCCCCGCGGCCCACCCCAGAGTCAGCCGCATCCCAGCGCAGGGCGAGGGGTCCCTATATACCCAGCCCCCAAGCCCCACCGGTCAGGCTTGGCAATTGCTTCCACTGGGTGGTGCTGGGTGAAAACAGGGGCTGCCCCAGAGCGGTTGGGGGGGGGGGGAAATGGTGCATTAACCCCTTGATTGCTGGGCTGTTCTTAAGGAGGTGACCCAGCAGAGGAAGGGGGCCCCAGGGGATTCACCCCATGTAGAAGACGGGGGGGGGAGGAACTTCCCCCCACTGGCCCCGCCTCGTGCCATCCAAGGGGTAACTGGTTGGACCCCCCAGGAGAGGCTGGAGAAGGCCCTGGAGCTGGCCCGGCACCAGCTGGATGAATGCCAAGGCCAGGAGCTGGCGGAGGAGAAAATCCGGTACCAGCAAAGGCGGCTGCAGGACGAGCTGGTGCAAGTGAGAGCCCGGCTCTGCGACCTGGCTCTGGTGAGTGCGCGGCCCCCGCGCCCCACCCCAGAGGGGCCGCACCTCGGCGCCGGGTCCCCCTGTAACCAGCCCCCGGCCCCACCCCAGAGGGGCCGCACCTCGGCGCCGGGTCCCCCTGTAACCAGCCCCCGGCCCCACCCCAGAGGGGCCGCACCTCGGCGCCGGGTCCCCCTGTAACCAGCCCCCGGCCCCACCCCAGAGGGGCCGCACCTCGGCGCCGGGTCCCCCTGTAACCAGCCCCCGGCCCCACCCCAGAGGGGCCGCACCTCGGCGCTGGGTCCCCCTGTAACCAGCCCCCGGCCCCACCCCAGAGGGGCCGCACCTCGGCGCTGGGTCCCCCTGTAACCAGCCCCCGGCCCCACCCCAGAGGGGCCATGTCCCAGCCCTGTGTCCTCTATAACCAGCCTCCGGCCCCACCCCAGAGGGGCCATGTCCCAGCCCTGTGTCCTCTGTAACCAGCCCCCGGCCCCACCCCAGAGGGGCCGCACCTCGGCGCCGGGCCCCCCTGTAACCAGCCCCCGGCCCCACCCCAGAGGGGCCGCACCTCGGCGCCGGGCCCCCTTGTAACCAGCCCCCGGCCCCACCCCAGAGGGGCCGCACCTCGGCGCCGGGTCCCCCTGTAACCAGCCCCCGGCCCCACCCCAGAGGGGCCACACCTCAGCGCCGGGTCCCCCTGTACCCCCAGCCTCCTCAACCAGCCCCCGGCCCCACCCCAGAGGGGCCACACCTCAGCGCCGGGTCCCCCTGTAACCAGCCCCCGGCCCCACCCCAGAGGGGCCATGTCCCAGCCCTGTGTCCTCTATAACCAGCCTCCGGCCCCACCCCAGAGGGGCCATGTCCCAGCCCTGTGTCCTCTGTAACCAGCCCCCGGCCCCACCCCAGAGGGGCCGCACCTCGGCGCCGGGCCCCCCCTGTAACCAGCCCCCGGCCCCACCCCAGAGGGGCCATGTCCCAGCCCTGTGTCCTCTATAACCAGCCCCCGGCCCCACCCCAGAGGGGCCATGTCCCAGCCCTGTGTCCTCTATAACCAGCCTCCGGCCCCACCCCAGAGGGGCCATGTCCCAGCCCTGTGTCCTCTATAACCAGCCCCCGGCCCCACCCCAGAGGGGCCGCACCTCGGCGCCGGGCCCCCCTGTAACCAGCCCCCGGCCCCACCCCAGAGGGGCCATGTCCCAGCCCTGTGTCCTCTATAACCAGCCCCCGGCCCCACCCCAGAGGGGCCGCACCTCGGCGCCGGGCCCCCCTATAACCAGCCCCCGGCCCCACCCCAGAGGGGCCGCACCTCGGCGCCGGGTCCCCCTGTAACCAGCCCCCGGCCCCACCCCAGAGGGGCCATGTCCCAGCCCTGTGTCCTCTATAACCAGCCCCCGGCCCCACCCCAGAGGGGCCGCACCTCGGCGCCGGGCCCCCCTGTAACCAGCCCCCGGCCCCACCCCAGAGGGGCCATGTCCCAGCCCTGTGTCCTCTATAACCAGCCTCCGGCCCCAACCCAGAGGGGCCATGTCCCAGCCCTGTGTCCTCTATAACCAGCCCCCAGCCCCACCCCAGGGTGGCCACTTCCCAGCCCTGTGTCCTGTGTAACCAGCTGTCAGTTTCCCGTTCAGGACAGCGAGAGGGCTTGGGGAGATTTCGCTGCCCTAGAGAACGAGCTGCACAGGCTGCGGGAAACGCTGGCTCGGATCCGACAGCTCGGGCACCCCCAGGTACGTCACCCCACTAGGGTGCCTCCGTCTTGCTGCTGAGCTGAAGGGTTTGGCCTGTGGGACTCCCTGCCGCATGATCCTCCCGGGATGAATCGCTCAGCAAGCTCCGAAAGGAAACTGGGATTGTACAGGGGGCGCTGGGCTGCGGGGAGCAGGGCAGGGGGCTCAGCAGGGGGCACTGGGCTGCGGGGAGCGGGGCGAGGAGGCTCAGCGGGGGGGCTGGGCTGCAGGGAGCAGGGCAGGGGGCTCAGCAGGGGCACTGGGCTGTGGGGAGCGGGGGCGGGGGGGCTCAGCAAGGGGGCCTGGGCTGCAGGGAGCAGGGCGGCTCAGTGGGGGGCGCTCGCCCCTCCCAGCTATAGGGAAGTCAGAGCGTGGGCTAGGAAACGGAGAGCCTGGGAGAACCGCCTCATCTGTCTGGATCCAATGGACGTAGATGATATTCTGGGAGCAGGCGGGAGGCCGGGGTAGAGGGGCCCATAGGTGGAGCTGGGGTCCAATGCTAATTATTGTGCCGTGACCTTTCCCCTCTGCCCTTTGCCCTCAGGAACAGGGGGCCGCCCAGCAGGAGCTGTGGATGATCGATGACATCATTGCGGGGTTGGGAGCCAGCCCTGCCCCCTACCCCGCCCTGGACCCCAGGACGAGCCCAGGTGCTGGCCCCAATGTCCCAGGGTGGTGCTAGGGGGCGCTGTGCTGTGGGGGGGCAGGGTGGGGGGCCATCAGGGGGCACTCTGCTGTGGGGGGTGGGGGCTCAGCAGGAGGAGCCGGGCTGTGGGTCGCTGACGCTGTCTCGTCTCCTTTGCAGGCTTCTCTCTGGCTGCCTCCCCCATTCTGGAACATGGCGGGGGCTCAGCCCGGAGCCACGTGCCCTTCCCGGGGCCGGATGCGGGAGGCCAGCACCACGAGCCGCCACTCAGGGTGAGGGGCCTGTTTTCTGGGGGTGGGCATCCAGTCCCTCACTCCCATCCCACAGCCCACCCGCTAGCCCAGCCCTGCCCCCTACTCAGCTCTGCCAGTGCCCCTCACTCCCGACCTGCAGCCCCCCGCTAGCCCAGCCCTGGGTTTCTCTCTGTTCCCCCGCAGGGGGTGCCAGCTGGTGGCAGGGAAGAGGGCCCAGCAACGAGGGGAGACGCCTTGGGCTCCCGGCCCACCCAGAGTCCCTCTGGAAGAGGGGCCGGGTCCCCCGAGCTGGATGGAGGGAGCCCCCTGCAGGAGACAGATGTCGCGGCACCAGGTGCGGTTCCCCCCAGTGCCCAGCCCAGCTGGGGCAGCATTCACCCTTCGTCTCCCTTCCCAGCCCCTCGTTGACCCCTGCTCCCCTTCCCTCACAGGTCTCAGCTCGCCTCCGGCCACCCCCCACCTGCCCCGGAGCCCCAGCCCAGGCCCCCACGAGCCCCGACAGCAGAGAACCGAGGAGCTGCCAGCCAAGGTAGCTGGGCTCCCCCCTTCCCCTGGGGGTCAGTGCATGGGAGCCCGGACACCTGGATCCTATCCCCAGCTCTGGAGGGGAGTGGGGTCTAACTGGTCAGAGCAGGGAGGCTGAGAGCCAGGACTCCTGGTTTCTCTCCCTGGCTGTGGGAGGGGAGTGGGAGCGAGTGGTTAGAGCAGGGAGGGGCCAGGAGCCAGGACGCCTGTGTTCTCCCAAAACCTGGCTCTGGGAGGGGATTATGGGTGAGTGGTTAGAGCGGGGGAGGGGGGACACCTGGGAGCCAGGACGCCTGGGTTCTCTCCCTGCCATTTTCCCCCCCCCAGGCGATCACCATGGACCCCCCTGGTCCCCACCGGGCCCGCATGAGCGTCCAGGAGCAGCTGGAGCGGATGCGTCGGCACAAGGAAGGCCAGAGGCAGCTGGAGGGGGGCAGGCCGAACCCCTGGGGCTCCCGGCAGGGCTCTCTCCGGGCCAGGGCCAGCCGGGTGGGTACGCAGCCTGCGGGGGAGGGGCTGACCGGCTGCCAGGGGGTGGGGCAAGTCCTGAGGCCACACCCACTGTGTCCCCCAGTAAACCTGGCCCCTGTGTCCCCCAGTAAAGCCCATATCTCACCCAGCCTGGGCAAAGCAGGACTCCTGGGTTCTCTCCCTCTGCAAGGGGAGGGGTGTGTGTCTGGGTTAGGAGCGGGGGGGGAGGGGCTGGGAGCCAGGACTCCCGGGTTAAAAGGTGGGTTCTGTTGTGGGGGGCAGTGCTGCCTAGCGGGGTGGGGTGGGTCTCCCCACAGCTCAGATTCCTGGAGGGAGCTTCCCCCGCGTTCACTTCCCCCTCCTAAAATTCCTCCTCCAGCTCCCTCTTCCGACTCACCCCCCCGACCTCGGGCCAGAGCTGACCCAGACCCACACGGAGCCACCGCTCAGGGGGGGCCATACCGGGGGGCCCTGGGGCCAGTCTCCCCCACCCCTCAAGAGAGACCGCCACAGGGTCATCACCCTGGCGTACACGCTCGCCACCGAGGCCTCCGAGTGCAGCAAACTCATCACCGGTAATGGGGACTCCTAGGTTCTGTCCTGGCTCGGGGAGGGGACTGGGGTCTAGTGGTTAGAGCGGGGGGGGGCTGGACGCCAGGACTCCTGGGTTCTATCCCCCCCTAGGGACCTCTCTTTCCCATCCCCCCTTCCCTCCCCACCCCCCCACTGCCATCCCAGCTGGGAAAATAGCTAAACAAGTGAAGTGAAAAATGGCTGGAATCTGGTTCAGCTGTTGGAGAAATTTCTGACTCCTGCTGGCAGGTCCCAGGGGTGGGAACAGGTGGGTGTGGTGGTGGTGGGGGCCCCTGGGGCAGCCGGGGGCGGGCAGGATGGGATAGGCCATGTTTCTCTCTGTGTCTAATTCATTACAGCTCCCAGGAAACAGACAGAAACCTGAAGGGGTCCCCATGTATCCAGCCCCCGCTCCCCACCCCAGAGGTGGCCGCATCTCGGTGCTGGGCAAGGGGTCCCCGTATAACCAGCCCCCGCCCCCCACCCCAGTGGTGGCCTGTCATGGCGTCCCCAGGCGATGCTCTGGATCTGCTCCCCACGAAGCCAGGCAGGACCCTGGGGGAGTCTCCTCCCCTGGAGCAGCCTGTTTGCAGGACACACAGCTCCCCCGGCTCCACCTTCCTGGGGCTGACCCCGGAGCCTCCAGCCTCCCCTGCCCCTCCGGGTGCTTCCCCCAGCCAGTCCGCCCAGGCGGGGTCCTGGGGAAGCCAGAGGGTCCTGGCCCCCGACTCCGCAGTCAGACGGGACTCTCAGCCAGCCAGTAAAACAGAAGGTTTATTAGACGACAGGAACATGGTCTAACACAGAGCTTGTAGGTGCAGAGACCAGGACCCCTCAGCTGGGTCCATTTTGGGGGGCAGGGAGCCAGACAACCCCGTCTGCCCTTCACTCCATGTCCCAGCCAGCCCCAAACTGAAACTCTCTCCAGCCCCCCTCCTCTGGGCTTTGTCCCTTTCCCGGGCCAGGAGGGCACCTGATTCCTTTGTTCTCCAACCCTTCAGCTCTCACCTTGCAGGGGGGAAGGGCCCAGGCCATCAGGTGCCAGGAAACAGGGTGTCGGCCATTGTCTGTGTCCAGCCCCCTGCACACACCTGCCCTCTAAGGCTCTGCAAAGATCATACACCCTTATCCCACCCCCTAGAGACTTAAGAACTGCCTGGGGAAACTGAGGCACCCACACAGTATTCAGAGGAAACATTAAGAACAATCCCACTTCGTCACATGGCTGCATCTCAGTGCTGGGTGAGGGGGCCCCGGATAACCAGCCCCCATGCCCCACCCCAGAGGTGGCCGCATCTTGGTGCTGGGGGAGGGCGCTCGGTGACTCTGATCTCCTCTCTCTGTGCAGGGAAGACCCCGCCTGAACCCCACATGTCGGCCAATCCGGACCCCTCCCCAGAGCCGCTGGATGCAGTGACCAATCAGCACGTGCTGTGTACTCCCACGCTCCCCCTGGGGGACCCAGAGGCCAATCACGTCGAGGCGGAACCATGTGGCCCAGCCAATCGGAATGCAGCAGTTAGCGCCAATTCGGTGCAGCGGGTGGGAGTGGCCAATCAGGCATCGTCTCTATTTCAAGCGGCCAATTGGGCGTTGTCTATTCCTGAGCTTTCCAATTGGTTTTCACCCTCACCTGAAGCAGCCAATCAGGCAGCACACCTGTCAGAGGCAGCCAATCGAGCATCACCTCTGTCCGAGGTGCCTCATTGGCCAATTTGGGCAAAGGGGGTGCCCAATCAGACGTCAACCACACACAAGGCGTCCAATCGGGCGTCGCCTCCGTGCTGGGCCGCCCAAAAGGAATGTGGGGATTGGGCGCCGGAGCAAAGGATGGTGGGTAACAAGGACGTGGCCAATGGCGGGTGCCGGGGGCAGGGCGGGCGTGCCGCGCCCAGCCAGGTGGTGGCGTACCTGGGCGAGGGGAGCCAGCCAATCAGGATCACCCTGCTGCAGTCCAGCTTCTAACTCATTGGCTGAGAACCAGGGTCACGTCCCACCCCTCTTCCACGCCCCCGAGGGGTGGGCTCCAGGGCAGGTCGGGGGGTTGTATAGGGGGATGTGCCCAAAGATGGGGAGGGCTCAGAGGTTTGGGGTCCCAGTCCCCCAACACCAGGGTCAAAGGTCGGAGAGGGGACGCCTTAACCCCATGTAGTGTCCCATTGCCTTGCTGCCCCCTGGTGGGCAGAGTGGGAAGTGCAACCCCCTGGGACCTGGGGCCTCTGTGTGTCCCCCCAGCCCCAGCTCTGCCGGTGCCCCTCACTCCCGACCCGCAGCCCCCTGCTAGCCCAGCCCTGGGCTCCCCCCAGCCCTGCTGGTGCCCCTCACTCCCGACCCGCAGCCCCCTGCTAGCCCGGCCCTGCCGGTGCCCCTCACTCCCGACTCGCAGCCCCCTGCTAGCCCAGCCCTGGGCTCCCCCAAACTCCCACGCCGCTGACAGTCAGGGCATCTTGTGAGCATCCAGAGGGAAGGGGGATTTGTGGGGACACCTGATCCTCCCCCGCCCACAGATTTAACAAACTGTCCCAACACAGCAGAAGACAGAGACCAGGGGACATGATAAAACGCGGCAGCCCCCCCGCGCGCGCCCCCCGGAGGGGGGGTCCCAGCGCGGGGGCCCCGATACCAGCCCACCCCCCCCCCGAGGGGCCTTCCCAGGCCGGCAGGGGTCCCCATACCCACCCACCCGGCCCCCCCCGGAGGGGCTTCCCAGCGCGGGCGAGGGTCCCCGATACCCAGCCCCCGCGCCCCGCCCCGGAGGGCTCCAGGCGGGGAGGGTCCCCGATACCAGCCCCGCGCCCCGCCCCGGAGGGGCCGTGCCAGGGGGAGGGTCCCCATACCAGCCCCCCGCCCCGCCCCGGAGGGCTGCCCAGGGGGGAGGGCCCCGATACCAGCCCCCCGCGCCCCGCCCCGGAGGGGGCCGTGTCCCAGCGCCGGGCGAGGGGTCCCCGGATACCCAGCCCCCGCGCCCCCCCCCGGAGGGGGCCGTGTCCCAGCGCCGGGCGAGGGGTCCCCGGATACCCAGCCCACCCGTGCCCCCCCCCCGGAGGGGGCCGTGTCCCAGCGCCGGGCGAGGGGTCCCCGGATACCCAGCCCCCGCGCCCCGCCCCGGAGGTGGCTGGGAACTCATCCTAGATTCCACCTGGCCCCTCTGGGGGTACGTCGGGGGGTTTCGTTCTTCTGGGTTATATTGCAGAGAAATGTCATCAATAAATCTCATTTATTTAACCCTCGTTTAACCCCTAAATCTCAGCCTCTTTATTCCGGAGACAAATCCCCCCCCCCCGCCTTGTCACATGGCTGGGGCAGAGCGGGCGCCCCCCGAGGGGAAAGGGCCCCGGCCCCATTCCCCGCCCCCCTGAGCCAGCCAGACCCTGCCCTGGGGCCGGGAGGGAGCTGGCGCCCCCTCGAGGGGAAAGTCCCCCCTGCCCCGCCCCCTTTCGGGAGAGGACTACATTTCCCAGGATGCCCCGTTCTCTCGCCCCCCCGCCCCCGAGTGGCATGTGCCCTCCGGGCTGCAGTTTCCCCTTTCTGGATCAGCTGCGGCCCGGGGGCGCCCCGCACCATGGCCTCGGGGCTGCGGTACCCGGGCAAGGTTGCCATAGTGACCGGGGGCAGCCGGGGCATCGGGGAAGCCGTCGTCAGGGAGTTCGGTGAGGGGGGGCGGGCTGCGGATAGGGGTCAGCGGGGGGCCCTGCAAGGGGGGGGCTGGGGAAGGGGCGCAGCGGGAGCTGGGGGTCTGGAACAGCAGGGACCCCTGGGGATCTGTGGGGGGGGGGCCTTGGGGCGCTGCGGGGGTGGAGGCAGAGGCCTGCGGGGGGGCTAGGGATCAGGGCATGCGTTGGGGAGTCGGGATATTGCAGGATGGTGGATGTGGGGGTCGCAGAGTGTGTGGGGGGGGCGCTACAGGGCTGGCGGGGGGGGAGACTGGAGCCCGGGCGGGGGATCGGAGACTCCAGGGCTGGGCTCCGTCTTGGATCTTCCTGGACTTTGTCCGTCTGTCCGGGTCTGTCCGTCCGGCTGTTCACTGACCCTGGGAGTTGCGGGGCCGGGGGGGGCGGCAGGAGTGAGCTTTAGGTGCCTTGCGATGCGTGCGGCTGGCCAGCAGGGGGCAGCAGAGACCCATCGTCCCCCAGGAGCACTTCTGGGGGGAAGCTCGCAGCGCTTGTGGGGAGGGGAGAGTTCCTGGTCAGGGACACTGCTGCGGGGAAGCTCGCAACACTGGGGGGAGGGGGGAAGTTCCTGTCTGCGGGCACTGCTGCGGGGAAGCTTGCAGCGCTGGGGGAGGGGAGAAGTTCCTGTCTGGGGGCACTGCTGGGGGGAAGCTCACAGTGCTTGGGGGGAGGGGGGAGTTCCTGGTTAGGGGCACTGTTGTGGGGAAGCTCGCAGCACTGGGGGGAGGGGGGAAGTTCCTGTCTGCGGGCACTGCTGCGGGGAGGGGAGAAGTTCCTGTCTGGGGGCACTGCTGGGGGGAAGCTCCCAGTGCTTGGGCAGAGGGGGGAGTTCCTGGTTAGGGGCACTGTTGCAGGGAAGCTCGCAGCGCTGGGGGGAGGGGGGGAAGTTCCTGTCTGGGGGCACTGCTGTGGGGAAGCTCGCAGCACCAGGGCAGTGGTGGTGTTACTCGTGCTGGCTTTTTTGATCTTAACTTTATTCTCTTGTGTCCCCCCCACTGCACCCCGCTATTTCTCCTCCCCCCCCGGCCCCTTCCTGGCCTCCTCTTTCCCCTGTCCCCACAGTTCGGCAGGGGGCTCATGTGGTCTTCTGCGCCCCCAAAGCTGAAGGTGAGAAATCACTCCCCTCTTTTCTGGGGACCCCCACAACCCATGTTGGGAGCTCTGGGGGGGACGGGGGCGCTGGGCAGGGGATGTGGGGTGCTGGTTTGGGGGTGTGTGGATATTTCTCTCTCTCTGAGCCCCCAAGTCTGTCCTTCCCCCCTGTGACGGGTGACCCCCCATTGTCTCCTGGATACCCCCTCTCCCCATGTTTGGCTGCCCCCTCTCCCCACCCTCTCTCTGCCTGCCCCCTCCTGGGATCCCACCTCCCCTGGTGTCCGGCCCCTCCCCCTTGGTGTCTGTGCCCCCCACCCCTGGGCTGTCACTGCCCCCCCTTCTCTTGCAGGGGCCGCCGGGTGGGCACTGGAGCAGGCGCTGCGGGAATCGGGGGGCCCTGGAGAGCCCCATTTCCAGCCCTGTGACATCACCAGCGAACAGGACATCCAGGTGGGCAGGGAAGCATGGGGGGGAATCTGCCCCAGTGGGGGGAGGGGGCAGATGCTGCAGGGGGGGCATTGCCCCCAGCCCTCCCACCCCATGCTTTCTGTAGGAGGATGGGCAGTGCCCGGGGTGGGGGTAACCTCAGCTTGGAGCCTAATGGGTCAAATTCCCCCACCTCTGTCCTGTCCCCCAACACCCCTCCCCTTCCTCCTACCCCCCGCTTCCCCCCTCCCTGCCCCCAACTCCCTCTCCCACCCCCCCCGCAGGCGCTGATCGCGGTGACCTGGCAGCGTTACGGACGCATCGACTGCCTGGTGAACAACGCCGGACGCCGTGAGTCGCCCCGATCGTCAGGGGGTGGAGGGGGTGGGGGTCCCTAGGGCCATCCTGGAATGGGAGGAGGAACCCCTGAGCTGGGGGAAATTAGGGGGCACATGGGCCCCACCACCTCGTTGGAAGGGGAAATGGGGATCCCCGGGTCTGAGCCGTGGTGGTGGTGGGCTGTTTCAGGGGCCTGCATCCTGCTTTTCACCCCCACACCCTCCCCAGATCCCCCCGAAGAGCAAATCGACGACGTCACCTCCCAGCATTTCCGGGAACTTCTCGAGGTCAACCTGGTCGGCTACTTCCTGACAGCAAAGGTGAGAGACACACCTGCGCTCCACCCCAGAGCCAGCCGCATCCCAGCACCGGGGAGGGTCCCCATATAACCAGCCCCCCACACTGTCCCAGAGCCAGCTGCATCCCAGCGCCGGGGAGGGTCCCCATATAACCAGCCCCCTTGCTGCACCCCAGAGCCAGCCGCATCCCAGCACCGGGGAGGGTCCCCATATAACCAGCCCCCCATGCTCCACCCCAGAGCCAGCAGCAGCCCTGCATCGGGGAGGGTCTCCGTATAACCAGCCCCCCGCGCTCCACCCCAGAGCCAGCCACATCCCAGTGCCGGGGAGGGTCTCTGTATAACCAGCCCCCTCGCTGCACCCCAGAACCAGCCGCAGCCTTGCATCGGGTAGGGTCCCCGTATAACCAGCCCCCACGCTCCACCCCAAAGCCAGACGCATCCCAGTGCTGGGGAGAGTTCCCATATAACGAGCCGCCGCGCCCCACTCCAGAGCCAGCCACAAGGGAGGGGTCCCTGTGTACCCACTCGTGTTCCCTGCCCCAGAACCAGCTTCATCATAGCACCGGGGAGGGGTCCCTGTATATCCAGCCTCCACGCTGCCCCAGAGCCAGTCGCATCCCAGCGCCAGGGAGCAGGGCTGCCCAGAGGATTTGCTGAAGACCCTTCAGCGACGGGGGTCCTTCCGCTCCGGGTCTTCGGGGAACCTGGTGTGTTCGGCAGCACTGAAGGACCCCCTGCTGCTGAAGTGCTGCCGAAAACTCTCGTGGGGGCCTCTGTGGGGCCCGGGACCTGGGGCAAATTGCCCCACTTGCCCCCCCCAGGTGCCCCCTCCCAGGTGGCCCTGCCAGGGAGGGGTCCCCCTGTACCCAGCCCCTGTGTCTCCCCACAGCCAGCCGCATCTCAGCGCCAGGGAGGGGTCCCTGTATAACCAGCCCCCGTGCCCCACCCCAGAAGCAGCTGCATCTCCCCCACCTCCGTCTCCTCTCTCCGGTGCAGTTCGCCCTGCCCTATCTGCGGGAGACCCGGGGCAACATTATCAACATCTCCAGTCTCGTGGGCATCATTGGACAGAGCCAGGCTGTTCCCTACGTCGCCACCAAGGTACTGATAGAATCAGGGGGAGAACCCAGGAGTCCGGGCTCCCAGTCCCACCCCCGCAACTAGCCCCCACTTCTCTCCCAGAGCTGGGGAGAGAACCCAGGGGTCCTGGCTCCCACCCCCCACTCTAACCCACCCCCTCCCACAGCCAGGGAGAGAATCCAGGAGTGCTGGCTCCCAGCCCCCTCCCACTCTAACCACTAGCCCCCATTCCCCTTTCAGAGCCGGGGAGAGAACCCAGGAGTCCTGTGCCTCTAGCCAATGCTGATCAGGCATTTGGGGGCTGGGTCTATTCCTAGTGACCTCCCCCCTCCGGGGGGGGCCTAGTGTTTGGGCGGGGGGGTGGGTGGGAATTTTGAGAGTCCCTCAATCCAGAGTCTGTCCCCAGGGCGCAGTGACGGCGATGACGAAGGCCATGGCGGTGGATGAGAGCAGATACGGGGTGCGAGTTAACAGGTACCTTATGATCCCCAGCCCTCCCCCCCTCCACAACTTTAGGGCTGGGGGCACTGCTGTGGGGAAGCTCGCAGCATCTGGGACAGTGATTGGCTGGGGGCACTGTTGTGGGGAAGCTCGCAGCGCCCCCCGGGGGTGTCACAGGCTGGGGGGCACTGCTGCAGGAAAGCGCACAGCATCTGGGACAGTCACCAGCTGGGGGCACTGCTGCGGGGAAGCTTGCAGCGTCTGGGACAGTCACTGCCTGGGGGCACTGCTGCGGGGAAGCTCGCAGCCCTGGTCTTGTGGTCAGGAAGGGGTGAAAATTTGAGGTCGGGGTCGATACCAAATGATTGCGGTTCCTCCCCCCACCAGTATCTCTCCTGGGAACATCTGGACCCCCATGTGGGAGGAGACAGCCGGGCAGACGGCCAATCCGGAGGCCACAATCCAGGCTGGGAAGGATGCCCAGGCAAGTGCATTATGGGAAAAGTGTGTGGGGGAGGGGTTTGCCATAACCCAGGTTGGGGGAAGGGCTGGAGCAGGTGGAAAGGGGGTGTATCGGGGGGGGGAGTGGGAAAGGAAACTGGAGAGCAGGAGGGGGTCCCAGTGGCGAGAGGGGAGGCAGTGGGGGGATCTCTGGGAGGGGCTGAGGGGACTTGAGGGGCTGGTGTAGGTGGGGGCATCAGTAGGAGGGCAGGAGGGGCGGGGTTGATGGGGCAGTGGGAGGGCAGGGGGGATCTCAGTGTGGTGGGGGCATCTCAGTGGGGTGATCTCAGTGGGGAGCAGGGGGCCGGAGGGGGAATCTCAGTGGGAGGGCGGAGGAGGGGGGATGGGATTGATAGGACACTGGAGGGGCAGGGGGGATCTCAGTGGGGAGCAGGGGGCCAGAGGGGGATCTCAGTGGGAGGGCAGAGGAGGGGGGATGGGGCACTGGAGGGGCTGGGGGATCTCAGTGGGGTGAGGCTGGGGGGATATCCATGGGGAGCAGGGGGCCTGAGGGGGGCCGGGGTTGATGGGATACTGGAGGGGCAGGAGGGATCTCAGTGGGGAGCAGGAGGCCGGAGGGGGGCAGGGTGAGCGGCGGGGCCGGGAGGATCTCAGTGGGGGGGGGGCAGGGTGAGCAGCGGGGCCGGGAGGATCTCAGTGGGGAGCAGGGGGCCAGAGGGTGAGTGGGGGGCCCGAGGGCAGGGTCAGTGGCTGACACTCCCCCCCCCGCCCCCCAGCTGCTGGGCCGGATGGGCACGGTGGAGGAGTGCGCTCTGGCTGTGATGTACCTGGCTGCCGACGGCACCTTCTGCACTGGGATCGACCTGCTGCTGAGCGGTGGGGCCGAGCTGGCCTACGGCCCCAAGAGCCGGCTGGGCCCCAGCTAGGGGGCAGGGGGAGCCAGGACTCCTGGGTTCTCTCCCCCGCGCTGGCCCTGAGCATGCCTGTGGGGATTGTGCCTCCAAGGCAGAAAACGCTGCAGGTCATGTCCCTCCCTCTGCGCCCACAAGGCCCCACTCCCCTCCCAAACCTGGGGAGAGAACCCAGGAGTCCTGGTCCCCCCGCTCTAACCACTAGCCCCCACTCCCCTCCAGAGGTTGAAGGTCTCTGTGGCATTCGTTGCGTCCATAGGGGGTTTTGGCAGCGAGGGGGCACCCCAATCTCCATTGTAGGGGTCTGGGCAGTGACGGGGGACCCCAGTCTCTGAGGGAGGGGTGTGGGCACCCATAGGGGACCCCAAGCTCACATGGTTAATAAAGGTGAGTTGCAAACAAATACTGTTTTCATTGATTTTTATTTTAGGGGGGGGACATGCCTCCTCACAGTCAGCCGCCTACAGCTGCGGTTCCTGGCCTGGGCTCTGCTGGTCTCGCTCATTGGTGCTGGAGCCCTGTAGCTCCGTGGATATAAATTGCATATCTGCACAGGGCTCTATCCAAGAGTTTTAAAAGAGCTGGCCGAGGAGCTCGCGGGCCTGTTAACATTGATTTTCAATATGTTTTGGGGCACCGGGGAAGTGCCCGAAGCCTGGGAGAAAGCAAACCTTGGGCCAATATTTAAAAAGGGGAAACAGGAGGACCCGGGTAGTTATAGGCCTGTCGGCCCGACATCGATTCTCGGCAAGATCGTGGAGCAGCTGATACAGGACTCAATTAATGAAGGAGGGGAATGTAATTAATGCCGCACAACTTGGGTTTATGAACAATAGAGCCTGTCCAACTAATTTGGACCCTGGGACACATCAACCGGGGATCCCCGAGTGGGAGCAGAGGTGGTTTGGCCTCTGGATCTGGCCCGGGGGCGAATCCTGCGCCCAGTGCTGGGGCCTGCAGCGCGAGGAGGCTGTGGCGAAAAGGCAGAGGCCGGAGAAGAGCGAGGGGGACGAGTGAAGGGTTAGAAAACCTGCCGGAGGGCGAGAGACGCCAGGAGCTCCAGCTCTGGTGCTGAGCGCGGAGACGGCTCGGGGGGGGGACTCGATCCCCGGCTCTAGGGCCCTACGTGGGGAACGAATATTTCCTCCCGGGCTCCTCAAGCGGGCAGAGGAAGGTCGAACCCGACCCCCCGGCTGGACGTCTGAGCAAGTCAAACCCAGCTGGGAAAGGGGGCCGCCTGCTTTTAACCTGGAGGGGTATTAACCCTTGGACAAAGGCGGTGGAGGATTCTCGGGCGCTGGCCGTGTTGAAATCCAGCTTGGCCCCCGGCTACCCAGCCCCAGTGCCCCACCCCAGAGGTGGCTGCATCGCCAGCCCCCCGAGGGCCTGACGGGGAAGATAATCGCTCAGTAAATCTAGTCCAGGTTCTGATCTGGGGGAGCCTGGTTCCCCTGGCTCATTAGGGGAGAGGGAGGCTGGGGGTTAATTAACACGGTCCCCCAGGTCAGTGGGTGGCTAAGCAGGTGCTTCTCATCCGGGGCAGCTGACCTGCCCTAGGGGGCTACATGTCACTGGGGACGGGGGGGTGTAGTGGTGCGGCTGTGGGGGAGGGGGACCGGCCCAGCCTGGGAAAGGGAAATCTCAGGGAGTCCCATGAGCCAGCAATGAGATCGCCCTCTCCCTGCCCCCCAGCCAAGGGAATAGCAGCCCCCTGCTCCCCAGCCTGGGAAATAGACACCCCCTGTCCCCCAACTCCTCCTGAGCCTCCCAGCCTGGCAAATAGCAGCCCCCAGTTCCTCTCTGACCCCCTGGCTGGCGAATAGCCGCCCCCTGCCCCCCAGCTCCTCCCTGGCCTCCAGCCTGGCGAATAGCCACCCCTGCCCCCCAGCTCCTCTCTGCCCCCCTGCCTGGGGAATAGCAGCCCCCTGCCTGGGGAATAGCAGCCCCCTGTCCCCCAGCTCCTCCCTGGCCCCCAGCCTGGGGAATAGTAGCCCCCTGTCCCCCCCCCAGCCTGGGGTATAAACACCCCCTCCCCCCCAGCTCCTCCCTGCCCCCCAGCCTGGGGAATAGCAGCCCCCTGTCCCCCCCCCAGCCTGGGGTATAAACACCCCCTCCCCCCCAGCTCCTCCCTGCCCCCCAGCCTGGGGAATAGCAGTCCCCTGGCCCCCAGCTCCTCCCTGCCCCCCAGCCTGGGGAATAGCAGCCCCTGTCCCCACCCCAGCCTGGGGTATAAACACCCCTCCCCCAGCTCCTCCCTGCCCCCAGCCTGGGGAATAGCAGCCCCCTGTCCCCCCCCAGCCTGGGGTATAAACACCCCCTCCCCCCAGCTCCTCCCTGCCCCCCAGCCTGGGGAATAGCAGCCCCCTTCCCCCCAGCCTGGGGTATAAACACCCCCTCCCCCCCAGCTCCTCCCTGCCCCCCAGCCTGGGGAATAGCAGTCCCCTGGCCCCCAGCTCCTCCCTGCCCCCCAGCCTGGGGAATAGCAGTCCCCTGGCCCCCAGCTCCTCCCTGCCCCCCAGCCTGGGGAATAGCAGTCCCCCGGTGCCAGGTCCCGGGCGGATCAGCCCAGGGCTGGGTGAGGAGGCGGGGCGGAGCCAGCCCCATGCCTAGGGGGGAGCTGCCCTCCCATTGGCTACAGCGGGGGGTGTGGGGAGTGGGAACAGGTGTGATTGGACGGGTCCCCCCGCCCCCCAACTTATTTTGTGGGGGGGGAACCGGGTTCCTCTGCAAAACCGGGGGGGGGCGTTGCACCCCCGCCCCTCCCCCTGCCCTACTCCGCACCCCCCACCTTCCCTCGTCAGTCCGCCCCCCCGGTGCCGGGCGGGGGAGGGGCGGAACCTTCCATCCGCCGCCGTGGCCGGGCCCGGTCCCATTACTCGGCGGCACCGGGCATGGCAGCGGCGGGGGTTCGGGCCCGGATCGGGGCCGTCGGAAGGGTGAGTCCGGCCCCTCCTCCCCCGGTGCCCCCCACTCCCGACCCGCAGCCCCCCCCAGCCCTGCCGGTGCCCCCCCACTCCCGACCCGCAGCCCCCCCCCCCAGCCCTGCCGGTGCCCCCCCACTCCCGACCCGCAGCCCCCCCCCAGCCCTGCCGGTGCCCCCCACTCCCGACCCGCAGCCCCCCCCCCAGCCCTGCCGGTGCCCCCACTCCCGACCCGCAGTCCCCCCCCAGCCCTGCCGGTGCCCCCCCACTCCCGACCCGCAGCCCCCCCCCAGCCCTGCCGGTGCCCCCCACTCCCGACCCGCAGCCCCCCCCCCCAGCCCTGCCGGTGCCCCCCCACTCCCGACCCGCAGTCCCCTCCCAGCCCTGCCGGTGCCCCCCACTCCCGACCCGCAGTCCCCCCCCAGCCCTGCCGGTGCCCCCCCACTCCCGACCCGCAGTCCCCCCCCCCAGCCCTGCCGGTGCCCCCCACTCCCGACCCGCAGTCCCCCCCCCCAGCCCTGCCGGTGCCCCCCACTCCCGACCCGCAGCCCCCCCAGCCCTGCCGGTGCCCCCCACTCCCGACCCGCAGTCCCCCCCCAGCCCTGCCGGTGCCCCCCACTCCCGACCCGCAGCCCCCTCCCAGCCCTGCCGGTGCCCCCCACTCCCGACCCGCAGCCTCCTCCCAGCCCTGCCGGTGCCCCCCACTCCCGACCCGCAGCCCCCTGCCTAGCCCGGGCCTCACCTGAGCGACTCTCTCACCTTGAACGTTTTGTTTCCGCCTCTCAAGGACCCTGCGGGGGGGGGGCTGGCGCGATTCCTGGGGTCGGGAGAGGAGCCCCGGGGGCTGGGGAGAGTGACCTGAAGTCAGGGTGACCAGACAGCAAATGTGAAAAATCGGGACGGGGGGTGGGGGTAATAGGATCCTACAGAGGAACAAGACCCTAAAGTCGGGACATCTGGTCACCCTCCCGGAACTTGCCCCATTTCCACTGGCCCGGGCTAGTCCACCCCTGGGCAGCCAGCGAGGCCGGTAGAGCCGGGGGTGGGGGGGATGCGAGCCGGGTTTAGTTCCCAGCTCGGCCACGGGCAAGTCTCTGCCATGCCTCAGTTTCCCCACCTGTACAACGGGAAGGGTGGTATAGCAGGGGCACTGGCGGGGCTGCAGGTCGGGAGTGAGGGGCACCGGCAGACCTGGGGAGGGAGCCCAGGGCTGGGCTAGCAGGGGGCTGCGGGTCAGGAGTGAGGGGCTGGCAGGGTGGGCAGGGGGTGCTGGGGGTGAGGGTAACTGGCAGGGCTGGGGAGGGGCTGGGCTGGGCTAGCAGGGGGCTGCGGGTCGGGAGTGAGGGTAACTGGCAGGGCTGGGCTAGCAGGGGGCTGCTGGTCGGGAGTGAGGGGCACTGGCAGGGCTGGGGAGGGGCAGGGCTGGGCTAGCAGGGGGCTGCGGGTCGGGAGTGAGGGGCACTGGCAGGGCTGGGGAGGGGCAGGGCTGGGCTAGCAGGGGGCTGTGGGTAGGGAGTGAGGGGCACCAGAACCTCCCAATGCACCGGCCTTGAGTTGGGGGTGCAGTGATTGGACGCTCTGGTGATACCCCCCTGTCAGAGCATAGTTGGGCGAATGTGGGTTTCCTCGTGCCCCAGTTCCCCAGCAGAACCGGGCCCCGGGCTGGCTGAGCTGGGCTGCAGGGCTCGTTCAGGCCGTGGGCGTGCGGGCCGCTAACGAGGCCGGCCGCGGTCACATGGCAAAGGGGTGACCAGGGCCCCACGCTCAGGCTCCAGAGCTGGACTCTCTGCCTGGGGAAGGTCAGGAGGGAACCGGGAACCGGGTTGTCCCCAAAAGGGCCACTAGGGGGCGCTGCTTGTAATGGCTGGCTGTGCGGCTGGATGGGCCCCTTGGTCTGAGCTAATAAGGCAGACCCTGAGTGTTTCAGCGGGGGGCCCCCTGTGCTCGCCCCTCGCCCCCCAGCCCTGCCGGTGCCCCTCACTCCCGACCCGGAAGTGGCTCCCTGGCACCCCGATGATTTGTTGCCTAGCTGCCCCTGAGCAGGGCTGAGCCCTTCCCGCTCATCTCACGTGTGGCTGGGCTGGTTTGCCAGCCCCAGTGCTGGCTGGGGGTGGGGGGCAGGGGCTGGGTGTGTCGGCGGCTCCGGGCCGCGCTGTCCTGGCTGCCCCATGGAGACGCGCTGGGGGCTGGCACGGAGCCAGGCCCCCGGGGGCCTGGTGGCGCCTCTGGTACCTGGCAGGAGCGGCCAAGGGCACAGAAATATCGTCCTCCCCCAGGGCATGCTGGGAAAGTGTCTGTGGGGGGGTGTAAGCTGGTGCACCCAAGCTCCAGGGCAGGGCGTGGTTGTAGGGGGTGGGGGGCGGTGCCCCACAGCACTAGGCAGGGGTGCAGCTGGGTGGGGGGGCAGGGAGGGTGGCGCCCCCTAGCGCCTGGCTGGGGGGAGGGTCTTTGTCTAGCTCAGGGAGGCCCCCCCAGCCCTGCATTCCAGGTCCTGCTTTGTCTGCAACTCCCTGCCTGGGCCCCAGCCTATCCCTTCCGTTCCCGGAGCTGGGGAGAGAACCCAGGAGTCCTGGCTCCCAGCCCCCCTCCCCCCCGCTCTAATCACTAGACCCCACTCCCCTTCCAGAGCTGGGGAGAGAACCCAGGAGTGCTCCCAGCCCCCCCCCCATCACTAGACCCCACTCCCCTCCCAGAGCTGGGGAGAGAACCCAGGAGTCCTGGCTCCCAGCCCCCCCGCTCTAATCACTAGACCTCACTCCCCTTCCAGAGCTGGGGAGAGAACCCAGGAGTCCTGGCTCCCAGCCCCCCTCCCCCCGCTCTAATCACTAGACCCCACTCCCCTTCCAGAGCTGGGGAGAGAACCCAGGAGTCCTGGCTCCCAGCCCCCCCCCCCGCTCTAATCACTAGACCTCACTCCCCTCCCAGAGCTGGGGAGAGAACCCAGGAGTGCTCCCAGCCCCCCCCCCCCCCCAATCACTAGACCCCACTCCCCTTCCAGAGCTGGGGAGAGAACCCAGGAGTCCTGGCTCCCAGCCCCCCCCCCCGCTCTAATCACTAGACCCCACTGCCCTTCCAGAGCTGGGGAGAGAACCCAGGAGTCCTGGCTCCCAGCCCCCCCCCCCAAGTTTTTATCCCTTTCTTCCCCTTTCTCTCCACCTTGCATGGAAATAAACTAACCCCCCCCCCCCCCCCGCCTGTATTCCCACATCCCTCCCCAGCCCCCATGTTCCACTCCCACTACTGACAACCCCCCTCCCACCCCACGCCGTGAACCCAGCTGTCCAGGGCTGGGGGTGGGGGGCAGAATTTACTACTTTATTGTGAGCCCACATGTTGGGGGGGCTGACTGAGCATGGGGGGAGCATGTGGTGGAGGGGGTGTTGGCTGCAAACCCCTCTGTGTGGGGAGGGAATTGACCAGTTTACCATAAATGCTGCAGTAGGGGTTTGCGGGGTGGGTTGCGAACCCAGGAGTCCGGTGGGGGGAGGGATTTACCATGAGCCCACACACTGGAGGTTCTTGGGGGGCCGGCCGCGAACCCAGGAGTCCGGGGCGGAATCTACCAGGAACCCACGCCTGTGATGTGGGGGTGGGGGCACTGACACTGAACCCTGGCCTCCAGGGCTGCGGGGAAGGAACTTACCGGGGACCCAGGCGTCCGGCTGGCTTGCACCCCGGCATGCTGGGGGGGGGGAGCGAAGGCCCCGGGGTCTCTGCTGTGTGGCCCCCGGCTCCGTGTCTCCTGCCTGGAGACCAGCATGGCTCCGTGGGGAGCGAAGTCCAGTTGGGCGGGGTGGGGTGGGGTGGGGGAAACGCGGAGGGGAGGGGGACGGATGCGGCTGATCCTGCTGGTGGGGGCAGGTTCCCACGCCCAGCACTGCCAACTGAATCCCCAGTGAGGGGCCCTTTCTGGGGGGGCCTGGCCTGGTGCCCGTAGTGCCCCCTGCCTGGGGGAGGGGTCCTTCCTTGGGGACCTTGTGGGGCGCCCCTGGGGTGGGGCCCTGGCCCGACCCCACCACGGAGCCAGGTTACACATTAACCCTCTGTTTGCTCAGATGGCATGAAACAGGGTCCGAGAGTGATGGGGGTGGCGGGGGGCCCGGCAGGGGGCGCTCTCCGCAGCGGGGAAGGCTGGCCCTGTGCCCGCGCTAGGGGGCGCTCTCCAGCCTGCACCCCTGTAAATGGGGGCTCCCTGGGCCCCTGCCCCCCCCCCACGCCCCCAGCCACTCCTCCCTCTGTCCCGCAGGTTTTGCCGGGTCGATTCTGTGCTGCCCTGGACCGGCTGCTGCCCCTCGGCCCCCGGAGACCCATCAGCACCTTCTTCAAGGTTAGTGCCAACGCGGACGCCTGGGTTCTCTGCCTGGCGCAGGGAGGGGAGGGGAGGAGGGTCTAATGGTTAGAGTGGGGCGGTGGGGGCTGGGAATTTGGATGCCTAGGTTCTCTGTCGGGGGTGGGGGGACGGTACAGAGGTTAGAGCAGGGGGCTGGGAGCCAGGACTCCTGGGTTCTCTCCCCGGCTCTGGGAGGGGAGTAGGGTCTAGTGGTTAGAGCCGGGAGCCAGGACGCCTGGGTTCTTTTCCAGGCCTCAGACCTGCAGGTGGAGTTGACCAATGAGCCGAAGCCCAAGCCGGAGGCAGGGCAGCTGCAGTTCGGGAAGCATTTCACCGACCACATGCTCACGGTGGAGTGGGACCGGGACCGGGGCTGGGGCCAGCCCCACATCAAACCCTTCCAGAACCTGAGCCTGCACCCGGCCTCCTCCGCCCTGCACTACGCTGTGGAGGTGAGTCGGGGCGCCCTACTCCCAGCCCCTGCTACCCCAGAGGGCGGCGTCCCAGCTCAGGCAAGGGGGCCCTGGATAACCGACCCCCGGAGCCAGCCGCGTCCCAGCCCGGTGAGGGGTGCCCAGATACCTCCCCCACCCCAGAGCCAGCCGCGTCCCAGCCGGGTGAGGGGTTCCCAGACCCCCACACCCCGGAGCCAGCCGCGTCCCAGCTGGGTGAGGGGTGCCCAGACCCTCCCCCACCCCGGAGCCAGCCGCGTCCCAGCTGGGTGAGGGGTGCCCAGACCCTCCCCCACCCCGGAGCCAGCCGCGTCCCAGCTGGGTGAGGGGTGCCCAGACCCTCCCCCACCCCCAGAGCCAGCCGCATCCCGCCCGGGCGAGGGGGCCCCAGATACCTCCCCCACCCCCAGAGCCAGCCGCGTCCCAGCCGGGTGAGGGGTTCCCAGACCCCCCCCCCCCCCAGAGCCAGCCGCGTCCCAGCCGGGTGAGGGGTGCCCAGACCCTCCCCCACCCCAGAGCTAGCCGCATCCCAGCCGGGTAAGGGGTTCCCAGATACCTCCCCCACCCCAGAGCCAGCCGCGTCCCAGCCGGGTGAGGGGTGCCCAGATACCTCCCCGACCCCCACAGCCAGCCGCGTCCCAGCCCAGTGAGGGTTGCCCAGACCCCTCCCCCCACCCCCAGAGTCAGCCGCATCCCAGCCTGGTGAGGGGTGCCCAGACCCCCCCACCCCCAGAGTCAGCCGCGTCCCAGCCGGGTGAGGGGTGCCCAGACCCCCCCACCCCCAGAGTCAGCCGCGTCCCAGCCGGGTGAGGGGTGCCCAGACCCCCCCACCCCGGAGCCAGCCGCGTCCCAGCCGGGTGAGGGGTGCCCAGACCCCCCCACCCCCGGAGCCAGCCGCGTCCCAGCCGGGTGAGGGGTGCCCAGACCCCCCCACCCCCCGGAGCCAGCCGCGTCCCAGCCGGGTGAGGGGTGCCCAGACCCTCCCCCACCCCGGAGCCAGGCCAGAAGCGTCCCAGCCGGGTGAGGGGTGCCCAGACCCTCCCCCCCCCAGCCCAGGCCCCCGGAGCCAGCCGCGTCCCAGCCGGGTGAGGGGTCCCGACCCTCCCCCACCCCAGAGCCAGCCGCGTCCCAGCCGGGGGGCCTCCCCCACCCCAGAGAGCCAGCCGGAGCGTCCCAGCCGGGTGAGGGGTGCCCAGACCCTCCCCCACCCCGGAGCCAGCCGCGTCCCAGCCGGGTGAGGGGTGCCCAGACCCTCCCCCACCCCGGAGCCAGCCGCGTCCCAGCCGGGTGAGGGGTGCCCAGACCCTCCCCCACCCCGGAGCCAGCCGTGTCCCAGCCGGGTGAGGGGTGCCCAGACCCTCCCCCACCCCAGAGCTAGCCGCGTCCCAGCCCGGGCGAGGGGGCCCCAGATACCTCCCCTACCCCCAGACCCAGCCACGTCCCAGCCGGGTGAGGGGTTCCCAGACCCCCCACCCCCAGACCCACCCACGTCCCAGCCGGGTGAGGGGTTCCCAGACCCTCCACCCCGGAGCCAGCCGCGTCCCAGCTGGGTGAGGGGTGCCCAGACCCTCCCCCACCCCAGAGCCAGCCGCATCCGAGCCGGGTAAGGGGTTCCCAGATACCTCCCCCACCCCAGAGCCAGCCGCGTCCCAGCCGGGTGAGGGGTGCCCAGATACCTCCCCCACCCCCAGAGCCAGCCGCGTCCCAGCCCAGTGAGGGTTGCCCAGACCCTCCCCCACCCCAGAGCCAGCCGCATCCCAGCCCGGTGAGGGGTGCCCAGATACCTCCCCCACCCCCAGAGCCAGCCGCGTCCCAGCCCGGTGAGGGGTGCCCAGATACCTCCCCCACCCCCAGAGCCAGCCGCGTCCCAGCCGGGTGAGGGGTTCCCAGACCCCCCCACCCCCAGAGCCAGCCGCGTCCCAGCCGGGTGAGGGGTTCCCAGACCCCCCACCCCCAGAGCCAGCCGCGTACCAGCCGGGTGAGGGGTTCCCAGACCCCCCCACCCCCAGAGCCAGCCGCGTCCCAGCCGGGTGAGGGGTTCCCAGACCCCCCCACCCCCAGAGCCAGCCGCGTCCCAGCCGGGTGAGGGGTTCCCAGACCCCCCAACCCCCGGAGCCAGCCGCGTCCCAGCCGGGTGAGGGGTTCCCAGATACCTCCCCCACCCCAGAGCCAGCTGCGTCCCAGCTGGGCGAGGGGGCCCCAGACCCTGCCCCGGAGGGGCCGCGTCCCAGCCCCCGGCTGACGGTGCTGGCTCTCCCCAGCTCTTCGAGGGGATGAAGGCTTTCCGGGGCCAGGATCAGCGAGTCCGTCTCTTCCGCCCGCTGATGAACATGGAGCGTATGTGCCGCTCGGCCGCCCGGGCCAGCCTGCCGGTGAGTGACCCCCCCCTCCCCAGGCCTCCTGCATGGGGCCCTGGGGCCCTCGCTGACCAGGCCCCTGGCCACCGGTTATCCCCCCCATGCTGCTTGGGTGAACTTCAAGGGGGCTGAGAGCCAGGACTCCTGGGTTCTCTTTTTGGAAGGGAGTGGGGTCTAGTGGTTACAGCTGGGGGGGGCGGGGTTGGGAGCCAGGACGCCTGGGTTCTCTGTCAGGCTCTGGGAAGGGAGTGGGGTCTCTTGGTTAGAGCGGGGGGGGGGGGGGTTGGGAGCCAGGACTCCTGGGCTCTCTCTGTGGCTTCGGGAGGGGAGTGGGGTCTAGTGGTTACAGCTGAGGGGGGGAGGGGTTGGGAGCCAGGACTCCTGGGGTCTGTCTTGGCCCTGGGGGCTGCCCCCTCTCTCCAGCACTGCCCTCTCTCCCCCAGCCCTTCGACCAGCTGCAGCTCCTGGACTGCATCCGCCGGCTCGTGGCCCTCGACCAGGACTGGGTGCCGCACTCGGACAGCGCCAGTCTCTACATCCGCCCAACCTTCATTGGCACCGAGGTGCGGAGCCCCGAGGGGCGCCCCGACTTCCGCCATCCCCACGGGACACATCCCGCCTGCCTCCGACCTTGCGGCATCCGGGCCCCCAGATCTGTCTCCTGCCTGCGCCCCCCCAGTCCCCCAGATGTGTCTCCCGCCTCTGTCCCCAGATCTGTCTCCCACCTGCATCCCCCTAATCTGCTCCTTCCCCTGCACCCCGACTCTGGGCTCCCCTGGCTTCTTGCTCCTCAACCTTTTGAAGGCCCCCCCCCCCGCTGCTGCAGGGGCTCTGGTGTGGGGTGCGGCCATGGGGTGCGGGGTTCTGACACTTTACTCCGCCCCCCCGCAGCCGTCCCTGGGGGTGTCCCGTCCCGGCCATGCCCTCCTCTTCGTCATCCTGTCTCCAGTGGGGGCCTACTTCGCCACCGGCCCCATGGGCGCCGTGGGCCTGCTGGCCGAGCCACGCTACGTCCGCGCCTGGCTGGGGGGCGTCGGCGACTACAAGATGGGGGGGTGAGTATGAGCTTCCAGGCCCCAGCCTGCTGCTGGGGGGTGGTGCCCTCCGGACCCCAGCCATGCCCCCCTCCACCCCACCAGCCACTAGGCGGTGCTGTCCCCTGTCCCCAACCTTGTCCCCCTTGTCACGGAGTCCCGGGGCGATGCTCTGGATCTGCTCCCCATGAAGCCAGGCAGGACTCTGGGGAAGTCTCCTCTCTGGGAGCAGCCTGTCTGCAGGACACACAGCTCACCCGGCTCCACCTTCCTGGGGCTGACCCCGGAGCATTCAGCATCCTCTGCCCCTCCGTGCGCTTCCCCCAGCGAGTCCGCCCAGGCGGGGTTCTGGGGAAGCCAGAGGGTCCTGCCCCCAACTTCGCAGTCAGACGTGACTCTCAGCCAGCCAGTAAAACAGAAGGTTTATTAGACGACAGGAACATGGTCTAACACAGAGCTTGCAGGTGCAGAGAACAGGACCCCTCAGGTGGGTCCATTTTGGGGGGCAGTGAACCAGACAACCCCGTCTGCTCTTCACTCCATGTCCCAGCCAGCCCCAAACTGCAACTCTCTCCAGCCCCTCCTCCTCTGGGCTTTGTCCCTTTCCCGGGCCAGGAGGTCACCGGATTCCTTTGTTCTCCAACCCTTTAGCTCTCACCTTGCAGGGGGGAAGGGCCCAGGCCATCAGTGGCCAGGAAACAGGGTGTCGGCCATTCTCTGTGTCCAGCCTCCTGCACACACCTGCCCTCTAGGGCTCTGCAATGATCATACACCCTTACCCCACCCCCTGGAGACTTAAGAACTGCATAGGGGAAACTGAGACACCCCCACACTATTCAGAGGAAACATTAAGAACAGTCCCACTTCGTCACATCTCTCCCTCCTTCGAGATCGAACTGAGCGGGGTCACTTTAGCCGGTGACCTGGGGAAGTTCGAAGCCACCAGCGTTCCCATGGATGCCCCAGCATCTCTCCCATTCCTTGGTAGGAGTTACACTAGGCCCTTCCAGTTTCACGCCCTCCCTTAGGTCGGGGGCGGTCGATAGCACTCGCAGGCCGCATGTCGGAAGGTTTATGCGGCCCGTGCCCTTTGGCCATCCCAAAACCCCCGGGGGGTCAAACTGGGATTGGGTTTTCTCCCCAACAAGCTGGCCAAACACAGCCACCTGGTTATAGGACTGTTTAACTTTCTTAACTGCTTTCACTCCATCTGAGACCTTCTCAAAGCTCTCCACACTGGGTCTTTCAACAGGAAAGTCAGTGGATCCATTCACAGCAGAAAATTTCTGGCTGTTAGGAACTGAAACTTTCTTGATTAAATCATTTTCACACCCTTCAGTTGCAATAAACTGCTTGCAAAGACTCCCTGAGCATTCCCTTCCCTAGGGCTTTTCTATGCAACAATTCACCCCTCACAGAAATTCTGCTCTTACCCTCTTCACCTAGGGCTTGTTCTAGAGGGACACTTTCCTGAGCAACAACAGACTCTTTCTGGGTCTCCCTTACATCCAGAATTACCTCTGGCCCATCCGGCGGATTCCTAAACAATCCCCTTTCAGGCAAACTGACAGACTTCCTAGATAAAAGGTCAGAAGCCTTCTCCTTCCCTTTGCCACACACAAGTTCAGGAATCTTTTCCTTCTTGCTACAGGTTTCCACACCCTCAGTAGGTAACACAATCACATCACCTTCATGCTCTCCTTGTGCCCTGGCTAGGATCTCACCCTGATTAGACAGAGTTGCTCCACCCTTTCCAACAACACACGAGCAACAGGCAAAATACAAGCACCAGAATTGTCTGGCCTCTGGGATTTTACATAGACACTAACTGGATGCGACCTAGTTACAGGGCCATTCTCCGAAGCAGACACAAACTTCGGACCCTTCCCTTCCTGGGCTTTAGCTGAGTCCAGAACCAACTCTGAGACAACTGCACGACCCTCAACCATCACAGGCTGAAAGGCCCCTTCTGTCTGCTCCACAGACAAAGAAGAGCCGGACACACTTTCTCCTTTCCCAGACACCCAGCCAGGGATCTCTTTCCCCTTGTCCCAGCACACAGGGCTGGTCGCAGACAACTGCTTGGAGATCAGGGTGGCTCTCTCCATAGGCAAGTCAATACCCCTGACAGACACAGGCACGTTTCCTTCACTGTCCCAATAGTCCACCCAGCTAACAGGTAAGATCCAGGGACACTCATCTTCCACTCTCCTCTCCTTCCCACCCTGCTGACTGGACACAGCCATCAGCTCACAAGGCTGCCTAGGCTCATCCAGACTTTCCTTACCAAGCACCTTGCCGCTCCCCACAGATCCCCTGCCCTGCCTGTGTCTCCCCCCACTCAGCTGGGGTCTCACCTCCCACTGTGCTCAGCGCTGCCCTTGCTGTCCCAGTGGGGGTAGGCTGCGAGCTCCCTGCTTTCCTCACTGCATCAGAGCCAGCCTGAGCCCCCTCTCCGGTGTGCAAGGGGGGTGGGGAGCCCCAGGGGGCTGGTTACAGGCAGGCAGGTAGCCTGAGCCTAGCCGCTCCTCCCAGCTGCCAGCCAGGTCATCTGCATTTTCACTGACCATTTCCCTCTCCGCCGATTTGTTCCCTGGATTCAAATTCAAACCCTCGGCAGTTACCGGAGCAGGGCCTGGATCCTGTCCCAAAGAGACACAGTCACCCCACAACAGGGTCTCACAGCTGGTGTCCTGGAGCACCCCAACAACCAGCCAGCCCCACCCCTCCTGGGTCTGCATAGGGATCTGGGCCATAGGCAGGGCGAGGGGCTTCGTCCCTGGGACCCTCACCCAGCTCACCCAGCCCCTCAGCCTCTGAGGCTGCACCACCCGGGGCCTGACAACAGTTCTCTCTGTCCCAGGATCTCGCCACCCCAGAAATGTCTCCCCATTGACCATCCCCTTCCGCTCCCACTGGGGGTCCGAGGGGCCTGACCCCAGGAGACTCCACACAGACATATAGGTTGGGGTCAGGAGTGGGAGCCTGTCCACCTCCCCACCCATCTGGCTGACGGAGTCAATGGCTTTGGGACCCAGCAAGGGAGCTAGACACCAGGGCTTTTCCGCAGGGTCCCCCTGGTTCAAATCTCCAGCCTGCTCAAAGGCAGTGGGGTGGCATCCACATCCCCCCCTCCTTAACCAGGGGCAGCAATTTCGTCTCGAGGTTCCCTGCGGAACTGGCCCCCCGGGGTCTATCCCCACTCACCCCTGGGAGGTCCCCTAGGCCTCTCCGCTCCCCCACCGCCAGTTCATGCTGCTGCTGCTTCTGCAGCTCTTTCTCGGGCTCTCGCTGTCTCTCACAGTCCTCTGGCTCTCTCGGACTCAGCTCCAATCCCGTCCGTCTCCGATCCCCCGATGGGGAACCCGATCGTGAAGACCCTCGTCTGGTCGGGGACAGGAGTCTTGGGGGTGCCTGGCTCCCACTCCAGCTGCTCCCAGATCCTGCTATAGCCCCATTTGGGGTCAGGAATCTGTCCCTTAGAGCGGTCATCCTCCTCCAGCTGCACGATTAACTCTGCTTTGGTGAACTTTCCAACGCTCAACCCTCTCTGCACAGGGTTACAATGTCCTTCTTAAGGAGACGGTGACAGGCCGTCACTCCGCTCTTCCCAAGTTGTTGGGGACTCACAGGCCTGTGTGCTCTCAGCTCCCCACGGTCTCCAGGGAGAACCCCTAGTGTGCCAGCCCTTCTCGAGGTCACCACCTCTTTGCCAGGGTCGAGCTGCAGACTCCTCCGCCCCTGGGACCGCTCGCTGCAATCCCCCGGGGGACCCTGTTACTGCAAAAGTCCTTCTCTCTTGTCACACACTCCCAGGGTTTAACCGCCCCCTGAAACCGTCTCTCTCTGAATCTTCAGCACGCCTGGTCCCCGTCAATCCCCCTTCGTTTTACTGCTCCCCAGTCACTAACTGCAGGAAGCGCCATCCATGGGGTGCAGTAGATCCCACCGCTCCCACCAGTTGTCACAGAGTCCCTGGGCGATGCTCTGGAACTGCTCCCCATGAAGCCAGTCAGGACTCTGGGGAAGTCTCCTCTCTGTGAGCAGCCTGTCTGCAGGACACACAGCTCACCCGGCTTCACCTTCCTGGGTCTGACCTCGGAGCATTCAGCCTCCTCTGCCCCTCTGGGCGCTTCCCCCAGCGAGTCCGCTCAGGTGGGGCTCCTGGGGAAGCCAGAGGGTCCTGCCCCCCAACTTCGCAGTCAGATGTGACTCTCAGCCAGCCAGTAAAACAGAAGGTTTATTAGATGACAGGAACATGGTCTAACACAGAGCTTGTAGGTGCAGAGAACAGGACCCCTCAGCTGGGTCCATTTTGGGGGGCAGGGAGCCAGACAACCCCGTCTGCCCTTCACTCCATGTGCCAGCCAGCCCCAAACTGAAACTCCCTCCAGCCCCTCCTCCTCTGGGCTTTGTCCCTTTCCCCGGGCCAGGAGGCCACCTGATTCCTTTGTTCTCCAACCCTTTAGCTCTCACCTTGCAAGGGGGAAGGGCCCAGGCCATCAGGTGCCAGGAAACAGGGTGTCGGCCATTCTCTGTGTCCAGCCCCCTGCCCACACCTGCCCTCTAGGGCTCTGCAATGATCATACACCCTTACCCCACCCCTAGAGACTTAAGAACTGCCTAGGGGAAACTGAGGCACCCCCACACTATTCAGAGGAAACATTAAGGACAGCCCCGCTTCGTCACACCCCTGTCGCCCGCCAGCCACTAGGGGGCACTGCCCCCTGCCCCCAGCCGTGTCCCCCCTCCCCCCCACCAGCCACTAGGGGGCACTGCCCTCCCCTCCCCCGCCGTGCCCCACTCTCTGAGGGTGCTGCCCCCTGCGTCCGCAGGAACTACGCCCCCACCATCCTGGTGCAGGACGAGGCAGTGCGCGCCGGGTGCCAGCAGGCCCTGTGGCTCTATGGGGACGATCACCAGATCACCGAGGTCGGCACCATGAACATCTTCCTCTTCTGGACAGACCCACAGGGCGGTGAGAGCCGGAGCCTCCTGCCACGGGCGAGGGGGGTCCCCCTGTACCCCTCCCCCATCCCCAACTCCTGTGCCTCGTCCCGGGGGGTCCCCCTATACCCATCCCCTGCATCCTGCCCCTCCCATGTCCCCTCCCAGGGGTGTCCCCATATACCCATGCCCTGCCCTACAGGGATCCTTGAGTGCCCCCCTCCCCACCCTGTGCCAGGGCGGTTCCCCCTATACCCTTTCCCCGCCCCCCCATCCCAGGGGGATCCCCAAGTGCCCCGCCCCTGCGCCCTGTCTCGGAGGGGCTGTCTCTCGGTGGTGCCCCAGGAGGGCTCCCAAGATCCCTGCCCCCCTGTCCCATCCCAGGAGGATCCCCCTATACCAATCCCCTGCCCCACAGGGGTCCCTGAGTGCTCAGAGGGGCCGCATCCCAGCACCGGGCTGGGAGGTCCCTGTATACCCAGCCCCCGCCCCACCCCAGGGCCAGGCTGGGGGGGCGGGGGGGGGGGGCGTGTGTGACGGGATTTTTCTTTTCCAGACCTGGAGCTGGTGACCCCCCCGTTGAACGGCATCATTCTGCCCGGGGTGACCCGGCAGAGCCTGCTGGACTTAGGGCGCAAGTGGGTGAGTGGGGGGGGGGCGGATCTGGGCTGGGGAGGAGCCTCTCTTTTCTCCCCCCCTCTCGCTCCCAGACTGGCGACGGGGCCTGGGAGGCGATCGAAGGGGGGCCCGCGTGAGCTCTGCCCCAGCGATTCCCGGGGGGGCTGGTCTCTAGCCACTGTGTTGGGTTGGGGGGGGCAGCGGTGGAGGAGGTGGAAGCTGGGAAGCTCTGAGGGGCTGGTTTGCGGCCAAGGTGGGCCTGGGAGGGGCTCAGTGGCCCCTAAAGGGGAGTCGCCAGCTCAGGGGCTGGAGCAGAGTAGGGGGGGGCGGCTGGGGAACCCTCACTTGGGCAAACCCCTGCCAGGGCTGGGGTAGGGGTTGGGGGCCCCAGCTGACCTCTCAGGCGCCTTCAGCTTGGGTGGGGTTTAATTCTGCCCCCCGCCCCCCTGGGGTGAGCTGGTCAGTTTGCTCCTTGGGGTGACCCCCCCCCCCCAGCACAGGACCCCAGCTCCCCAGGCTGGGGGGAGCCCCACGTCACGGGGTCCCCGGGCGATGCTCTGGATCTGCTCCCCATGAAGCCAGGCAGGACTCTGGGGAGTCTCCTCTCTGGGAGCAGATTGCCTGCGGGGCAAACAGCTCCCCCGGCTTCCACCTTCCTGGGGCTGACCCCGGAGCATTCAGCCTCCTCTGCCCCTCCGTGCGCTTCCCACAGCGAGTCCACCCAGGCGGGGCTCCTGGGGGGGCCAGGGGGTCCTGCCCCCCAACTCCGCAGTCAGACGGGACTCTCAGCCAGCTAGTAAAACAGAGGTTTATTAGATGACAGGAATATGGTCTAACACAGAGCTTGTAGGTGCAGAGAATCGGACCCCTCAGCTGGGTCAGTTTTGGGGGGCAGTGAGCCAGACAACCCCGTCTGCCCTTCACTCCATGTCCCAGCCAGCCCCCAACTGAAACTCCCTCCGGCCCCCTTCCCTCCTCCGGGCTTTGTCCCTTTCCCGGGCCAGGAGGGCACCGGATTCCTTTGTTCTCCAACCCTTCAGCTCTCACCTTGCAGGGGGGAAGGGCCCAGGCCATCAGTTGCCAGGAAACAGGGTGTCGGCCATTCTCTGTGTCCAGCCCCCTGCACACACCTGCCCTCTAGGGCTCTGCAATGATCATACACCCTTACTCCATCACCTAGATACTTAAGAACTGCATAGGGGAAACTGAGGCACCCCCACACTATTCAGAGAAAACATTAAGAACAGTCCCACTTCGTCACAGCCCCATCTCCCCAGCCTGGCACCAGGGGGCGCCGCCCTCTGTCCCCTGCCCACCCCTCCCCGGCCGTGCCCCATTTCCCCCACCTGGCACCAGGGGGCGCTGTCTCCGTCCCCCTGACTCTCTCCTCCTGCACAGGGTGAATTCAAGGTTTCGGAGCGCAGCATCACCATGGCCGACCTCATCCGGGGGCTGCAGGAGAAGCGGGTCCGGGAGGTGTTCGGCTCGGGCACGGCCTGCGTCGTCTCGCCCGTGAGCCACATCCTGTACCAGGGCAAGGTGAGATGCCAGGGTGATGGGCCTGCCGGCCGAGCTGGGTATGTCAGGGGCAGAGGGCAGGGGGAACCGGGCTTGATGGGGGGAGCCGGATCCGATGGGGGCTGGAGGGGGGGACCGGGCTTGATGGGGGGAGCCGGATCCGATGGGGGCTGGAGGGGGGGACCGGGCTTGATGGGGGGAGCCGGATCTGATGGGGGCTGGAGGGGGGGACCGGGCTTAATGGGGGGAGCCGGATCCGATGGGGGCTGGAGGGGGGGACCGGGCTTGATGGGGGGAGCCGGATCCGATGGGGGCTGGAGGGGGGGACCGGGCTTGATGGGGGGGAGCCGGATCCGATCGGGTCTCGTCTCCTTCCAGACCTATCCCATCCCCACCATGGAAAACGGCCCCGAGCTGGCCAAGCGGTTCTGGAAGGAGCTGACGGACATCCAGGTACTGGCCCGCTGGGGGGCTGGGGTTAGTGCAGGGCGGTGGGGGCCGGTGGGGAGGGGGTCAGAGCCCCAGGGATGGCGTTTCAGGTGTATGGAAAAGATCTGGCCCCAGGACAGGGACTGGCTGGTGGGGTGGGGAATGGGGCACGGGCCTGTCCCCCTGGGGGGCGCCGGCTCCCACCCGGCCCAGGGCAGGGACTGGCTGGCTCAGCCCGGTTCCAAGGGGCCGGTTCCCACCCCCACCCCACGCGGGCTGTGGAAGGGGTGTCTGTGCCGAGCTCCCACCCATTCTGACCCCCCCCCCCGTCTCTGTCTGTCTCCTTGCAGTACGGCCGTGTGCCCAGCGACTGGGTGCTGCCCGTCTGAGCCGGACCGGACCTCGCCCGCCTATTGATAACGGGGGGGGGCTTTGGTTTTTAACACTCCCCCAGAGCGACCCCCCAGCTGCCCCCCGTGCTCCCCTCCCCCATGACTGAGACAGATCCCTGGAGCAGAACCAAACTTGCCCCATCCCTGGGATCCCCCCCTGCCCAGTGCCCCCGTCCCCTCCCCCCCTGGGGCCGGTCAGATCGGGACTGGGCCAACCCCCCCGCACCAGCATAGCTGGGCCAGTGCAAGGCCTGCTGGGTAATCCCAGGAGCAGTGCATTGTGGGAGACCGGATTGACCAGTTGAAATGCCTTCTGGGTAAACTATCCTGTCCTGCAATTTCTACCCCCCCCCCCCGGCCGGCCATGCACTGAGACCGCCCGAGGTAGCCGGCCTCCGCTGGGCCTGTTCTGGGCTCCCCCAGGCTCTCAGGCCAGTCTGTGTCCCCGGGGCCAGGCCCACGGGCCCCCCCCTTGCTGCCTGCAGGGGGTCGAAATGCCCGGCGCTGACCCGAAAAGCTTTTCTATTAAACTAAATGAAACCAACCCACTGGGTCCAGAGTCTGCGTCGGGGGATGGGGGACAGCGGGTGCTACAGGATCCCCCCCGCCCCCCCACCGAGATCAGGGCCCCCTGGCGCCGGGTGCTGCACAGATCCCCCCCCCCCCGACCGAGATCAGGGCCCCCTGGCGCCGGGCACTGCACAGATTTCCCCCCCGACCGAGATCAGGGCCCCCCGCTGCACAGATCCCCTCGACTGAGATCAGGGCCCCCGGGCGCTGCACAGATCCCCCCCGACTGAGATCAGGGCCCCCTGGCCCCGGGCGCTGCACAGATCCCCCCCCCGACTGAGATCAGGGCCCCCTGGCCCCGGGCGCTGCACAGATCCCCCCCCCGACTGAGATCAGGGCCCCGTGGCACCGGGCGCTGCACAGATCCCCCCCCCCGACCGAGATCAGGGCCCCCTGGTGCCGGGCGCTGCACAGATCCCCCCCCCCGACCGAGATCAGGGCCCCCTGGCCCCGGGCGCTGCACAGACCCCCTCCCCCCCGACTGAGATCAGGGCCCCCTGGCCCTGGGCGCTGCACAGATCCGCCCCCCGACTGAGATCAGGGCCCCGTGGCGCCGGGCGCTGCACAAATCCCCCCCCCGACTGAGATCAGGGCCCCGTGGCGCCGGGCGCTGCATGGGAACCGTGATCATAGGGCAGGAGGGGTGAGAGAGGAACTGGGCTGAAGGAAGGGATTGAGGGGGGAGTTGGGGGTTGGAGGGGGAGAGGAGCTGGCCTATAGCTCAGTGGGGGGGCGGGCATTGCCCCATTCCCCTCCTCCCCCAGCATTGCTCAGCCCCTGTGGCCCAGGGCCCAGCTCTCCTGTGGGGCCCGGGGGTCTGGCTGATGCCCCATGAGCTGAGCGGTGCTGGCCCAGCGGATCTCACCCCTGCGACATCTGGGCTACGTCAGGGCCGGGCTGGGCCCAGCCGAGCTGGGAGGTCTTATAGCCGCAGGCTAGGGGGAGCCGTGTAAACACCGAGCCAGAAGAAAAGGGACTGGCCCAGCCAGAGCCCCAGGACCCCAAACAGCCCCCGGCGGGGAGGGGGGGAGGGATGGACACAGAGCCTTTCCCCTCTAGGGGGGTCCCACCCACCCCCAGGGCAGGGACTGGCTGGCTCAGGGGGGCTGGGAATGGGGCCCGGGGCCTTTCCCCTCTAGGGGGGTCCCATCCGGCCCAAGGGCAGGGACTGGCTGGCTCAGGGGGGTGGGGAATGGGGCCTTTCCTCTCTCCCCATGGTGGCTGAGCTGGTGGGGTCCTCTCTTCTGATGGAGCCCCCTACTTCCCGATCTGCCACCGCCCCCCTCACTGGGGCCGCCTTCCCTTCACCGCTCCTGGCCTCCCTCCTCCAGCTTTTCTTTTGTCTTGTCCTTTTCTTTTGTTTCTTGGGGCCAGGATCCTCCCCTGCCCCTCGCTTTTGCTCATTCAGCTTTCAAGTGCCGTTTTCTTTCGTGGTTTTCTCTTTCTGTCTTTCTGTGTCTCTCTCACGGAGTCCCCGGGCCATGCTCTGGAACTGCTCCCCATGAAGCCAGGCAGGACTCTGGGGGAGTCTCCTCTCTGGGAGCAGCCTGTCTGCAGGACCCACAGCTCCCCCGGCTCCACCTTCCTGGGGCTGACCCCGGAGCCTCCAGCCTCCCCTGTCCCTCCGGGCGCGTCCCCCAGCGAGTCCACTCAGGCGGGGTCCTGGGGAAGCCAGAGGGTCCTGCCCCCCGACTCCGCAGTCAGACGGGACTCTCAGCCAGCCAGTAACACAGAAGGTTTATTAGACGACAGGAACATGGTCTAACACAGAGCTTGTAGGTGCAGAGAACAGGACCCCTCAGCCGGGTCCATTTTGGGGGGCAGGGAGCCAGACAACCCCGTCTGCCCTTCACTCCATGTCCCAGCCAGCCCCAAACTGACTCTCTCCAGCCCCCCCAGCTGTTCCTCTGGGCTTTATCCCTTTCCCGGGCCAGGAAGGCACCTGAGTCCTTTGTTCTCCAACCCTTTAGCTCTCACCTTGCAGGGGGGAAGGGCCCAGGCCATCAGTGGCCAGGAAACAGGGTGTCGGCCATTCTCTGTGTCCAGCCCCCTGCACACACCTGCCCTCTAGGGCTCTGCAAGGATCATACACCCTTACCCCACCCCCTAGATACTTAAGAACTGCCTAGGGGAAACTGAGGCACCCGCACAGTATTCAGAGGAAACATTAAGAACAGTCCCGCTTCATCACAGTCTCCATTCATTCTTCCTAGTTTTCATTTTTCCAAGTTTTTCATTTGTTCTCGGGTTTGTTCTAGGTTTTCATTCCGTCTCTGTTTCTTTCTCATGTTCCACAAATTCTTCTTAGCTTTTCATTTGTTCGTTCCAGTTTTTCATTCATTTTTTCCTGGTTTTTCATTCATTTTTCCTCATTTTCTATTTGTTCTCTGGTTCTTTCTAGCTTTTCGTTCATTCGTTCCAGTTTTTTCATTCATTCTTCCCAGTGTTCATTCATTTTTCCTTGTTTTTTATTCATTCTCCGGTGCTTTCTAGTGTTTCACAAATTCTTTCTAGCTTTTCATTTGTTCCATCCAGTTTTTCATTTATTCTTCCTGGCTTTTCATTCGTTTTTCCTCATTTTTTATTCGGTCTCTGGTTCTTTCTAGTGTTTCACAAATTCTTTCTAGCTTTTCATTTGTTCCATCCAGTTTTTCATTTATTCTTCCTGGCTTTTCATTCGTTTTTCCTCATTTTTTATTCGGTCTCTGGTTCTTTCTAGTGTTTCACAAATTCTTCTTAGCTTTTCATTCGTTCTTTTCAGTTTTTCATTCATTCTTCTCCCCTTTTCATTTGTTCTTTCGTTCTTTCGAGTTTTTCACTTTTCCCTTCTCACTTTTTACTGATGGGTACTTTCCATTTCTTCCTTTGTTCCCTCTGTGCCCCCAGCCCCTTTTACATCACCCCCTCTGCCGGTCTGTGGCCAGGGTCAGCTGCCTGCCCCTCCACCCCCCCGCATCAGCCCCATCGGGGGCAGGAATGGTGTAAATATTTAGATTGGAGCCACCTGCAGGCCAGGCTGAGCCATCCATCACCCCCTCGCCCCCGCCAGCTGTACCCAGCCCTGGCCTGACGCAGGCTCGGATGCGGGGGATCGGAAGTGCATCCTGGAACGTGCTTTGTATAGGGTGGGGGGGGTGGATATTTGGGATGGATGGAGGGTGTCGTCATGGGGGGTGACCGGTTTCCGCATGAGCTGGGCCCGGCGGCAGCCGGCAGATAACACAGGAGTCCTGGCTCCCAGCCCCCTTCTCTACCCACTAGACCCCACTCCCTTCCCCTCCCCAAGCCAGGAGACAACCCAGGTGTCCTTGCTCCTGGCCTTTGTTTCTTGGGCCGGGTGAAGGGGTCCCCCTATAAAGAGCCCCTGCCCGCAGCTGCAGGGCACATGACAGCACATTCCTTTCGGATGAGATCGAAATTGCAAGTCATCAAAGCTGGGGGGAGGGAGGCTGGGGACATGGGCTGGGGAGCCCGGGGGGCCCTGGGGATGCGGGCTGGGGCAGGCCTAGCTTGGGGGTCCCCTGGGGATGTGGGTTGGGGGGGCCCTGGCTTGGGGGGCCCTGGGGATACTGGCTGGGGGGGGGTCTCTTGGGACAAGCTGGGGGGAGGGGCTGGATGCTCAGCCGCAGGCAAGTGCGAAGTTGCATCAGGGGCCAGCTTGGCTCAGGCAGCGGGGGGCAGCTGGGGTCATGTTTTCCCTGGCACCGCGCCCATGTGTATCAGGCAAAGTCCCAGCGAAGCTGAACCCCCCCCCCGCTCGGTCCCCCCGATGACACACAAATACCAACCTGGTCTGGGTGAGCCACGGCCCGGCCTGAGTGCTGAGCCCGTGGGTACAGATGAGTCTGCAGAAAACGGTGCGGGCACCGCCTGTCTTCAGGCCCCAGCCTGGGCCTGTAGTCCAAGGACCCGCTGTGGGGGCCGTAGTGCTGCACGTGGGCATGGCATGGCTGGGGCACCGGGACCCAGGGTAAGGCCCACAGTGCCAGGGATGGGCATGGCAGGGCAGGGGCGTCGGGACCTGGCGTGGGGCTCGTAATGCCAGGGGTGGGCATGGCAGGGCTGGGGCATTGGGACCCAGTGTGGGGCTTGTTATGCCAGGGGTGGGCATGACAGGGCTGGGGCATTGGGACCTGGTTTGGGGCCTGTAATGCCAGGGGTGGGCATGGCAGGGCTGGGGCGTCAGGACCCACTGTGGGGGCCGTAGTGCTGGACGTGGGCATGGCATGGCTGGGGCACCGGGACCCAGCGTAAGGCCCACAGTGCCAGGGATGGGCATGGCAGGGCAGGGGCATTGGGACCCAGTGTAAGGCCCACAGTGCCAGGGATGGGCATGGCAGGGCTGGGGCATCGGGACCTGGCGTGGGGCTCGTAATGCCAGGGGTGGGCATGGCAGGGCTGGGGCATTGGGACCCAGTGTGGGGCTTGTTATGCCAGGGGTGGGCATGGCAGGGCTGGGGGATTGGGACCCGGTGTGGGGCCCGTAATGCCAGGGGTGGGCATGGCACGGCTGGGGCGTCGGGACCCGGTGTGGGGCCCGTAATGCCAGGGGTGGGCATGGCAGGGCTGGGGCGTCAGGACCCGGTGTGGGGCCCGTAATGCCAGGGGTGGGCATGGCAGGGCTGGGGCGTCGGGACCCAGTGTGGGGCTTGTTATGCCAGGGGTGGGCATGGCAGGGCTGGGGCATTGGGACCCAGTGTGGGGCCCGTAATGCCAGGGGTGGGCATGGCAGGGCTGGGGCATTGGGACCCAGTGTGGGGCCCGTAATGCTAGGGGTGGGCATGGCAGGGCTGGGGCATTGGGACCCAGTGTGGGGCCCGTAATGCCAGGGGTGGGCATGGCAGGGCTGGGGCGTCAGGACCCGCTGTGGGGGCCGTAGTGCTGGACGTGGGCATGGCATGGCTGGGGCACCGGGACCCAGCGTAAGGCCCACAGTGTCAGGGATGGGCATGGCAGGGCTGGGGCGTCGGGACC